GGACAATAGTACGTCTCATTTCAACACTTGGATTCAGAATCAAACGGAATAATAAAGTGTGTGTAACAATAGTTTGTGGGTTTAAATTAAGTGCGATGATGCAAGATAGAACAATTTGCATGTTGTATATACGATGCAATTTTGTGCGTATTGTGAAGTGAATTTGTGGTCAAAATACTTATAAAGTGGAAAATTCTATGTAATCTAAATTTTAAATTGTACAATTAACTAAAAATCTCAAAATGGAAAGTGAGGAAGATAGCAGCGGCGTGATGGATGACGATGAGCTAGAGAGACTCCAGTTCATGGCGAAATATTACCTCCGATCAAAGTCTCTTCCCATGGTTTATTTTCCACAACAGTCTTATCATCAGTCTCACAATGCACCGGAGAATGCTGTTAGAAATCCTAACGGGTTACACGTTGTGAGAGAGGATTCGACAGAAAGTCAGGAATCTCGAGGAGGAAGAGATTCGGAATTTAACTCCATTGCGAAGAATGAGGAAGGAATGAAAATTGAGGTGGTCAATGGTGCAGGTGATTCTGTTTTGGCCAAGGTGAATATTTTTCGTGTTTAATTATTTTCTGAGTTAAATATTGCTTTGTTTTTGCGTAAATAATAATTAGAATTCAAGAACGTGACAAGCACGTCCGGTGAAAGTTTGACGTAACGAGAGTTTCGCGTGAAGTGGGTGATTTAGAAATTACAACATTTTACGACAGAGTGACGCAATATTTTGCTTTCCCTTTCACACTTTCCGCATGAAACTTATATATGTCATGAATATTTTAGTATTATGCAACCCAGGATAAATTATACTGTCATAACATTTTCTCACGTCTTCTTTCAGGAACTTCGGGCCTCCAAAAAGAGAGCAAATTTAAAGAGTCTGACCACGAACTATTATCCAGTAAGTTGCTGTTTTACATAAATAAAGTAACAAACAAATATAATACTGACAACATAATCCTCAAAATACAGGAGGGCGGCTGGGGTTGGATTATTACTTTCTGTGCAGTTTGTTGTCACGCTCTCACGTTTGGGTTTCAAATTTACTTGTCCAACGTGGTTCTCGCCCAGTTCAAACAAGGTAAGGCGATAAAATTGATGAGTTTGTTAATATTCCTTGAGCATGAACAGAACTTCTACGACGTAGTATTTAAGGGTGTTATTAAGTATTATGGTTATAAAAATTAACGTGGAATGAAGAGCACTCTTTTGACACGCTGTTGGTGACAATGTGAATTAAATGATGAAGTATCATTGTCTTACGTGTCACAAATAAGAGGGGATGATGAAGATGGTGATGTTGCTAAAACAATTGTCATTCATTAGTCGAGAGCAATTTAACCAATTGTAACGGTTCAAGTTGAATTGGTGGGTGGCGAGTTGGTTAAACGAATAGAATCCCAAATTGTGAGGGGCAAACGGAATAATGTAAATAAATGCAACTAAAATTGTAAAACGTAAAAGATTTTTGAAAATCTGTTGCGATTTCGGATTCAAAATGAGAAGGTTCAAATTCAAAAAGAATTAAAAACCTCATCAATCATAAAGAGCTGTTGTCCCACCCAACTCGATGGAGCTGGAATGTTGAAAAGTTGAAATGTTGCTCCTTGGCTTTGGCAGATCAGTGAATTAATTAACTGAATATGAGAGCAGCATGTGCATTCCCATGTCAAAGATGAAAAGAAAGAGGCAGGCCTTCTCTCTCTCGATTAATGTCGGGGTTGCATTCTTGTTCATGATTTGGGTTGTTTGCTGATCGATTAAGGTAATAGATTGACAGGGAAGAGGTTTTGTTGAGTGATCTGTACACAATTAGGGAATAAATAAAATGTGAAAGTCCTTTGGCATGATATGCGTTGTGTGTTTTGCATGATTTTCAGCGTGTCATTTTGGATTTCACTTTCCCCAAATTGCACAAGTATATAAATCAGTAAGAGTTTTTTTGCAAAATTTCTGCTTATTGAGACGATTTTATAATTTATTTGGACAAAAAAAATATCTAATCGAACATGGCGAATGAATCTGAATCCTCCGTTTGTGCCCTCTTTCGCGAGTTGCACCAGGCTTTAGAAGAAAAACAGGTTCGGTTTGGAAAAACCAGAGACAAAGGCATTCATTCGACTGCATCTTCTTGAGAATTTCAGATCTGCAGATGAACAAGAAGTCCTGCTGTAGTTTGTAGATGTATCTCTAGAGATCACTTCGGTGTTGTTCGCCAAATCAGAGTTAGCCAGCATTTTCAAAACTAGCGTCTCATCTCATACAATCTCAGAGACTGTAACAAATTACGTAAAGCTTGTTACATTTTCTCCTTGAAATTAATAGCTGTAAAATTTATTAGATGCATACATTTTCATACCCCTTCGATTTTTTTTGCAATTCTAGACTTATAAAGATTGTTACTATGAACGAAGTGTCTGTCAGGCTGCTTCACAATGCGCCTTGTTAGTTAGCCCATTTCCATCATCTATCCGTAACCCCAGTGGATTTTAGGCACCCCGTGAAGTATGGTGCGTGAATTATGGTTGGATATCATCATCTCATTAAACGAGAGCATTCACTTCATTGGCATTTTTATCAAACTTATTAATCAGTCAAAGCAGCGGACAAGAGTCACTTTGTTTTCAAGCTTCATAGCATTTTTCACACCCAGTTTGTTTTCATTTCATCTGCCAACACTGCTAACGAGCACACCACTCTTGTCGATATATATTTAACGAGAACTTTCTTCTACCATGGTGCGTATACACAGAACTTAAATGTATGAGCACACCTCACCGTTTCCGTAGATTTATTTCTAGCTTTTATCGATAGAATTGCATTTCTCACATTTCACACAAATCCTTTACATTTCTGAAACTTTACTCAAAAACTTCATTTTACTTCGCGATTATTCCTCCTCCGTTTTATCACCTCGTTTCACATTCCCCACTGGAATTTATAACAGTTGGGAGGAGGAAACTATACAATCTGTATCATAAAACCTTACGAAGTCACACTTGTCACAATACGCTTTTTCTTCACGGAGAAGGTGAGACAAAATATATGCCTCATAAATGTAAAACAGAACAGAAGCCTTATGTATAAGCAGGACCCGTCTCATACTATTTGACACTGCATAAATTACTCTTCAGGTCATTAAGTTTAGTGAAAATCGATAATATTTTTGTAAAACGTGATTGCAAATTCTAGACAAAATGCACCTGAGCATTTTAAAACCAGCAGAGCGAATAGGGGCGTCTGTTGGGTAAAAGGGCCGGACAGTTTGGTAGGTTGTTGCATATTTTATGGACGTTTGCTTAAATTTCGACACGCACCTCAAAAATGAATATGCACGTCTTATATATGTAAATAAGTACATGTTAATCCGTATATTAATATTCACCCCGCGGTTTAGGATGATGTACTAAATAACTACTTATTTGCGGGTTAGTTAGTTAGTTACGACGAGTATGTTCATTTGCAGCCTTAAATTACTGGGTATTCTGCAACCATTCATGACGGCGTTATTTATTTATATTTTAAGCGACAAAAAAATGAGTCTCATACTGCATACAAGAACTGCATTATTGGCTGTGCCTGTTTTTTTCTGTGTCTGAGTCAACAAACGGTTAACACCATTTTAAAATTAAATCTACTCTTGTTGCTCATCACAAGTCTGTCATAATGTGTTATGCATGCATGCCTGGCAATTATGAAAAGAAGCCGAAAATCAATAATTTTATGAATGGTCACATTTTTACGAGTTGCGCTTCTTTCCTCGTCGTAATAACTCATCTCCAATTTTAGTCCGAGGTTTGAAACTGTTATCCTTCAAATCTACTACGATGATTGCACATTCAAGTGATTTAACCTCATCAAATCACTTCAAGTCTGATGATTAGCGAGACACTTGATTTGAACCTGCTTATTCGTGCAGATAAATAAAACTAACTATACAACACTGCATCGGCCACCATGATAACTATGTGCAATTTGTATGATAACATCTCCGAAGAAACGGCTACCATGTACGACTTGCATCTTTAGAGTGGTAGCGATTAAGTCTGATTTATTTTCAAATTCTGACTTTTGAAAACACATGTAATAATCCAACAGAATGCAAATGATCTCATCTCATCACAAGTTTTGTGCAAATTGTTTTATCTTTTTCTCGTATCTTACAAGTGAGGAGACATGTGAGAACAAGAAACTTACAAACAGCGTCAAGTGCACATTTAATTAAATGTGATGTGGAGTACATATTTCCATTTTGGAAATTTCACTGATTGCAACGTTAGCCATAAAGTATTTACAACTTACCAAATAAATTTGCAACTGCTCACTCAAAAGTAATTTGCAACTACAAATTTATTACTAAACGGCTATCTGCAGACGAATCTTCACTTTTTGAAGTGCTGATGATCCCATTACCCTGAAATTAATGGTTGGTTGGTCGTATGGTCCAAGTTTGGTCAAATAAAAAAAATCTAAATACTTAAAAATCCCCAGTCAAGCTTTTCACCCTTGGATTTTATAGTTGACACAGTAATTAAGGTGACACTTGACGTGCCAAATCAGGAACAATAAAGCTGTCCATCTTAATACAAATTGCTATTTGTCGGTCGTTCCAACCCTTGAGTAAAATGTGCAATGAAGGAAAGTATCTACGTAAACTTGTAATAATGCAATGACAGAGTGGCGTTATTCATCTTCAGCGTTATGTAAGTTGGCATTATTCATGCTTTTTTATCCCGATGTGCTGCAATATGTTACGCATTGGCTTTGTTGGGTGGAGAGATTTGTTTGGCGTTTTTTTTACCAAAGAAGTCTTCCTCCACAGCGGTTGTTGGAGGGTTCGGTTGTTTGGTGGAGGATTGGATTGTGTTCATTTCCTTTGGGTTGAATCTGTGAATGAAGAAGAGCTAGACGGTTGCATGCACTCCCCAAAAGAAGCAGAAGTATTTGTAAGTGGTGGTGTGGCGTGGTTGATTCTTCTAACCGGGGATTATATACCAGGACGAACGAGGAAGCAGAGTTGTGTGCAAGTTAAAGTGACTTTCTCAGTCTCAGCACGTGGGTGAACATGTCATCATAACAGTCTCATCCTTCCCGTAGTAGATTATTGTATCTTGGACGCAATCCACGATTTCACTTATCCTCCTTCTTGGAAACTTGAGTGGTTTACGGTTTTTGGTGAAAGTGCGAAAGGGTGTAAAATCGTGGGTGTAAACATAAATAGATACACAAGGTGCATAGTAAAAATGTGGGAAAAAGTGTGCTAAACGTGACACAAATATTAGTGCTTGCAGAAATTTGGATATATTTTTAGCTAATTTTCTATCTGCATTGAATGGAGAAAGTTCGAAATTTGACGAGCCGGATAAAACTGCATTGTGAAATTAATCATAGTCTCGATCGACCCTGTGATCTCGAATTTATTTCATTGTGACAGATGTGTAATTTGGAACAGACACTGGCATGAGATACGTCGTAAAACAGACGACTCTTGCAATCAATGTCCCCAAAAACTTGTGCAACTGACACGCTGAAGAAAGTTGCCCAATGTCACCAACACTCTTGACAAAGTCTGTTTCTGTTTGCAAGTTGCAAATATTTTTCGACTTTTGCGTCATATTGAAGTAGAAGAGAAAGCATAGCTGAGCAACATCTCATCTCTTATTTTATACTGCGTCGTTGTCACCCCCAAGAAATTAGATCATCTCACAAGACCAGACCTTGGACAAGAAATTGCACAATAAACCGACATATGACGATAAAGAAAAGCCTATATACGATGTAGCAACAACCCCGAAGAAGAAAAAGTGTCCCGGTAAATAAATAATGAGAAAAGATAGAAAGAAGGGTGCAAAAAATGCTTTTGCCTCACACACATGACATGATTTCCGACTTTGCCCTAAAAATCGTGTGGTTTCAGGCAGAAAACAAAGCGACATTTCCTTCCTCGTCGTCACAAGGGATAAAATAAAACCTCTAGTTTTCTTTGTTGACTGACATTTCTATTCGACGACTTCTCGCTCATCAGTCCCTCATTATGTCATGAGTTTGCAGAAAAACTTTCACCCTGAGAGATCCTGAAAGAAGGAGAGAAAAAACTTTACAAACGTCGAAAACATTAACGTCCAGATTTTTGCACATGGTGCGCCCCGTCGCGATGTAATGAGTGTCGAGATAACGATGATGTGATGTGATCTGACTGTTCACTGATTTTGCACAATTTCCGACACGGCTTGGTGCTATATGGTGCTAACTACAGTAATGCGAACAAAGAATACATATTCGCCCAACTTTCAGTAGATTTGTTTCACCACGACTGACTGACGCCTGATCACTTGAAGAATAATATTACTTCTTTCTGTCTCATGTACATACATAAAACTGCCGAAGATGATGAAGAGCGGACTCGATTTGTTCGCTTGACTTGTCGGTTTTAAGTTTTATTCAGCTCAAAATGTTTGCATACTTTCAACTTCAACTTTTCCTGGCACTCGTCAAACTGCAAAGAAGAAGACAAAGCACTGTTTGTTGTCATTTTCATTTGAGAACTGAACTTTTTTTATGTGTAAATAAGCAAAACCCAAAAAGTGCATTTACATTAATCCTGCATGAATGAACATTGATTGAGAAACAAAGATTTTCAGAAGGTATTATTTTTTAGAGCGAAAGTAAGTAAACCTTTAAAAAAGTAGATTTTTGATCCACGACAAGATTATTTCGTGGTGTCGTCACATTGAGAAAGGAAAAACAGTCCTACATATTTATTCGACGACGCTTGACTCCAGAACTCTGTCAACAGTTCCTCCAACCAAGTGTAGAAAGCAATGAGTTGGTGTTATGTCAGTTTCAATTGCTGTTTGTTAGTGATGGTATTATGGTGACACCGTGTCATCCCGTGCTCTTGCTGTCATCATGTAAAAGAAGAAAAAAGTGTTAGAATTGATGATGACGACGAGGTTGGAATCATTTTGGTGGCAAGAGTCTCGGAATGCAAAATAAGAGAAAAACTTTGACATTATGCAACCAGAAGAAACTCTTCGTAATGATTGAAGTCTCAAGTTTTACTCTGAGAAAAAGTTTTTCCGAAGCATTATTTTCATGCTAGTGCCCCTTCAAATTAAAGGATGCTGATATGTGCCAGAGATCCTTTACATACTGCTGCTCATTTCTTGACAAAGTCAACATTTTATCCACGGGGTGCTTCGCTCTGTTCAATCAACTATTTTACGTCCTTATCCGTCGTAATGTAACTTGGTAGGTGGATGGATGTAGTATGATGATGCAGCTTATTATAAAGATGAGACTGGGTCTACCCATTACTTAAAAGTGTGGAGAATGGATTCAGCAACAACGGTGTCAAGCGTCACCCCATCAATAATGGCACAAGGGAATACTCCCTCAGATGAAGACAAGCTTATTTTCACCACCACCAGTAGCAGTGGTACTTTACCAGTCGCCATAGGTGGTGGTTGCACTAGTTCAGGTCCTCCCGCTGCTGCTACTGCTGGGCAGACAAGTAAAAGGTTTCAAAAGTTCCATCTCTATAAACCATTTGGTCACAGGAGGCGTCTCAGTGAGAAATTGAGACTTCATGGAAATCTTGGAGGCGGAGGAACAAACGCGAATCAACCACCAAAAGTAGTAGCAATTGGTGCACAATCATCATCTATTTCGAAACGGGGTAGGATTCAGTCCAACAAAATCAAGCCATTCAACGCGTCAACGATTGACGAAGAAGGAGAAAGTTGTTCAGATTTTGGGAGCTTGTCAGTAGATCAAAAGGATTCCGGGGTGGATCCTGGATATCAAGAGGAGCACGTAATTGTTCCAATTTCACCAAGGAAAAAAGAAGTCAATTTTGGACCTGACAAAAATAAATGTTCTAAAACTAGCAGTTCTTCTACCCACTACGTTTTGGAGGTGGACGAGGATCTCATAAGTGCCGGATTTCCGAGTGATCTGCCAAGTGGGTTGATTGACATAGAAGGGAACTTTATTGGTGAATTTGACTTCCGGTTCGAAGATGACTATGAGGACGACGACTTTGACTCGTTCTACTGTGATGATGATTTTGACAGTGGTATTGTTGCTAAAAAGGGTGAAAAATCTGGTAAAAAGACTAAAAATAGTGGTAGTAAAAGTAACAATTCAACAACTAATAAGATTGAGAGTGCTCGAGATTCTGTAATTTCCCCCAAAAACAATAACAGCAACATGGCCGAGCATCAAGGTCTTCTCAACAATTATTGCACATCGAACTCACAATCGAGCAATACAAATCCTTGTCAGGGGTCCGAAAGTGGTCCAAATTCTCCAGAAATTTTAAAGTCGCCAACGAGAACATTCGTCGCAAGGAGACGGTCTCGCAGTCCTCATGCCCCTCTTGATCGACACTACAGCTCCGGAGCTACCTCCAACCCAACCACACTAGCCCAGCATTATTACCCGGTCTATTTCCGTTCTAAAATAATACTTGATAAGTAAAAGCATGATAACCCAGTATGATAACTGTATGTACAGGAAGCAGGATGGGGTTGGGTGGTTTTGGTCACTGCCACTTCATGCCATACCCTTCTTTGTGGGATGCAACTCTCCTTTGGAATTTTAATGACACCCATTTTTAACAAGTTTGGGGAGGAGTTGGCCCTTCCTTCAGGTATTTGGAGGCGAAGAATTTTTTCCTAAATTGAAAATCTCCATGTGTGTCTGTTTAAATTCCTTATGATCACACCCCAACGAAATTTGCAACGCAGAACGCAGAATTCAAATCAATTAATGTAATTGGACAATTTGTCACTCTTTTGAGAGCTGAAATAATTTAGAAATGTTAGGAATTTGACAACTGATCGTGCCTTGCGTAATTGTTGCTCGATTGAAACGGTATAAATAATGTGCGTGTTGGGCACACTTAAATCACAATTTGGCAGCTCATTACTTACACAGCTTCTCCTTGAACAAAAATGTATTCTTGGGAAGAGTGAACTTTTGTCCAGAGTCGCAAATCTGAAAATGTTCCTTAGTTCTCGGTCTGATCATTGAACTCGTAAAAATATTGATGACAGCTTTAACCAAATGATTAGACCATAAAATACCTTATAAAGAGTGCTCAATAATATATTTCAATCCAGTCGATAACATCTTTACAAGAAGGCGAAGGTTCGAAGCAGATGAGATTTTTGCATTCCCAAAAGCAAACTAGGTACAAACTACATAAACTGCAAAGTAAAAGTGGATCGCTATCGCAAGATGCTTCTAGTCGAGTAAATTATGGCTCATAAATTCATAAAGTCAACGTCCAAAGACTTTTACTGCGTATTCACGCAGCAGAAACAAAATCCTGAACCCTGCGAATCATCATCGATTATATCATTCAATTTTGCATTTGATCGATTTTTCTACCTACTTGGTAAAAGCCAGGCCTACTTATTTAAGGGTGTGGATTAAAAATGCTCACTTTACGAATGCAATAATTGGTCATGACTGATAACTTGTATGTAAACAAACGGATTTTGAGAAAAAAAATCCTAATAAACATTCGACATCAAGTCCAGATTGGGAGTGAGATTTTAATGAAGAAATGTAAAAACCCTCTCAATTGTGCTCCACCTGAATAAATTTCATTTTCCATCAAACGCCGACATTTCCTCTCCCACGATATCTCCAAAGTACGTAGAAAATGGACTCGTTTTAAGACCCACAAAAAATAGTCGAATGCAATTTTTCTGCATATAACGATCTGTTGTTAAAAAGAATATAAATGGATAGTAAATACTTAAATCCCGTTGTTTGCATGCATTTGTCGGTGAAAATCTCCTTTTAATTTTCGAAATCAGATAGATTTGGAACTGGTTAAGTAAATTAGTAAATGCAATGATGATAATCAACCATGGCATAAAATTCAAGTCCATACTCGAACAAATATGTAAATACTGCACTTACAGAGTATTGCTTTTGGAGGACGTATGCATGCATGTTAGTGCCGACCGTCTAATCAAATATCTACGATTTGGAAACCGGTTTCCAACATTAAAGATAGATTTTAGATGTAACGGCTTCAAATTTCGTTTACGATGACATCAATCATTTCCTGGACATGCATGGATTCAAATCAACGATTGATTCGCTGAACGTTGTTTGATCTCTCTCTCTCTCTCATGAGAACTTCTTCTTTTAAACTGGATTTGAAATTTGGGACAGTTTTTTGTAAGACTAGTCACGGAATGTTTTTATGAAAAAAAACTGTGTTGGCAGGCAACATGCAATTGATGCAATGATGAGAGTGCATTCATGGGAAGTGATATGAATATTTGAGTGCAGAGTGCAATAACTAATGGGATTGCATTAAGTTTAATGTTATTGAGGATACATAATTTCTCTGGAATGTTGGGATTGCTCGTAATCAGGACGTTCACGCTAAGCCAGACAGATTTTAAGCCAGACGCATAAAAAAATATGTACATAGAGCAACACATGCACATAAACATTCCTTCATCATTTTGTAAATTGATTAATACATTTTTCAAAATTTGTGTCGGACGATAGTCAAACAAACCTTTTTGGAAATCAATTAATCGTTCTTCACCACTTGCGGTCGGTAGCTACTGAGGAAACTACTTTAGGATTGAGATGATGGTGAGATGACGATCAGAGAAATTGGTCGGTCGGTCGGGTACCCACTCAAGACCCAAGTCAGGTCACTATGAGCAATTTGTTTTCAATAAAGCATGTCATCTGCCACATTCAGTTATGCATTTCAAATCTCTCACAAGACCAACCGACAGACAAAACCTACCGCACGTACAATTTATCATCGCATGAATTTAGGTACATATTATCCAACCCTTTAATATTTGATGATGCCAAACAAAACTGAAACGATGGCCAAAGAGTTGTCAATTCAATATGCATTAGCGTTACCAATACGTAAACCCTTGTGACTTTTGGCCCTAGGTTTCTTTGTCTTGTTTAGTTATCAAGCATGTAAAAGTAAATGTTTGACATGACAAGCAGAACAAATGTTTAAAGACAAAAGGCTGTCCAGCTTTACACATTTCGTTTGTCAAGTAAGAGCTTTTTAATGCGATACGTATGTACAAGGAGGGTCGTCGTGATGTGATTTAAATCGTATGAGATTAAATGCGGCTGCTGCTGCAGCTTAGTTATTTTTGGCATAGTACTTATACTTCACTACAAGCTTTTACATATTATTATTGTTGTTCAACATGGAATAATGAATGCAAAAGAAAACAATGGAAATTTAAATGTGAGTAAATTCGGACGTGTGAAAATCTTGGATTTCCTGTGGTGCTTGTCATCTGTGAGAAGCTTGTTGCTCGTCAGAATTATTTTAGGTGATGGAAGGAACAGTGAGAGGAGTGATTCTTATTTGGATGAGCTAAAACGTTTCGTCGTGATGATAAATGATTTAAAATTTATGCATATTTTCTCATCTTGCAGGGTTTTTGGGAGCATTATCTCTTGGAATCTCACTCTTACTTTCACCTGTTTGGGTCTCAATATGCAAAAGAAAAAGTACACGTCTCTCTGCAGTTTTTGGAGGATTGGTGGCATCACTGGGATGTCTCTTTACCTCGTTTGCGTCTCAATTTCATCAACTTTTCTTCAGTTATGGAGCATTTATTGGTAAGCAAATTTTTGTTTGAGGAATTAAGTCCTTGAAGATTTATTATCTTATATCGCTTCGAATATCGGTCGTTGTTATCAATTTTTCGTACACATGTCATACATACAATAAAGATAATAAATGTGTGTAACCAACTGTCCACCGTAATCCATCTCAGCGAGATTTGTTTAGCTTTTTCCCCGAGAGAAGAAGCCAAATCTGCAAAATGTACATAAACCGTCCTCCAGACGACTCCTGCCAAAACTTGAGGACGACATTCCCACCGAGAAAACCACAAACTGCTTGTAGCCAGTATGTATCCCATGCAACCTTTGAAACTCTAAATCCTCACCACATTCCAACCACTCCCAAAACCTTGGAATTCGTCCGAGTTGGATTTAAAAACGGTTGGAATCCTTTAAGGTCCCAGTTAAATCCATGCAATCCCTAAGAATCAAGTTTTTAAGGCGCAAAATCCTGATAGGCCTGATAAATCGGCATTTAAAACCGGGGAAATCCGTGGGAATTGGACACAGAGCCGTCTGAATCCTTTGGACTTTACCTTTAAAGCTTCAAAACCTTCATATCTCTCTGGATCATGACCTAACACCGTCCAATCCCCCGATTATGCCACAAAGCCCGATAAATTATCACCCAGATTTCTATTAGATTTCATATGTAATACCCAAAAGCCCTCCCACCCATATCGCTCAGAGATGAGAAGAGTAGTTGCATATGCTCCTCGTCCATTCCTCTTACATCCTTTTATCCCGTCATATACATGAAGCGACACTGCTTCCCACCTACAAGTTTACGTACGTACGTAGTATCCCTGTCGGGCGGCCACATATGCACCGAGAGACGTGGATATGAATGAAATAAAATGAGAGGAGGGTAGATGGACGGATGGATGAATGGGAGCCTAGTGTTATGCTATAGTTTTACTGTTACTGCCAAACTAAGCAAGCCATTTTCCTTCTGGGCCGCACCGCTTTCACGCTAATACGTTCCCAAATATTTGGATCTGTGTTACTTACTACTCCAGATTTAGATAAGGAATGCAAGCCTAAGCCCCGCCGGGTATTGGAGCCGCACACATGTCTGAAATATGTACAATGATCCATTCAGATATGGATCTGAATGCGTGCAACAACTGGTGCTTTCTCTTATTGCTACCTTTCTAAAGGAGAAACGTGATATGCATTTCGTACTGAATCGTCCCGATGGAATCAGGAATTTACTTGTGAAGATTATGAAAATATGTAACAAAATTCCTATGTTTTTGCAGGAGTCGGCGTTGGTTTAACCAGGGACGCGTCGACCTTAATGGTTGGGCAGTATTTTAAGCGGAAACGGGACATGGTGGAAATCGTGGTTGTTTCTGGGGCCGGTCTGGGAATAATTATCCAGTCGGTCGCGATACATGCTGCCATAACGTATGTCGAGTTTGAGTCTGGTTTTTATGCTTTTGTGTGAAACTAGGTAAATATGTACGATTTGTAATACAGCTCGTTAGGATGGAGGCTTGGGCTTCAAGCAATTACAGGATCTCTCTTAGTCACCTTCTTCCTGGGAACGTGTTACCGGTAAGTATGACTAATGGCATTTTGTAATAAAACAAGGCAGGTGGAAGAATGGAGTATGACATGACATTTGTGCACGAGTGACTGATTGTACAGCGTTGCTAAGAAGTTCGACACCAGAGTTCGAGTGGAGAGAAAGTGGTTTGTTGTGCGACGACGAAGATTCGTCTCGTGAATAACTTGCGTGTGCTAGATTGAGTTTATTTTTTGTAGTCGAAATTTATTAGCTAATTGTGAGATGACACAATATTCATTCAAAAATATTTTCAAAATGATAATCTTTGACACTCTCAACGCTACACAATTCACTCATCCCACCACGATGCATATCCTTGCGGCGACAGTTGCAATGCGCCTTACTTTGTCGTGTCCACATCTGCGCCCTCTTTCGCTTCTGTTCAGACCGAACCCTTTTCTTCTCCCCCTCTGGCAGACCCACTAAATTAGCCCTCTCCTCCCTCATTTGCTCCAACTCTGGGCAACTGAACGTGGTCACGCCAGCCTTCTTCAAGGCCGTCATCTCCTTCCAGGCCATCAGGGTGAGTCGGGCGTCCTGAACCGAGGAATGTGCGTCCTCCTGGACATTTCGATGGAGGAAGTGCCACGCCAAGTCGGCTAGCCCTATTGAGCCCAATCGGTCACGGAAAAAATCCTGCACGTCTTCCGTGCGGAATGGAGTCTCTTCCCCCTCCTGATACTCCAACGCCATCAGGTCACCCACTGTTGCCGCCCCCACCAGTGTCTTCCCCGAAAAATACTTCGTTAAGTAGTAACGTACCTAGAAGAAACAATAATAATTAGTTAGTTGTGCCGGTGGGTCATGTGGAAATATGAACCCCGGAGCACAAAAACAACGTACCATTTCCATTGGAATTCCCATCGCAGATTTCGCAGCAGACACCCCGGTGTGGAAGTTCTTTATGGTGCCTGGACGGTGAAGGACAAAGCAATGGAAGACGATCCTTCCGCTCATGTCGACAATTGATAAGTCTCCAGCTGGCTTAAACTTCACCGTCTCGAATGGTGTAACTTTCTCCAGGTCGAAGAAGAAGGTGTGACATTTAGCAATCTTATCATGCCGAATAATCTCACCACACTGCAACACAGACAAAAATAATCTCATTATCATTACAAATTATTATCCTCCATCCCCACCACAACATTTCAACAAAAAAGGTTATTATAACCACTTACGTGGTTGGCGGAGACTTGGCCCCTGGGTCCAAAAGCGGAGGAGGAAACACTCCCACCGGGGTTCGCATTTCCATGCGACCCACTGGGAAGTATTTCTTCCACCTTTGCTGCCTCCTTTGCCCCCCACTACCGCCTTCCCAGCCAGTTTCTCAGCTACGGGAAGTCGTTTTTTGATTCCCTGGATGGTGGAAGAAATTGAGATAACGTGTGCCGGTTTCAGTTTCTTCTTCTCCTCCCCCTTCTTAACAAGCCGTTGCAGCAGGTCAAAATAGTCGTGAGACTCCATGCTTAGCGCCTCGTTCACGACACGGAGAGTCAGAACGTGCCTCTGCAAAAAAAAATTATTATTATTGTGACCGGTGGGTGGGGTGGAAATCTCAACCCCAGTGTCACTACTCCACCTCCAACAAACTCACCTCTACAACATCGATGCGTCCTTCTCCTCCTTTAGCCATGATATTTGTGAGTGGGGGTGGTGGTTATTATTATTATTATTCAGGGGACAAGGAAGTTTGGCCGCGATTATAAACGTGGTGGAATTATGATGTGATGATGTGGTTGAATTTGGTGGATGGGACTGGTGTTGGTTTGGGAGATGCGTGTGGATGGCGCTGCCTGCTTCCAACTCGCACTACAACCAGCAAACCGGATGAGTCCATCAACAACACCACCGACAAGTGTTTGTTCAAACTCTGCACCGGGGTATATATTTCCATATATCCCACCGGCAGAGCAATACAGTTATATTTGGAACGTTTGTGTGGATGTACCATTTCGTGCTGTCTACTAAAGAAACGTCGTATTATTTCTCACGAGTCGTCTTCTCGTCACCACATCAGCCGGAACTTTTTTCCAAGACACCTAACTAATTATTTGTTGCGAATTTAATTGTTTGCAACCCGTGAAATCAACTTTTACTAGTTCGTAAGGTAAGAGAGTAACTTTCGTCATGTTTTGACCGGTGGGTGACCTGGTAAGGTCAACCCCGGAGTCATTTATAGTGGAGGAGAAGGAGGACGGAAAAAGTTGGTTGCACCGGGGTTTATATTACTATATAACCCACCGGCAACGAATAATTTTATCTTACATGAATTTATTTTTCTTCTTCTCTTAGACATCTCTCTTCCGAAGGTCATCTTGACAAAAAATGTTGTCGTGTAAATTTGGATGTGGAACGAAGAGGGAGACGATGTCCAGCCTGGCAATCCACGAACGACAGTGTCGACTAAATACGTCTCCGCCATCATCTGCAACGTCCATCCCCTCTCCTAGGGTCGAAATTAGTCAAGTTAACTCGACGAAATATGGTAAGAGAATTATGGTAAGAGAATTAGAGAGGCAACACGATTTTGGCATATTTAATTATTAACTTGTGCTTTATTTTACTTTAATAGTCGACACGAGCGGATATGTAGCTAAATCTGCTACCACAGTTGACATCAAGAGACCGAAAACCGAAACAGTTACGCGTCGAGGTTAGTACTCGCGAACTATAATTAATTGGTACTGACTAATTTTGTCCTTACTCCTTTATTAGCAATATATGATGTCAGTTCCGACTCCGATGAGGATTTTGCCGATGGTGGGATGAAAGGTCAGCAGCAACGGGCAAAGTGGTTCACTCCACAGAAGAACCGGAGGGAGGATGAAAATACAGGTGAGAATGGAATAAATTTTAATACACTGGGGTTGACTTTTCTAAGCCACCCACCGGTATTAACAATTTTGTTTTTTTCTTATTGTAGGGAAACGTGTTTCCAAGTCCGAAGAGACTAGAGAACGTGGATCATCCGGTGGGCCGCATGGCAATGTGAACCCCGGCGGTAATGGTGGTGGCGACAATTATGCTGTCACTCCGAACAAGATGAAAATTAAAGGTGAAATTAAATACCTGTCTGCTGGAAGATTATGTAACGTAATATGTACTTACTATTGTTTTATAGCTTTGGGTGACTGCACTCTTCGGGCAGTTAACACTTCTGGAGCTATGTGTCAAGTTATCTCAGGTGAGAATTACATCAGCCCTCACCGGGGTTAATCTTTCCAGATTACCCACCTGGAGATGTATAATGTGTGTTGTTGTTACAGGTGGTGATGCAGGAGGAGGAGCAGCAGAGGTGCGGTTCTCACCCGGTGGGTCAAGTGGAAACTTGAACCCCAGTGGTGGTGGTGATAAGTCTGCCGTCTCTTCAAGGAAAATAAAGATTCGAGGTGAGACATTAACATAACTTTCCTGCTGTTTACATTTAGCTTGACATATTTATTATTTTTTGTAGTTCTTTCTGACTCTCCGGTCCGTGCTGCGACTACTTCTCGAGGTGTGAGCAAACTCTCATCAGGTGAGACAGATGTTGTTAGTTGCACCGGGGTTGATCTTACTAGACCACCCACCGGCAACATATTGTCTAATGAATGTTGTTCTTCCTCCTTAGGTCGAAGTGACATTGGTGGTGAGGGAACGAAGTCACCAAGTGGAGGAACAGGTCTTCGAGAAGTGAGTCGTGCCGAGTTGGAGGATATCAACGTTTCTCATCAGCAAGTTCTGATGGACATTGATAAGTTGGAAGAAGAGATCTCGTTGGATGAAATGACCGATATGTTAAAAGATGCGGGGAGTGATGTTATTCCTAGGAATATCGTGTGGAGGACGTGTGGGAAGAACGAATCACCAAGGAAAGGGAGAAGTCATTATGTCCATAACGTAGGGCCACGATTAGACAGACCACATCTGAACCATTATGTTCATCTTCCCACTCGACTTTTTCTCACCCGTAAACAGTTGTTATCTGGTGGCAACAGAATTTACGATGATGCTCGAACCCCAGAACAAAAGTCACGTCAGAATCATACGCATATGATCCGATATTACAACAACCGGGACGAAATTCGCCAGCAAGAAGACGAGATGTCTAAGCACATCCTGTATTTTTACATCTGCATTGCTAAGGAACTGGTTGAGGGAAAATCAACAGGGGAGGTATGGAGGATGCTTGGAAGTATGACATCTTCTAAACTCAACCGTAGTATTTATATTGGGGAACACAAAACGCATGGGCCCATTCAAGCCCGTCGGTCACATTCCAATGAAGAAAACTCTGCTGTTCGTCAATGTCACTCAAAAGGATTCCGCATCTTTGAGGGATTAGCCCAATGCATGGATTCTATAGACGATATTAAGCATTATGAGTCTTATTACATCGTAAGTGCTCTCCTCCCACTTATGGATTTAATAATTATGACACCGGGGTTGGATTTACTAACTCACCCACCGGTCATTTGTTTGAACTTTGCAGTTTGCACTACAACGACAAGCTAAGAAAGAAAAAGGGTTAAGCATGCTGAACAGAGAGTATGGAATAATCATCGCACCCGATTTTATGTTAAAGGCGTTCAACTTTATTGACACCGGAGGTTCAATCTTAACATTTTCAGATGACACAACACAACCGAATAATTTCTACTCTGGATTTGTTTGCAAGAAGTGTGATTTTATAGATAGGACCCACTGGTTTGATAATACCGATACTGTTTAGATTGAAAGAATAAAGTTTTTTGAATATCGTCTCCGTTACCTGCGGTAGCACTATAATAAAATTTGTCTTAGTTAATAGTTTTTACTTTTAGTTTTTTAGTTTAGTTATTGAAGTTTAGAAGAAAAAGTTTAGTTAATTAAGTTAAGTAAAAAATAAATCCACATCACTGCACCACAAATGACAAAGCCTAATATCCTAGCCTTAGGATACAACTTTGAACATAATAAATTATAACTTTTAATTCCCTTTAAATTCAGATCTGCCTCCCTGTACCACCCACAGGTTAGTTGTAGAACAAAGCTCAAAGCGTAATAGTAACGCTTTAAAAACGATTCCATGTTTGTATAGCGGCGTGCCATCGTGCATTTAAAGCAGACCAAGCGTAAAGTAAGCCCTTGTTTAATCAAGTTTAAAGTGAAAAGTGCTCTTATTGGTTCGGATTATGAAAGATTTGGCCGAAACGAATCTAAATGCTTTCTCTTGTTCAGGTGAAAGAGAAGGAGAAACGAGAGGAAAAACCTCCATTTATCGATTGTTCATGTCTGAGGAGTAAAACCCTCCAGATTTTACTCTTGTCCAGTGCTTTCGTCTCTTTTGGACTCTACAACCCAATCTTTTCTCTGGTAAGAACCAAGAAGTGAGGTTGGTTGGTTGGACGGATGTAGAAAAGAGAGTTGAAGTGTGGCCAACAACTATCTCCGCTTTCACTCCTTGCTTTCCACTAACTCTCACTTTAGAATCTGCAAGGGACAGTTATGACTCATCTTGTTCGTATTTATGGTATGCTTCTTCTTCTTCTCGGATAACGTAGATTTTTGCACCATTTTTGGTGCTAAGCCTTCCAGGCTTTTGTATAAATGACTCTATGCGGCTGGCTTTCTCCACTAACCTTCACACATATTATGAATTTGGACATGTCCTTAAAAGGTTTTTTTACATGGTGTCCTTCTGACTTTTGCAGGCTGTTGAATGTAGTAGAAAAGGCCTTGAGGGGAGTTGTTCTCTAGTCTTGCTCCATGTTTACGTTGGGGCCGCGTGGATCCTTGGGTGTCTCTTTTTTGGACTACTAATTATTCAAAAGAGCCCAGATTGTCGCGTTTCGAAACAGTATTTAACTCAGGTAACAAATTAAAATGCAATAATTTTATATAAAGAAAATTTATTAGCTATGTTCTGTCTTTAGGTTGCAAGTGTTATTTGCGGAATCTCAATATTGACCTTGACTTCGGTCAAGGGGAATAACGGAATGGTGATCTTTTCTTGGGTGTATGGGTAAGAAGATGAGATGAACATTGCTCATTTGGTGTCACTTTTACGACAAATTTTATTTACAGGTTCGCACTTGGAGGTTACAACTATGCCTTAAAAGTCTACACGTACGAGAGGGTCAGAGCTCGACATTTTCCAAGAGCGTGGTCATTCGTTCAGTCAGTTCAAGCTATTCCACTGCTTATTGGAGTCCCACTTACGGGTGAGTTAGCCTGGATTATGGGCGAATTGTTCAAAGGTTTTTATAATGAGGGATGACATTTATGCTAAAAAATAAATATCACGCATTGATTTAGAGCAATGTGTGGTAATTACATATGTATGTAAAATAATAGGAAGGAATGCTACGAGAAAACCTAATCCAATAGGGTAATTTAACCTCACAAGGTGCCCATATATCTCACGAATGTGTCACTTCTGGAATTTACTTTCCTTTAATTTCCTATCCTTTGAAAAACAAGAGTCACTCGAAAATTATCCGGAAATTCTTAACCCCGCAAAAAAATAATCGTCTCTCGCAGATTTTAAATATCTAAATCATTTCCTCTCAAGTCATTTCCATTATCGTCAGAAAAAAGAAAATTGAACTCAACACGCTGACTTACGCACTCTCATATTTCACAAATAAATGGCTGTCAACACTTTTTCTATCGTGTCAAAATGTTTGTGAACTTGGCTCACCAACATTAAACCAACAACACACACACGTTGCGTACAATAAATATTATTGCGTTTGTGGTTTGGTTGAACGCATCTCTATTTTTGAACTTTTTCGTACTTAACAGAACCATTAGCTTTTATGTCAATTTGACACGCACACGAATCAAATGCGGAAGTTAGGTAGTCTGCATGTGTGTAATAATCGCCGTGATAAATTATAGGATCGAGCCATTTCACCACTTTCTGCCTCAATTAATTCACTCGCATGTGACTCCTTGCATTTCATTCATAATAAACTGAAAAGCCACCAGGGTTGACATTTACGGCAACCATAACGGCTCGTACTCTGCACGTGGGCGAAAAGTGTTAATAAATTGCTGATAAAAAAGAGCACACTTTTGGCACCACCAACCGGTGCGTAAGATTGTTTGGGTTTCACTACATGCACCACTGCTGGGTGACAGTAATGAGGGCTTGAGAAATTAATATTTTATTTGTGATGGGAATTTTTTGCAGGGGAAATCAACCAAGCGATGGGATGGAGGTATGGGTATCTGCTTTCAGCCATTTCCATCTTCATTGGCGCAGCGTGTCTTTTTCTGACGGATGTGCGGAGAAGAAAAATGTCCAGGAGGAAGGCCAATAGTCAAAATAGTTCAATGAAAACGTGCGAAACGACGGATGGGACGCAATCTCCTAAATCGAAAAGACTGTCATTCTCGTTACCAGCCGTGGACCAACCACAACCTCTGGCGAAACAGCATGATTCCGATGATGAAGACGGTCCCGGTGGGGAAGTGGATCCGAATTCGGGAATGATGAAGGAACTCACTTGCATTTCGGAGGAAGGACTTGCAGACATGGATTTTCAAGTAGGACACATTTTTGAAAAGCAATAAATACAGTTTAATGATTTATTAACACGTTATTTTTTAGGGAATTTACTTTGACGAATGGGCCGATTATTTTGGAGAATGTATAACTTCGTGTAACAAAGTGGAAAACTGTCTGAATTCGGAATACGATCCGGACTATGCAGTTTTAGTGGAACGGAGGGCGAGACGGTGGTCCGCAGCTAGACAAAATGCCAACCCGTCTGCGGGTACAAGCTCGTTACATCATCCCGTCGGGGGAATGAAGGGGGGCAAAGCAAAATCCTCAGTGCTCGGAGTTCCTGGCCTAAATCCAAAGTTATTCCAATTAAATTTGGGACAACGGTATCAAAAACAAGGTTGTTCTCCATCCTGTCTAACGAGGCAGAGTCAGATAGCGTCGGCCTCTTCGTCCACGGAAAATCAACCAAGTGCCACAGCAGCCGCGGCCGTGGGGGTGGTTCGAGCAGTCCCGTTTCTTCGAAGTCATATCAGTCAAGTAGAGAAAGATGGACGGGGTGGTGTAAACCGCAGAAATAATCAAGTTAAAGCTGACGGGCAGAACTGTAGTTTTGAGGCTATCGATGAGGACTCGGTGTAATAATTAAGTATTTATTAATACTGAATGTTTCCGAAGAATTTACAAAATGCGACTGTTTTTTTATATTTAAAAGTGAGATTATTTATTATTAAATTATTAAATATTATGCATAAATATGTACTCTACTCATCTTAGTTTAGTACCCATAATATTTTTCACAAAGTCTTGTCTGCATTTGTGCATCTTTTATTGATTCGCTAAAAACTTGTAGAGCTCTGCATGCAAAAACTGTAGATAAATCGCGTCCCCCAAAATAGACATCCTGTTCCTTTTCTTGTTCAGATCCATTTTTTAGATTAATCTTAAATAAAGAATCTGCCACCCACCCGCCGTCCGAGTCGTTCTGAAGTGCTTCCAATTTGCAACATTCTGCCTCCAATTTTCGTCTCATCCAAATCCCATCCGGACCCAGAAGACCCAGACAATCCGCCGACAATATTCGCATCGCAAGACTTATCGGTCCGCCAGACGGAGAGGTTCCAACTCGTCGTTCTAACAAGGAAATCAAGGGCTCGGCGAATCGATTTCTTGCCTCGTTCGAAATACTTGTACATCTTGACAACGCGTAGAGAAACGTGTCAGGTGAATGGTGAAGTTCAAAGGGGAGTATGAAATCATTATCATGCTCATCTGCATTGAGTGATTTTAAGAGATTTTCTACTGTTTGTAGCAAAAACTGTTGTGTACTTTCTACATTTTCCGTGTAATTTAGACTTACACCAACACCATCACTACTACCGTTAACATCCTCACTGATATCTTCCGTAAGAACGTAGTAAAGATAGAGAACATTTGCACACGTGACGGCATCAATGGTTTCACTTCCGTTAAGAAATGTCCGAATTACGCCGGGGTGGAGATCATCTTTCGAAAAATCTCCAACGTTCGAGAGCAGCAATTCCGTCACGCTTGCGGTCGGTTTGATGTCCAGGATGCCTTCTCGGAGCAGGACGGATAATGCCAACGCTGTTGTGTTACAGTCGTCGGTTATGCAATCAGCTTTATTATCATTTTCCATTACGACTCCTTCTTCTTCCTGGTCACACTTTACGTTGGTGGTGTCACTCAAACTTGAATCAGCACGATCCATGTCGAATTCACTTGAGCTACAACCGGAAGAACTGGTGGCACTATTTGGCCGAGGGGAGGACGAGGATAATAATAGATCCAGATTTTGATTAGGTTTGAAAATCCCGAAGGTTGAAACTCCAGTGTCTGGAAGGATAAAGTTGATCAAGGATTTGATCACTTTTGGGGACAAGCGTGACGATTCGTCCTCAGACTCGGTGGGGTCCACATCTCCTAAAATGTCCAGGGCCAAAATTGACGTGTACTGTTCTACCAAATGGGATGTTGGAGTTGCTGATGTTTCAGAATTAAGGAGAGAATCAAATGATTCTTTGTTGTCAGTAGAACTTTGCATCTCTGAAAGTAACACTGGATGACTTTGGAGTCCATTTCCAGACAAGGCTAAAATCCTCTCACTCAAAAATGCAATTCCTTTCTCAATTTTCCTGGTAAATTCACATTTTTGTTGCAGAGGTTGTGTCACTGCCAAATTTGAGTAAAACTTAAACTTATTCGGTTCCACTTTATTTTCTGAATACGATTTTATAAGATTTTGCAAAATCTCTTCCATTTTAGCAAAAATTTATATTCAGCAGCTTCCGAAGTTCAGTAGCTTTAAAAAGTTTTAATGGATACGTGCTTACTTATTAGCAAATGAAAATTTAAGTCTGAAGGTGAATCGAACAATGAGGAAACATTTGCGAATCTGTACTTGTACTTGTTGAATGAGGCATAACTACCAATAAAACTTTATAGAGGTGCATATGTAAGTACATACAACAGCACCTGCAGAATATTAGCCACCTATTAGAGGCTAATTTTTTCCATGAACTGGAATTCCCTTTAATTGAGGGAAGTAAGTTGGCTTACCTTTTGCCTGCCGTCGTCGTGTTCCATTCCATCAGCATCACCATCTCATCATTAAAAACCTTAGAATACGACCGTGACTCAAGAAGCAATTGACTCTGGAATGAAGTTTACCACTTTTTCTTCTCACGCTAAGTTTGTATGTGCAAATACAATACACACATCGTGATGATATTGTGCGGTTCAGCGTCATCCAGTGGCCGCGGAAGCGTGGGGACAATGTCCCCACTGTTATTCGATGTCCCCATAAACTGCCTATTTTATATAAACTCCTCCCTCCCCTATCCTACAATATTAATGTCCCCACGGCTTCCGCGGCCACTGGCGTCATCAACAGTGAACGTTTGTGATGGACAAGTGCAACTTTCATGCGAACAAGATGACTAAAGATTTCTTGTGTTTATTGTGCAAATACGAGCAAAAAAGCCGCTTCCCTTTGACCACCGAATTACATTGAGCAGTTGTACATATCTACTTTGATTGGCCAGTATTTGCCAATTGTTAAGTCGTCACAGCCCAAAAATGCACATTTTATTTGTATTTATGTATGGATGGATGTGATACGACGAGAGAAAAAAAAACCTGCTTTTTCATTTCAATTATTATCAGACTTGCCAACTTGTTAAATAGCTGATTGAGATTTTGTATTATTTATGATCAGACCAACTCCAAATTTATTTATCTTGTCACAGACAACTAACCAACTACCATCTTGCAGCAGGAATACGCACAATAATAAGTTATGTATATTTTCCATTCGTTGATTTAACAAGACCTACAATCGCGTGCCCATCAGGGGTTCTACGGTATCACATTTTGCATCAAAGCGTCCATGTTTCGGAATTGAATTTACTGCTGCACGATAAATCGCAAGTAATTTATGGGAGCTTTGTTGATTTTTCATGCATTTCGCCGATATTGTTATGATTCTATTCCTTCAAGATGCGAGTCAAGTTTGGCTCTGGTTTGTTAGTAAATTTAATTTTTATTGATATGATAATGACGAGATATTTTTATGTCAAGGAAAAAAAGACATGCAGGCAGAACTTGAAAATAAATTATTGATTGATATAAGTTTTTATAAGAATTAGAATCATGCTAACTAAATAACTGGATTCGACACGAATTTTTATAATTTTGTCGCAATAAGTAAAGTGTCGACTTGTTAAAATTCTCCAACTGTAATTTTGAAGAGGATTCGATAATGGCGACGCTATAAAGATTAGTTTCTGGTACCAATATTTATATCCTTAAGCATATATAGCTCGTAAACCTCATAGGTAATTATTATTTTTTTTTATCATTTACATATGCACGACAGATGATATTCTTCAGCCCCATAAAATTTTACAGCTTTTAAATCAGTACGATCAAATTATCAAATTATCGATACCACAATTAACCAGCTTACCGATAACCTTGATCTAAATTCAAAACAGTTTTAAAATTCTACCCGTCAAAACTTGAAACGATAAATAAATTACGTTTAATTACAGGTTTGAAACTCTTACAAAATCAATTTTGTAATTTACGACATCATTTACATATTAAAGTTTGAACTTGAGCCGTAATTCAATTTATATTTATTTTATAAAATTGCACCAATTATTCTTGCATCTCCCTCTGCCTGTGTAGTAAATCAAATAAGGAAATGGCTCACTTTAGTTTTTATAGTAATGTCTTGACTCAAGGTTCATGGTTGTAATCCGACGCAAGCAAAGGGTTCACCATTATTTAATCCTTCGTGGCTTGGTGCTTCTTATGGTGCTATTAACCATGTAATTAAATGTTTCTCGCCATTTATTGCAAGTAAACATGAATAATCTTCGGCTGAAAATTCGCTTATTTTGAATAAAATTCACATTACGGATTCACCTTAGCGTTCATAAAGACTGGTTTAGTTGGTGGTACAATGGTTCCTGGGCAAGAAATAAATTTTACAATCTGCTCTTCTGCTGCTCCTTCTTGTTTTACTGTATGCGACCATTTGCCATTGATAAACAGCTTTGTTGTGGCATGGCCATTTGAGAATAAGTAATCGGAAGTAAATTGGTTGTTGCTTAATTGGATGGCCATTGCACTAACCGAGAGATAAATGTCGCCGTTAGTAAATTGTAATTTTGAAATGTTTGGGAAAACAAACCATCTCAATTTCTGGCTTTATCGTGATTTTTTATCTACACGGACTCGTTACGTAACTTATTTGTATTCATTCCTTGCACATTTTAAAAATTCATAAAGTTCACAAAAGCAAAATTAAATTAGCTTCTTTCTGTTGAAACCGCAGTCCGTATTCCAGACGGAGGGTGAGTCGTTGGTTTGGTGATTAAATAGCTCCACGGGGAGCATAACCATTCATTTCGTTCGTCCAGTTTGATTAGATTGGTTTATGGTGGATAGTCAGGAGTCATTTTTGTGCAAATTTTGACCTATTGGCTAAAAAGATATTTTCGAAATTTTATTCAAAGCTTTATCATCAGAAATTTAAACTTAAACATGTTTACCCTACAACTACAACAGTATTAGATTACTCAAACTCCTGGTTTTACAGCATTTCAGTCGGTTTCTTTATATTCAGACTTGCCCCACCAATTCATTATTGAGCATTCGTATACATACATTTTCTTCTATCCATATTTTTGTACTAGGAAACTTGACTATGAATAAATAAACATTTTTGGAATTATGATGGTCCACACCCGTTTTTCTTTCGTTCCGGAAATAGAATGACTCAAAATTCCTAAAATAACCTCAACTATTTCTCTAAACTAGTGATTAGTAGTGTCCAAAATTCCTTCTTCTGATATTCTTGTGAGTTCTTTGGGCATCTGTTCGCCGTGACTGTGGCTCCCAAGTCGTGAAATTCTCATCGATCTTTCCGACCCAGAGCTGGACCTTTCCTCCTTGGAAATTCTTGGGGGTGACATTTGCTCATCGGGGAATGTAAAGGAAATTCTCCGCATTCCCGGCGACTGCAGACTGTCCGTGGTTTCGCAGCTGAATATATCAAGAAAAAAAATAATAAGAGTCTTATCAACACGAGAAATAGATAACTGGCATAAAAATTAATGGTTTTCCTTACGTCTTCATTGAGCTGCGACTCGACTTGTGCCGTCTCAGCTGTCGAGATCCCACAGCACTTATGCACATAATAAAGAAGCCAAGAAAGATGGCTGCGGCAGAGACAAAGTAACCTTTTCTCCGTCCGGCTGAAGTATTTATGTAGCCTGTGATGACATGAGGGAAAAGTGGGCAAATAATTTATTAGTTGTATTAGGTCAACACAATGGTTGGTTTGAGATCACCATTTTTTACTTGAAAATACAAGCGATTTAAGTGACCGCATTTTGAGATTATGAATAAAATCAAACTTTCACCAATCTCGTGTTACATAATTTTATTGCTTTTCTTACCAATTACTGGAATTCCCAATATTAGCGATGCTCCTTGCACGCTTTGAATAAAAGACCACGCCATTGGGAACATCCTTGCCCGGAACTTTTCATAGATTAAGGCTTTCAGCATGTACTGGTAACCACCCATTGCAAAGCCATAAATCCACGAGAAAGTCACCAGTCCACTCGGCTCTTTCACATTTGTGAGTGCAATTATGGACACTCCACAAAGCAGCGCGGTGACCTAGGACAATATCAGGAGAAGTGAAAGTCAATAAAAAACAGGGACGGAGAGAGACCGATGGGAAAATAGATTTATTGCATTTGCTCAATAAATCACGCACTATTGATTCGAATATTTTCCTCGTTCCAGCAAAAACAGACCTCTCCCAATAATAAAAAAATTATTTCATTCATACTGCGACGCACCTGACACAAGTAGAGTTTAGAGATCCGACATTCTTCATTCTTCTGAATAGCCAGGAAGCCAAAGACCCACGCCCCAAGGACCCACCCAGATCCGATGTAGACGTACAGCAGCAGCCTTTCAGTCTCTTCCATGCCTTCATCTTGACATTCTAATGCCTGGAAATAAGAAATAAGACCGCGATAAAAGTGTCAGTTAGGAAACAATGCAAACACAAAATTAAACCCGTGACAAGACGGATTGCATAAATTAATTGTTCGAGAAACGTCGAGATCTTTCAACAAGATCATGACACGATGGGTAATTTTATAAGGGACAAAATGGGCTGAAGTGCACACACACATAAAAAAACAGCAAGAGATTTATCACCTACCAAATGAAACAGCGGGGAATGACCCCAGGCAGTGAAGGCACAGGAGACGAGCAAAATCTGCATGGAACGACTGGTCAAAGATTCCACGTCAAGAAATGGTGGTCCGTCATTCTTCTTTTCTTTCTCTTTGATCTGTCAAGTCAACATTTTCACCTCAGTCATAAGAATTCTCACCATTTGACACATTTCTCTCATGAATAAGTTAAATGTATTGTGAGACTGAAAACGTAGACGTGGACGTGGTGATGATGATGATGAGTGAACGTGACAAGACTTGGACGTCTTGTTTAAGCCACCACGTCATCCGTATTTATTATGTGAGACACATAAATACATAAGCTTTTTAAGCTTTAAAAAGGTAATGTCGGATTTCATTCCTTTTCTCATGGTAATTTTGTGTTTGTATAATATTTACTTTGCGTTTCTGGTTTTTCAGATGAACTATCGCTCTTCGCTGGGGGTGATAAAGTGACGCGGAACGATAGCAGGAGCCCAGGAGGAATGTGAGGGTAAGAGTCCCAGTGATAGCTTGTAGTCCAAGGCGCCACCCGATCGAGCTGAAAAAGGGTAATAAATAAATCCATTGCAAATTCCACATTTGGCACAAAGTCGTTGTGAATTTGTTGCAAATTTTGAGACAATCTCATCCATCTTAAACATATATAAATCTTTTAACGGTTTGTCTCCGAAGAAAATCCACTAAAACCAAGCAATGCATAACAATAAGGGCGAAATAATAATCGATTTTTACATCCGTTTTTGGGGTTTTCTGCACAAAAAGAACGAAAGAACTGTCTAGAATTTTGTGCATCAGAGAACAAACCTGAGTGCAAACTCCATGAAAATTGTCATGAGGATGATTCCCATTCCGGAAGCGGAGACGAGGACAGATTCCACAAAGTCGCGTCTCCTCTTAAAATACTGACCCACCATTAAACCCGAAGCATCTCTGGTTAGACCTACGCCAACACCTGCAGCAAAAATGACGCAAGGAAAATTAGTACATAAACTTGCTACGTGATTCTGAGACGAAGAAAGCGTCGTAGTCGTGCACATATTGCATTCCGTGTCTTTTATCAATGAAGTTAAGTATTTAGTAGAAAGTACGAGCTAATTGAGAAAGTTTTCATTCCTCCGGATTCGTGGGAAGATGAGACTCTTACAATTTTGTGATATCCAGAAATAAAACAACTTACGGTTTTAGTTGTGCATCGAGATTACACAAAACTAAAGCCTTTTCTTCTCATGGTTTTGTTTAATCTGTTGAAAATCGTTCTTAAACTTTTCGAATATTCGCTATCTTAAACACTCTCTGACGTAACACAGGGAAGAAAATGCACAACTTTTCCATCTCTTACGTATTACTCGCTTATGCATTTCGCTGAACTTTCTCCTTTAACTTTCCACAAGGAAATTTGTTGCAAACTGAATTACTTACCCATGAATATTACATAGCTGATGTAAAGTTGATGAAATTGTGAAGCGAAGGAGGTGAAAAGACATCCTAAAGATACGACTAGTCCTCCGAATACTGCAGTCAGTCGGGTGCTCTTCCGCTTGCAAATTGAGACCCATAAAGGTGAGAGTAAAAGGGACACTCCGAGAGACAAGGAGATCAACCATACTGCAAAAAAATATGTATTGCAAAAATCAATTGTTAATTATATATGCACATACCAAAAAAAATTCGAATCATTCAACAAGTTTCTTAATAAATAAAATGTTTACGAAGAAACGCACAAGTGCAATTCGTTACATTGTCAAGACCACTTTAGACTTGACATTTACTACTCTTCCTCCAGGAGGAGGCATTAGTCTCAGTCTCGGATCTGGGCGATTTAGAGTCGGCTCATGTGATGAGATTTCCTTCTGTCGGATGAATTTCTACATAGCTGAAGGATTTCTCCTCAAAGAAAATTGAAAGTGAATGGATGATGCGTGCGTAACAATTTAAATTCGCCCAATTCTGTTCCACTTGGTTGAGAAATTTATGTGAAAGCATTTTAACCAAATGAATTGAAACAACAACGCTTGTTTCTTCGTGAGCGGATGCCAACAAGATAAAAGGAACGAATGAATTTAGTTGTGGAGAAGTTATGTTATGCGTTCTACACATAACATGGCGTGACAAAATCTGCGAAACCTCGGAATCTGATTGTGCATAGGAGGAGACAAGTCTACTTTTATTTGGCAAAGGTCACCCACACTTTGCCAAAGTCAAGTAGAAAGTAAGTAAACAGAACTCTTCCATTAAAGCAAACATCCATCCATTAAGTCGCAGTGTGAGGTTAGAGTCGGTGATTGATGGTCGGATGCCTACATCGGTTTCCGGTCTTTGTTGTTGTTGTCAACCCAAAACAAAAGTATTTACTTTCTCGGGTGTCATTTCACGTTATGTGAGTGACCTAAAAACTAGAATGATCCGTGTCTTGGGGAGATTACCAGCGTGACTTACATAAAAAAATGTAACACAAAATATTTATGTATGTATGTACATCATAAGAGTTAGAAATTATTAATAGTTTCTAATTACTACTAGTTGTTAGCACGAATCACGACTTTGGTAACAACAATAAAACTTATCTAATAATGCCTGCCCATCAATTAATTTTCCTTGAATTATTATTTCATCAATGTCATGTCAGTAGTCTTAAAAAAGAACAATAATGTCCGGTAGCAAGATGGCTAAGCATTCGTGAGTTGAGTTGAATAGAGATGAAAATTCCTCTAGGTGTTCAATCTTGTTGAACAAGTAGTGATAATCAATTTTCTCTGCAGGGTGTTTATGAGTTACGCTTTGTGTTTGCTCTAATTAGGTTCATTGTGCAACTAGCCATGTACATATTCAAGTTATTGAAGTTATGTCATTTTTGCGACGTTGGTTTAATTTGCACATAAATTTAATTAATATTTGCACTTGTAAATATTCGTATGAAATTTTGTAGATTTTAATGTACATAAAATTCCTGTCTGGCCTTATCGACTTGTATAATTGCAGTAATACATCAAAATCTGGGTACGTGGGAAGCTATGAGCATACATATGCACACAGTTAGATCGGTTTACATCGTATACAAAGATGGGCATGGATCTGATCTGCTTTTGAATACACAAGAGTACCACGTAGCCCAAGGGAACTTTAATAATTTATGGATCTACATTTTGTAATCTGGCGATCCCACTCGTACATATATCCAGCCGGATAAAAGTTCACCGACGTATTCATGAAAGTAAACGTATTATTGCCGCCTGTTGTATGAAATTAACGAAATAAAATCTTCTATGTAAACTGATTATTGTTTTTCAACAATAATTTTGCTTCCTGGTTTTTGATAGAATTGGGGTGCAAATATTGGTGGCACGTGTATGCCCTACGCGCACAAGTGACGATTTCATGAAGGCAAACGTGCTGGCAAATTCCGATTTCTTGCCGATGTCATGGGTGCAACAAAACTTACACCGCTTCGGTACCGAATAAGTACTATATTTGGTTGTACCTCCAATACTGACACACCTTCAGTATAAATTCGGCACCGGTTTGTTGGTATACAGCCTACACCGTTCATATGGTACCTATCTAGTACTGGTAAATATCGGTGACGATTTTTAAGTCACCCAATCGGTACTGGCTCGGCAGCTTGATTTTTGTACACATAACAAGAGTACCTGTCACGTACCGGCCAGTTACCGATCAGGGATTGATGAGACTGTAAATTGGCGGGGGTCTCAATCCATCATCTGCAGTGACGAGTTAGATTGCACGTTGCGAATAAAAACCATAAATATGGATTTAAAAAAGTTCTCTGTTGTCCATTTCGTCGACGAAAACAGTTATGAAGTTATCCCGTCGACTTGGATAACCCCGGACCAAACGCGTGGTTCGTTTCCGTCAAATAAACCGAAAGGGCTGCAAAAATTACAATCTACACCTGACTCTCCTTACAATTCTGCTTGGCCATTGTGGAACATAAAGATAATCAAGTCTTATGGTAAAAACGTAAATCCACATAATCATGTAATCTAGTTATTTTTGGTATTTAATTACTAATTTTTTATACACAGACAAATTCGAGCGAGCTAACAAGAAGGCTGGAAGTGTGGTCAAAGGACTCGAAACTAGTGACATTGAACAGGTGAGGAAGTCTCGACGTAACATTCCACCACAATTACCGTCGGAACAAATAATCGAACCGGAGTCAAATTTAGGTAAGACAGCAACTTCATAATTATATTAACATTAATTAAGGCTTATTAAATAATTTTTATATAATATGATTTTCTATTAATTTAACTAAATAAATTTCAGGAGAATCGGCCAAACTAAATAATTTCCTGACATCAGACCAGGAAGAAGGTCGACAGCATGAACGACGTGAGGTTCACGATAATCCTCAGTCTCTAAGTGAAGCACCCGGATCAGGTAGAATTTACTATCATAATAATTGTTGTTGTCAAAACGTACAGTATGAAAATCTTAATTTTTAGATTCGATTATTTATATACAATATTTAGGTCAGGAACTCTTTCTGCAAGTCCACAATCCGGATGTTACGCAACTCCAAGAAGAATTTCGTCGTAAGTAATTCTTAAAATGTTAATCGTATAATTATCCCTCGAATCAACAATACATTAAATGTGTATTTGCTTTTAGGATTCCAAGAGGAATCTCTTCATAGCCAAGCCGAATTGTTGGTTCGAATTAACGATTTAACAAAATTAGTTAAGCAAGTACTTTCGTCAACTGGTACTGTTCCGTCCCCTTCAACATGGCCATTAAGAACATTGGAGGATTTTAAAACTGGACGAATTAATTAAAGATCCGAAAAATTTTGCTGCCGAGGTTACTTACATTGATTTGATTTATACACAAAATTACAATCAGATTAAAAATTTAATTTTACTTGCTTCATACGTTTTTAGTTCAAAGCATTGACAAAGATTCGTGGAGGATCTTTATTAAACCATATCTATTCGACACTGGGTTCGATATTTGCTCATGAGTTAGCACTTCAGATAAGGTGGACTGATGCTTCGGGAAAAGTTCAACTCCAAGGGTCAGAATTGGCGAGACTTGTTAGAGGTAATTAGTATAATCTTGTCATAGTTTAGCGTTTTTCTGTAAATTTGTACGTGTTGTGTATTTGTATTTATGAAAGTATTTATATTCATGTAAATTCACAGAGGCGGTAAAGTTTACTCGAGAGGAGGACCAAGACGCGACCGACAAGAACATTAACTCAATAATTGCAAAATGGTTCCGACAATCCCCTGATCGGAAAGGAGGCAGCGGATCTAGGAGAAACGTTAGCAGCGATGGAAACACCGAGGAGAACCATGGAGAGGAAAATACAGAAGAAGGTGCAGGCGTCACTTCTGAAAATCAGGCAGGCAACTTGTTGTAGTGTTGACGCACATGAAAATAATTTAGACAGTATGGAGGTTATCGACTCACACGAAAATAATTTAGATAGCGTGGATGTTTTTAACGATTCAAGTAGTAGTAGTGTAACTGATTCACCTCCTAATTATTTAATTAGCCAACAAATTACAGATGATTTAGTTGATGGCCCAGTATTAGGAATAGAATTAGAGGCATACCGCTCTATAACTGTATCAAAAAAGTCGCAACTAGTGAATTGGGCATTGACACATAATGTTACCCACTCAGCTCTATCTGATTTATTAGGTTTAATTAGAAATTGGCTTCCTAATGATAATTTTCCAGTTGACCCCAGAACACTTGTCCAATCCCCTAAACAAATAACTTTAGTCCCTCTCGGTGCTGGGGAATTTTTCCACTTCGGTATAACTCCCCATATAAATTCCTTTCTGAACCAACAAAATTTGTTCAGCTTTTCACTGCCAAAATTTGATAGCTTAAATTGTTCTAATCTATTGACCATAACTATTGGCATCGATGGGCTTCTTATTTCAAAGAGCTCAACGTACGAATTTTGGCCCATTCTTGGACGAATTGACCAAGATAAAACATCACAAGTTTTTGTGATTAGTTTATATTGTGGACTTAAAAAACCAGACAATATCGAAAGTTTTTTGGGCCCCTTTGTTAATGAAATGAATAGTTTAGAACAAAACGGATTACAATTTAACAATACACTCTTTAATATTAGAATTCGCTGCATTGTTGCCGATGCTCCTGCTCGTAGTTTTGTGAAAAACATAAAAACGCACAACGCATATTTTGGATGCGAACGATGTTACCGGCGTGGGAAATGGTATCGAAATAGAGTAACATATCCAATTAAAAATAAGGCTGATGCGTATACAAATGATTCGTACAGGCAACGGTGGTACCAATCTCACCATAAGGGCACCTCGCCTTTAGAGATTTTAAAACTGGACATGATTTTTCAGATTCCACTCGACTACATGCATTTAGTTTGCTTAGGAATCATGAAAAAATTGTTAACTGTTTGGGTGGAAGGACCGCTTCCTCACAAACTTTCCGTTAAACAAGTAAGGTTGATTTCAAATAAACTTGAGGCATTTAGAAAATATATTCCATCAAATTTTAGTAGGAAATGTAGAGGTTTGGATCAACTTCGTCATTTCAAAGCTACAGAATATCGAACATTTTTATTGTACATAGGGCCATTTTCATTAAAAAGGGTTTTGACTACAGAAAAATTCGATCATTTTCTACATTTACATACAGCTATGTATATATTAGCAACTGAAACCCAATCTAATGAATGGCTTAACTTTGCAGAACAATTAATAGATAAATTTGTTTCACTAATTCCAAAGCTATATTATAAAGAAATGATGGTGTACAATTTTCACAGTTTAACTCATATCACTGACGAAGTTAGAATTCATGGCTGTTTAGATAGATTTAGTGCTTTCGAATTTGAGAGTTTCATGCAAAAAATTAAGCGTCTTTTAAGAAGCAATTCTTGTCATTTATCCCAGGTGGTCTGGAAGAAATTACTCGAAATAATTTTAATCACACAACTGCTGCTGGTAATTTTACGCGAGGCAAATCTCTATCAATTAATGATAGAGATAACTGCTATTTAACAGACGATGGCAGATATTGTATTATTAAATGCTTTAACCCATTATGTGTACAGTATTTAGATGTATGCGATATTAAGTGGTATAAAACTCAAAGTTCTAAATTAGGCGTTTGTAAAGTTTTAAAATTATGTGAAACTGTGGAAATTCATATTATAAAATTAAGGAGAAAATGTATGTTTTTAAGGAAAGTAGATAGTGATCTAGGGTATATTGTTCCATTATGCAATTCTGATTGTTGTAAGTAGATTATATATTTATACTCTATAAATTGTGAATTTGTTCTTTAACATAATAAATATGTAAACCATTTAAAATTGTGCATTATTTCACACCCATGTTATTGCACCGTAACGATATCTGGAAATTGGTGCATATATGTAATGATTTGGAAGTTCCGAGCAGGTACCGGTGCATCGGCGTTGGTTGAAGTGATGGCACCGAAACTTCACCGATCATTGGCACACAAACGGTACTGGCAAATGGGGCAAATCGGTAGTTTACCTTCGCCAGTGTGCCAGTACCGACTGGTTAAGAAACCTTCACGTTTTTGCTGGTAGGGTGTATTTCCTGGCCGGATGATCCGAGATGTGAGATGGCTTACAAAATTCGAAACATGAAACTTTGTGACATTGTGAAGGATGAGAAATGTTCTAGCGCTTAACCCTTGGTTGTCGTTTAGCTGGTGCGTTTTACGTACGCATAATATAACTGTTTATCATGATTTCAGTTGTTTTGCTTTTGTAGTGGTTTCAATATTTGAAGAAAGTGGAAGCGTTGGATAGGATTACGTTGTCGGAAGCGAAAAAGTTGAAAAATAATCCTCAAAACAAACCTCAATCTTCATAATGTACGTTTTAAACATGAGAAATGTTGAGGATTAACAAAGTGCAAAATCTAGAATGAAAGAGAAATGTGTGTGCAATAAGACTTCGTAAAAATTAAATTGCTCTGTGCAAAATTTCATCATCTTGTTGTTCTTTCTTAATACTCAATTTGCAAATGTCAGGTGGCCATGAAAAGAAGCAGAACATGAAAAAATCATCAAAGTTCAGTCAGGTGAAGACAACTCAACTACAAATTTCATGTTAATTGACTATACAGAATTAAGGGTTGGGTTCGAGTCTGGCTGGCCGAACTACTAGAAAATTATAGCCATTTGCTAATAACATACGTTCAAAGACGGACATCTTCTCTCACCCGAATCGTATCGCACTACGTATACGAAATCTTATACAGCATCCAATACAATCGGTATATGTGTCATTAAAAAAATATTATTACATCGTGGAATTTCAAAGTTCAACATATCATCCACGCATTGACTGCGCTTCAATTAGTGAAAACCGCAAATTAAGGAGTCTCATTATTCTATAACAACGACATTGTCATTGCCCCAGGTTGCGAATTGCGAAATTATATGAACCTTTACCTTCCTTTATTACATTACTGTTGATGCTAACTTATCCTCTGCCAATTTCACATGAGCAAAAACTACAAATCAACAATAGTCAAAAACTCATTTTGAATTCAGGCTACAACTCTCTGCATCAGGTGTCAATGTGAATGTCGATGATGTAGAAGAATGAATTATTACTAGTGAGTCGAGTCTCTCATAAGAATGAGACTTTGCCCGAATTCGAAATGGGATTGCAAATAAATAAATATTTTGCAAACTGTGAAAGTAATGTGGAAATGATGTATTGCAGATTTCTTCTTGTTGAAGGGTGGGCAAAGATGATATTATTTTCCTGTCTGGTGTGCTTGGAAGGCATAACTTGTGCGAGCAAAGGGGGTTGTACTGCCCAATATTTCAAGAAAATTTAATGTTCTAAACGCTTTCAAAGTTTTAAGCCGTCGACCCGGTCAGCCTCCAATGGGAAATACGTGATTCATGAATTATCTATCGATCAGCTCCGCACTTATTTATTGTTTCATTTTTTTCTTTGTGTGGTTGTATTTCTCAACAGAGAGCATCTAAAATCTGATATTTACGCGTTTCTTCTTCTTCCTCTCTTCAAGTTGAAGTGCAGCTAGGATGAGCATGATTACAACGCTATTATGGAGAATTGAACGGACCATCCCATCTCAATAATATGTTTCGTAATTTGTGGGATCATAATAATGCAACATAAAATATAGATTTCTTTATTGGGCACAATGAACCGATCATTATCTGACCCATCGGAGATATGTATTCTTTGGAATTTTAAATTTTGGACTGCACTTTTGCTATTACACATGCATGCCGATGTGGGTGAATTAGTAATGAGGTGAGCAGCACGTCCAAATTTTTGACCATGAATCGTGCTGAAGGAAAGGAAAAATGAAATCAATTAAAAAATTCTGACCGGCTAAACCTTCACGACGAAAAGTGGGTTTCTTAAATAATTGTATTTAATTTTCATAGTCAGGTGCAGTATATACATGAATATGTATTACACATATAAATTCATGAGTATATGTGAACATTTGAAATTTCAATAAATGAATATCTTAGGTTTAATACGAAATGCAAAAAAAATTGTGAAGCAGTCATATTAAACGCATTCTTGAATGACACCGTCTCAAACAAGTTGAAAGGTGTCAACTCCACTAATAGTATTCACGTCAAAAGAAAGTGTCGCTTCACTTTTTATCCAAACGTATCACGTATCGCATTATGCGTTTAGGTGTGTCCTTGGTTGGTAGTAATGATACTTCTAATCCTTTCGAGGTATTAGTGTCACTTTGAGGTTGTAATGCCCAGCAAAAAATTAATGGATGAGCGCAGCAGCAATCTTCAAATAAATCCGAAATTGTGTATTTAACTCGCATTTTATGTCACATTGAGCTACAGCCTCAATTAAACGTAAACGTGTTCCCTCTCTCGAGACCAGGCCACAAAAAAGACACAAACAGTTTGAAATTATTGTCCCATTAATTTAATTTACCACTCTTTTGTCACACAGAGAAATAGCTGGGAACAGTTGTCGTAAAATTTTATATAAGTGCTTAAACTCATGTTTGATCGTTATTTTCTCCATTGTTCCATCCCTTGGTCTCGCAGGAATTTGCATAATGTGACCAAATTGATGTGTGATAAGCCTGACAGTGTGTGTAGTAGTGGATCATCCACATTAATCCTCTGGATGGGTGAGCCCCTCGCTGGTTGGCCGTGTCAGACAATACACAGTATTTTGCAAATGCTGCAAAATTTGGCAAAGATGCAGATATCACATCAAGTAAAATGGTCAGATAGATGTTTGCCTAATAATTATTCTCGTGCGGTTATTGGTAGGTATTTCTGCTTGTTAGTCCATGTTCAAAAACAAATTAATGATGTGATGGGTGCCTTTTATCTCTGAACAAGATCCAAGAGTAAGAGATTATCTGCTTGCTTGATCATTCATCCCATCTCGTTTCAAATTAATGAGTCCATATTTACTGCATATGAGGAGGAGGAGACTCTCTCTCTAGTAGAACGGACGGGGATGTATTTCATGTTAATTAAGAATAAATCTTTAATCATGATGTCGCCCTCTCTCTCAACTATGCAAATTCGGATAATGGTTGTTTTTCCATCCTAATTACGCGACCATTACTCTGTTTTGCTTTTTGAAGAAAAAAACGCCGTCGCAATATTTTTCTGCACCGCCGCCTCCATAAAGATGGAGAAGATCGTAAATTTGGGGGATTTCACACTGTTAAAAAATGTGACCAGTCTGCTGCTGGTTTGGCATAACAAACTATTCTAATTTGATGATGACGCGAATATCAAGCTGAGCAACCCCACTGCACTGCACCCACGCAAACACACCTGAATAATTCTCACAGATCTAGACGTACGAGACTTTTGGTGTGAATTATTTCACTGGGAATGCAACGACTCGGAGATTTAATGAAATCCAAGTTGAAAAATTGCTGAGAAAACGAAGACAATGAGTTATATTGGACGAGTGTGCTTTACATATGGGTAATAGGAACCTTTACGAATTGCTGTTGGAATGCAAGAACTGAACCGAATATCTGCGTATAAGAAGCTCGTAAATATTTGCCACAGTGAACCGAATGAACGCAGTTACTTGTTTCCCTTCCCCATAAATCCAACATTAATTAAAATTAATTCTGGCTGGCTTACCACTCTCAACTCGTAGTTCATGACCGAAGCGATCTAACGCTTTGGTGGCGAAGATTCCTCCACAGAGGAGAAATCCACAGAGGAGAGAATGAGAAAATAATGCCGTGGCCAGCACGACATAGCCCCAACCGCCCTCTGGAAAAGAAATTTCGAAATTTCGAAAAATTACAAAATTTCATTATTCGAAACTATAAATAAGAACATTTCTTCTTGCCTGGGTAATAATGCGTCGTAAGCGTAGAACTGTGGGCGGAGGATGCACTCGTGCTGTTACAACGATCCAAAGGGGCATACGGCCCCCTGGTATATCGCTGAAAGTCATTTCTTCTCGCGGCTCTGGAGTAGAAATTATTATAAAATTGGCTGTTAAAGCTCCCATTCATTGAGGATCCCATTTTTCCATCCGAGATTATAGAACTGCTGGCAGCACTTCCATTAAAACTGTTAATGCTGACACCACCACCACCGCCAGACGCTTTGGCTTCATGGACATGTCGAAGGATTGACTTTTTCCGGTGAACCCGACCACCACCACCACTTTTAACATCAGCATCATTATTAATATCCTCGTTATTGGAACTTGAATCGTTGTTCGTGTGGGAATTTGTGAGATGGAAGTGATGATCGTTACTTGATGCGTCCCCTTTGTTGTGGACGTGTTGTTGTTTCTCAAAATTTTCATCATCATCAATATTATCCGCTTCATCGTCGTCCTCTTCTTCTTCGTCGTCATCATCATCTTCTTCTTGACCGAAGGGAAACTCGTCCACTTGTCCAATCACGTTTCCCTCAATGTCACCAAATCCACTAGGTCCAACATTTGTCTCCTTTTCTGCCCCTTCAAAGAATTCTCGCCGTCGTGCCTCCTTACTTTTGTACTGCTTGAGTTGTAAGGTGACTTGATCGTCGGAGTCCTCATAGAATTCTGAAGATGCGGAAAATGTTCGGTCGATTGAGAATAAGACGTTCTTTCCAGGAAACCCACTTTCTCCGTGAGTGGAGGCAAGTTGAGACGACGTGGCAGGTTGTGTTTGGGGAGGATTTTTATGACTGAGTTTCTTTGGGTTTGGCATCATGAAGTATTATCACAGGGCAAGATTTGATTCATCAGAGGGGAAAAATTTACATCTTGTTTGATCTTCTCTTCTCTACCTATAATAATTTCAGAAAAGAAATGAAATGAAATTAGAAATTCGTGCAACCATCCACAAAAGTTAGAGTCTCATGTATCTCAAAGTCTTTCAAGCGATTTCTCATGAAATTTAACAACCGTGAGTTATTTCTACATTCCGAATGATGACGAACGACGATGTGAATTTTAATATGAAGTCTTTTTGAGTATTCTACGATAAGAATCACGTCTGGCTTCTGTCTTATAAATATTATTCGTTTGCCAGGCCAGACGCACATGTAGCGTATTGCATTTAAATCACCGACCGACCACATACATGTATCAATACGTAAGTATTATGCATATAGAGATATAAAAAATGAATATCTTTTTTCCCTAAAAATGGCAGAATTTCTTCCTTATTCTGTCACAACTTGTGCCTCACAAGTCACAAGCTCAGCCAAAATAGAAACTTTCTCCGCCGGATATAATGGGAAGACGGGTACCCTAAGCTTTTTAGAGGGAGGGGGGAGATAAGAGCTTTCCCTAGTTATCTTCTGCATGGGTGAGTGAATTATGGTGAATTTCCGCCATCTAATGTAGATAGGATGCTAGATGGAATATATACATTCCGCTATTTTTTGTGGGTATGGCTATACAAAAAAGTAGTGTCGGAATAGTTTCTGCATTATTTTAGAGACTCCTTGCTATGCGTAAAAAGGCCAGGTGAAAGTACATGATTCACTCTTCTGCGAATTCATTAGATTAGAAACCAGTTAAATATTCTAGCAGCACTTTCACATTTGATTTTGAAAATTGAAGGGCAAAAATGTCAAGTTGTTCTCAAACCACGCATTATTATGCAGGCTTCCCACTATTTTCATGTTTTCCACAAAATTGGTAACAATCCGGAGATGAAACGCACCATTTCCTTCCCTTCACTACTTCCGACTTTTCTCCACTTTCTTTAGAATTTTAGAGAGAAATGCAAGCTGTAAAAATACAGAGTACAAATTACATCCATACATTTATCCCTGGTTGTATAACAGTTTAGGAGGGCCAAGAATTGTAAGCTGCGATGTTTTGTTGTGCTTTGGTTTTCCAAAAAAAGAAAGAAATGGGAATATTGCACACAGTTCATAGAGTCGCACGATAACCACGTTCAAGATAAGTATATCCCCAATGATAAACTTTTCCTACTGCTGTTTCTGGCTTGGCTCCTTGGAAGAAAATTTGAGATTAGATTGACTCAAGTGTCTGCCCGTTTTTTCGTCTACTTTACAACACCAAAACTCATTCCGACTTTTTGCACTCTTTATATTTTACCAGAGTTGGGCATCATCTCAACAGCAGGACTTAAAACCTTGACTCAATTGAGAATTTACCTCCTCTTTCATGTCTTGTCAGTTTAACGTCTTTCTTTTATACGCTCATTCGTTTTCAGCCTCTCAGCTAAACTCTGAACTTGCTTGCAAAACATTTCTTCACAGCCATCAATTGTCCGCCGACTTTAAAAAAAGCATCCTTCCTTTACTTTTTCGAGGAGAAATTTCCGCCGGCTAAGACAATGTCGATTTAGTTGTGGGCTTTTTTTTAACAGCGCTTGTCTTACGTAAAGGGTGTGAACTTATTTGGTGAGACTAGGCTGACACCGACACACCGAAACCACGCCACGCCATCATTACATAAGTAAAGTACATACAGAACCACACCACATTAAGCTGAGACGACAAGAGAAAATATATTTTACAGGCTTCCGGGGCATTGTAATAGTTATTGGGTCTCGTTTTACTCGAATTTTAGAAAACGCAATCCAAATTGTCACTTGCAGAATGTTGTAAATTTTATTGCAAGACTGAATTAAACTGAAGTTTGCAAACTTTCGGTGTAAATTTTACGTGTAGGGTTTCGCAACAAATGTGCGAAAACAAAAATGTGCGAAAATGAATATGATACAGATAGGAATACTTACGGGTAATAGAATCTCGAGGAAATTAAGATCTCTCTCTCTCGTCTCATTTCAGTTTAATTGCCAAGATGCATTTTACTCCGCCACGTTTTCCCCGACAACTGTAAAAGTAGAGTAAAACGCGAATAATGAAGACAAAAGATAAGGATGAGACGGAGCGACATTAGCATATTGAGGAAGAAGTTGATATGTTAATGAAGTGTGAAGCAGCCATTCTTATGCTTAATGAGGGAACAAATTAAGCCTTCTCGTTCCTAATTAACAAAATACCGGACTGTTTTGTGCGCATCGTATTTGTTTATTTACGAAGTTGTTTTTTAGTTCATGGACGGACATTAACGAGGAAAACAAATCTTTTACTCTACATATTGAGTGTCATTTTGAGCAGAATCCCCTGAGACCCTGAGATCCTTTGAAACCCTGAGACGACAGCAATACTGCTAGTTTTTTTATTAGGAATGCAAGTTAGATACTTACCCCACAAACGAGTCATCCAAATATTTGACTTGTGATGGACATAAGGACGAAAAAATTGGAACCCACTGTTATTTGTAACAATGGAAAAACGCTATGTTCATATCCACCAATCGATCAGTTTCTAAAAAAAAGTACACACACCCACCACGTTTATCTTTTATGAGAACAGCTTATGTTCCCAATCTGTTTTTGTTGAGGGCAAATTGCATTATTTTCTATATTCAATCTGCTCTGAATCTGATCGTTCAACTTAACAGGACGCCGTCAAGATTTCGGGTTCTTTTCTCCTTCAAGTCAAACAAGTGCAGTCATGCCAAACACAGCAAAGAAAGAGAAACTTCTGTCAGAAATCTCGTACCTCCTGCTTTTCTCGAGGAGAATAATATCGTCCCACATTATTTCCTGCACGCCTACAGCTTTCACCACTTTTATCCCTACTTTTCAGTCTGCTTTCACCCACCAGGAAAATGGATGGATGGGAAGTTAAATTTCCATTTCCTCAACAGAAGGAACTTTTCTAAATTTTTGCAAATTACGTAAATAGTTCGAGTGCTTTTTGCATTGCCTCCTTCTTCGTGATGATCTGTACTCTCGCACCGAAGTCACAACACTAAACTCACTGCGAAAAACGACGTAACCGGGTTCAGTTTTCTCGCATCCCACACCACTAAAACGACGGCGACGACGACGGCTGGATGGAGCAGATCGAGAATTTGCTACATACGACTTGTTCAAGCTAAACGAGTAGTGCTTCGTACTGGTAGCGGCTTGTCGTGGCATTGCAAAACTACTAAAGAGAATCAGCAACTTGGTTATTTGTTTGTCTCATAAAGTTCGCAATTGCTGTGCGTGTGGGATAGGAAGCAAAGAAGCTAAATCTTCGGTCGTATGTACAACAGCAGCACCCGAAATAAAGAAATGCCAGATTGAGTATGGTGTGGTAACATAGTTGCATTTCGTTTTCTCACGCTTTTTCCGTTTTATGCGAAATTCAGAATGAGAATGTACAGCACGAATATATGTAAATGATGATGCTGTTTCATTATGTTCTCACCCTATTTATGTGTTCCACAAAGGAAGTAGATTCGGGAGTTTAATTGGGTAAACAACTTTTCGCCTTTTGGAATAAGTATGCGCATAAATGAAAACTTTTGAGGATGAACGATTGCACTCTATTTTTGGATGAATTCCCTCGAGTGCTTCAAAAATTTCAGAAATATTTCATACCTTTTAAAACTATGTGTTTCCTAATATCTTCTGATTTATTGATTGATCTTTCTCAATATGAGGTCAATCATCCTCAAATTCGAGGAAACGGAAATCCCTCAATTTTATCCGGATTACTTGAAATCGGATCTATATCCTTCTTAATAATCTCTCAAGAAGGTGTTCCATTTCCGCATTAACAGTCAATCAATATGGCGAAAAGGTCAGCAGGGCACGACCAACCGAACAACCAATTCCCTTAAATACAAAGTCATTCAAAGAATTATATGGCTGGTGTGGAATTCAGGTTGATATACAGCGTCGAATTCACACCATAGCATATATGACTTTACCTTGCCCACTCCTCTTGAAATTGGGACACAGAGATCCTATCAAACTTCAAATAAACCAAACCTTCCGGAATTGTGAAAGTGCACACGAACATGGTTCCCATTATTCTCCGGATGAAAGGATTCATTCCATGTCGGTGGAATACGACCTGATGTGCAAGCCTCCATTTTAAGTGGTGCATTTGATCCTTCTCCTTCCTTGGATTAATTCCACTTCAATTGGAAAGTATATTCCGAATCTGACAACCAAGATATCCCAGCAATGTTGGAGAGGAATGTTAGTTGATTACTATGAATCTAATAAATTTCGTGTCCGAGAATTTATTTAGGTAGCCGACCAGCGGATCGACCCCACGATAATACATATGAGCTTTGCAATAATTCGGGTGGTGCACTAATCCCAAGATTCATGTAAAGAATAATAAATATCTCGGTAGTTATGGTCGTGGCTTATGTATGATTTTTCTCAACGACTACTTCGGGGCACATTTATGTTGTTGCACTGCCAGATTCTACCAAACCCTTTTCTTTCTTCAACTCTTTCATAATTTGATTAAAAGTTTGGGTTAGGTGCACAATTTTCAGTTCATTAATGCTCTCGCCGGCCTGACCTAGAGGCATGCAAACTGAAGAACGTGCCTGTTGGAAGCAGTTTTTGTGTGTTCACAATGTACGTGTGCCCGTGTGGCTTATCGATCTCTCGAAATCTTTTAGGAATTCGTTTCAGCAATAAATTATAAAACGTAGTAAAAATTTAATGCAAATTAGGAGTATGTACATATCTTGGTCTTTTGATATTCCTCCTCGAGGACATTTTTGCATTCTGATTTATTATCTAAATCTAGATTTTTTTGTCATATGATGTACTTGATACCGCCCAAATTTCACAAAACACGGACATCAACCCCCTTATAAGGTTGGGATTATGATCGTCAGTTGTACTTTAAAAGATAACATTTTTTGGCATATCAGACCAGACACAACAATGAGCAAAAATATTTGGTAATTTTGCAAAAAGTGTAGTTTATAGGGCAGCTTGAATAGTTAAACTTGTCCGTAAATCAAAATATTTTTGTTTTATTTGGTGTTTAAAATAAAGTTTTTGATATTCAAGTGAACCAAACCGAGCAAAACTGACCATTTGCTCGGCTAAACTGTTTATTTGTTGAAAAGTTTACGACTTTCAATAATAATATTCAAGTATTCTTCAACTTCTCCATTTGTGATCAGGGCATGATTTACTGGCATTCTTTCCAAGTGCGATTTGCGTACATACCTAAGTTCCGCATGCACATTATCGTCTCCTCAGTGTTTTTGGCGAAGCGAGTAATATATAAATGGCAAACCGTTATAAAATCAGTTCAATTTTGTGTCTGTTGGCGTAATCCCCAATGGACCGAGGCAAAATGTCTGGGAATCTACCCGCATTTTAGGCGACTGAATAACGATATTACCGTCTAAGAATGTATGCACGCTAGTCTGCAAAGTGTGTAAATCACGAATAGAAGAAACAGAAACAAATGCTGAAACTGATTCCGAATGCTATTTAAGACATGTGTCAAATGCTTGCCCACCAAATTGCATCACGTGTGTTCTTTGCATATCTGCATTTAAAACGACTTAATATCTTTTGTTTGTATACAATATTTTTCACCACTCTGTTAAAGAGAGTATTTCGTATGGCTTAAACTGCATTTTTTCCCCTTATTAAAATTTTACGATGTGGTTTAGTTTTATTATGTTGCAGTATTATCAGTGAGGTATGTATGCACATAAGTAATCTTTTGGTTTTTAATAAATTGATCGAACCCGTCTTGGAATTATTGGTCAAGATTTTTATCAACTCGAGCTTTATTACTTTGTTGCTACTTGGTACATTAGTCCTCGGGTGTCGACGTTCGACAAACACTGCGCACTCATCCTCAGTAGAATTACACATTTTGTTAATTTGTTTTCTGAAATTGTAAGCAAATCATTAGAAAAAAATTTGCAGTCAACCCACACAGGATGCAGATACCATTTTATGAAGATGACTTCATTGTTCGATATTTATTTAATTATGTTTTCATCTGTGGGATTTTCTCGTGAAGAAAATGTTTGGGGTAGGCAATAGGCATGCATCTGTATCATAGTTCATTTTCTGCAACGAGTTTGCTTATATACATCCTTATCATCACTATCATTAAGCAGAAACTGAGCAGGCAAAGCTGTAAAAAAGCAAGACCAATCCACCAACGAACCAACCGACGGGCCAAGTTTATTGAAATGCTGCCAAATAACTCAACTAACTCGTCCCTTTCCATAACCAAGGATTCTTCTCTTATTATTTCCATCCATGTTTTATATAGCTTCACAGTCAGATAAATATGACGTAGATTTGGGCGATCAATAAACTGCAACATCTTTGTCAAATGGCTGCTAATTACATGACTTTGTTGATATAATTTGTGTCCGTTGTAGGAGGCTGGGAAAAGTTGGTTTAACAAATTGGACTAGTTTTATAAGTTATATATAGGTTTTTATATACACACGGATAGTTTGAATTCTGGTATTTACGTAATTTGGCAGGAGGAAACATAATTTCGGAAGAAATCTGAGAGCCACATTTGACAAATTTTCATGCCCATTATTTATCCGAGTCGACTTCTCGACGACAAAGTCACAATCAACAAAACAATGTCAACAAAAAGGGTGAAAATCATAATCAGAATGAGAGAGAAAGAGGCAAAAAATGTCCCTTTATTAGTCTTTTTGCCTGAAAAAGGTTAGTTGTTCAAGCCATATTTTGAGTTATGTATAGTAAATCTGGTCTGGTGGTCATTTGGAGGTAGGGATTATTATTAGAATTAGAGTGGTTAACATTTGTACAAACTATAATGTTCTTAATAAATCAATTTTATAGTCCTCTGTGATTCATGGCCGTTATGATTTTGCTAAAAAGTGTGATAGTTGTGTAATTCATAATAAGTGCATTGGAGTAGATGGAGACCTTTCTCATCTTCTGTGCACAATCATCTTCTGTGCACAATATCAACAAAATGTACAAAAAGAGTAACAATTTGAGAAACTCTCCGAACAAATAGAGATATTTACCATTTCTTAAAACTCGATTTCTTCCTCTGTAAGGATAATTTAATGGAAAATGCCTCGAGTGAAACCATCCCAAAAAACTTACTTTTTGAAATGAGCAGCAACAAAGAAAGCCTGCATGAAATGAAATATGAATTGGCGTTACTTATTTTCATTATGAAGAAGCAGGCAGCCTGCTCATCATCAACATAAGTTACTCACTTTTTAGCCCGAGTCAGGGCTTATGGAACCGTCATGTCCGTCCGTCCGTCCGTCCGTCCGTCCGTCTGTCCGGCACGATAGAGCCAAAACGGCTGAACCGATTGACTTGAAATTTTTACCACATGCATATAGGGCAAAGTTAGGAAACGAGTTCGAAGATTGGCGAAATCGGTCAAGTGTTTGACCAGTGGGGGTCATCGGAGTGGTTGGGGTATTATGCACCAAAATTTCAAAATTGTCGTAGAAGGCTGAAATTTGGTACAGAGGTTGCTGATGGCTCCTAATAGATGAAAATGACTAAAAGTTAGAAAAATTTTCATCTTGAGGGACCCTAGGGGGTGACCCGTACCAATTTTTCAAAATCGTCATAACAAGCTGAAATTTGGTAGATGGGTTGCTAATGGGTCTTAATAGAAGAATATGACATGAAATTGGTAAAATTCTTATCTGGAGCGACCCTATGGGGTAACCCATACCGATTTTTAGAAATTACTTTAAAAACATTAAATCCGGCACGGTGATACCTAATGGCTTCTCACGAAAGGATATGAAACTAAAAGTGAGCAAATTTTAACCAGAGTGACCCTGGAGGAGTCAGGGACTATGTCCCTGACTCGGGCTATATGGAGTCTGCACTGTAGGTTTTTTATTAGGTAACCATTCCAGATGAATTTGAATGAATTTTGATGTATGGGTTGGGCCGGGGTTCATTTCGCTGGTGTTATTGGATGGATGAAGACACTCAAAAAATAATGAAGTGTGAAGAAGCTCAGGGTAAACCAAGCAACAAATAGCCGATTGACTGTGATGGCATTCATTACTTTTGACTGAATTGTGACTTCTTTTGTTTCAGGCAGTTTACTACTTCTTCTTCTTGGCAGGCATTGTTTTCTTTCCGAGAGTGAAGGCAGTAGTCACAGCACAATGGACATATATGAAAAATGATAATTTAATGAGAAGACTGACACGGGAAGAGTGGATAATTCTTCTGCCGGTCTAACGTGTTAATTACTGTTTGGGTCTTTTGTGTGCAGTACGTTGACTGTCCATATATCATGATTTCATAATGCTTCACTTATGTAAATAGGTGAGAAAATAGTATTATTTCATAAACGTGGTGATGTGATGAGTAGGCTTGATTTGTCCTCTGGTTGACTTTTTGACTGGTTTTTGTACTTAACATTTTTTGATTTATTACTTTATTCCCAGGTGGTAGAGATATTTTGACAAGTAAACTTGCAAATTTAAGGTGCATGGTTGCATTTCATTAAGTCCAGTGGTAGTTGTGGTGTGCTGGTTGGTATCAACTTCCGTGGAATCCTAAACCATTGTCCACTACGATGTCTACCTGAAGAAATGTTTAAAACAAACGCCCCTTGGTGGAACGATGGGGGTTTACTTTTATAGAACCACTTACGACTAACTGTGCAGACACTTTACGAAAATACGAGGCTTTGTCACGCGAGATCAAATGAAAAAAATGCGTGTTTGAAGACTAATGTTGCATGCAAAAATTCAGCAGGACATTGAATATTTAAGCTCAATGGAATATGCAGTAAGTTAGAACTGGTGGTGGTGGAAGTTTGGCGTCGTTATGATTAATTTAGGCTAAATGTTGTTTGTAATGATATGCATAATAGGTCACATAGGTAGCAGAGACGAATTTGAAATATTGGATTGTACAATAATTATTTGCAAGATTTCGTTTACATGTAGTAAATTTCTTCAGACAAAGATCAAATGAGAGAGTTGTATTCAGCGTAATACTCACAATCATTTTAGACTTTGAAAAAATAATTGAAATATTTATGGAAATAAGCTGCTCGCAGTGGTGTCTTAAATTCTGATGTTTCTTTGCCTTTCTAACAATTGAAATACAAAAATGAGACTAAATTATTCTAAGAATTTCCACCTCACAAGAAATTATAAATACTGTCGTGAAAATGCATTAGTTTTAAACCCGGTTATGGTGCAGGAGCCCATCTTTTTGAAAAGTAGACGATGGAGAAGGAAAACGTGTTGAAAACTTAATTCATCCTAGGTGTGCACCTACAGCCTCCTAAACCAATGACTATGGAGTTGCATGCTAAATTCTATGAATAATTTCTTACAATCAATGCAACTTTGTATCTAATAACTCGAGATTTGTAGACGGACGTCCAAAAATTATAAAACACGAATCCAACAGGTAGGATTTTAAAACAAGGTGTCAGAAACAAGTCTGTCAATTAATCTAACCACTGAGAAAATTAGATGAGCGCTGCTTCTCTATGTTGTTTATGATTGCTTGATTAAACTGTTAAACCCTTTAATCACCTTTCAAGTGCCGAACTTGAATGAATTAAAAATTAATCATTTTATCCATGCTAATAAGAAAATATTAATTAAAATTTGGAAATTCTCTCCCAAATTATAGGTTGTCTGAACACCTTTAATTTAAAAACTGGCAATTATTCAATGAAATGTGGCAAATTCTAATTCTGCTGCATACTTTTGCAATTTGGCGTCGCTTTGAGAAAATCTAAAAGAACGGTGGTCATTCATTTGCTAATAAAAAATCATGTATGTATTCTTAAGAACAACGAATCAGCAACTTACATATTACTTTGTACAGAAAAATTTGTAGATTCGGAGTCTCATTAATTAATTACAAATTCATGTCGAAATCATGTTATCAAGCCGGGCTCTTCGTGGTGGTGCTGGTTGTGGTGGTGGTGTCGCCCATGATGCTGATAGTTCCTTCCGTGACCTCGATTTCCGGTTTGGCATTGATAAAGATACACATGGAGACTACGTACATCATGGCGTGAAGGATGGAGATGGCCTACGCAGAAAATTTAATTTTCACGGTCAAATTGCTATAAATCTCATTGAATTAAATATTATTGTAATTACATAAATGATGAAGCGATTCACTAGAAAACCATAATCACACCGAATCCCGGAATCATTTTCCTTCATACAGTCGTTGTACGATTCGACATATTTGTTGATACCGAGTCCGAGAGATGAAAAGACGAAAATAAAGACGGCTGTACAGCCATAGTACATACTGAGCTGTCAGATAATAAAATGTCAATTAAAATATTTATTACTGGACGATGAGATTATTGATGAAAATATATTCCTTACAACAAAACTGGGGAGTTCGACCACAGTGCTACAAAGAATGATGGCCAAGGAGACAAGGCCCAAAATTCCAATGAACAAGCCCCACAAAGCTCCAGTCCAGTAATCACCCTTCGTGTCTATCGAGTCGTAAAGTTCTCCAGTGATATGGAGTCCAATAATGGTAAGAATTGAGAAAATGAGGTGATTGAAGTGAAGAAATCCTTCCTGACTTGTCAGCCTTGCTGTGGTGAACTTGATGTTTTTGATTTTATCCATTTTTTTACGATGAGTGGAATTGTGGGTGAGAATTTTGGAAAAATGTGTTATTTAAATTTTGCAATAAATTTGGAAGAATTTTTTTATCTTGAAAAAGTGCCTGTCCTACTTTTTCAACATTTTTTGGAATTTTTGCAATAAATGGCAATGGATATTATTTTTTGGATTTTGGTATCCAAGTAACGCTGGCAGCCAGTAGACAATATGTAAATGCACCATCCAGATAGTTTTATCGTGAAAACTTGAACCCATTTTAAATAACTGCCCTATACCTGTTTTTGAAGTAAAAAAAAATATTAGTAAAATAAAATGATGTTTTAAAATAAAATTTGTATTATATATAAAATGATAACCAATCCCAATCAATCGTAGCACTAGAGAATTTAATATTCAGGTTTGAGGTATGAGTCAGAATGTGCAATCTATTTTAGCAAAGTCGTCGTGTCTAAATGAACCTCAAGGTGCCAACAGAAAGTGGTTTTGAGTCGATGCTGATTTATCGCTTATTTTAACCTTACTTTTATTGATTTAGCATTTGCTATTGTCTGTGACAATTTATTAAGGGTGGAGTTGACCTATGATTGCATGCTATTTGCTAAATATATTTACATATGTACGTGGTGTTATATATTCTCTTTGTAGCAGTCATTAATATCCAAGATTGTCAGATAACGCTGTTAATAAAAGTACCTTGCGACGACGATCTGGACTAATTTAGTATGATCAGGTTTAGATATTGTAAAGAATTGAGAATCATGTAACATCATCATAATGCTGCCGTGGAATAGTTTGCCAATCGAATTAATTGCAAACAAACAACAATGCGTGGATGTCTTGGCTGAATTTTTTGGACGATACGGGGTCAAATCGAGTCGAGGGACGTGCATGCTACGGATTAAATCTTCAGCGGACATGGAAATGCACCTCGAGATCTGCTGACCACAACTAAATATTGGTGATTGCATAGCTTTATTGTTGGTTAGGTTATGCATGCATCATCGCCAATTACTATATAATTATACAGGATACAGATTGGTAATATTGACTGCGATGGATAAGATTTCGTATAAATAGTCAATGATCTCTTGGATAAAGTATCAGTTTCCTTCCAGCTTCATTTCAAGCAACTTTTCATCTCATCAACTTTTGTGTTTTACACACCAACCAACCAAACTCCATCATGAACTCCGTAAGTTTTTAATATACAGTCAGAATTTTTGAAATTTGGAAATCAGTTGTGGCTTCACTGACTTCACAAACTTATTTGGATTTATATACATAGATCGTCGCTTTGTTGGCTTTCGTCGCCGTCGCTAACGCCGGATACTTGGCTCAACCAGCAGTCTACCAATCTGCCGTAAGTGTAGAATATCACGGATTTATTTAATATTCACACCTCTTTTTAAATGCACCTACTAATGAATATCTCCTAAACTAAATTATTAGGTCGCCGTGCCCGCTGCGCAATCCCTTCAATACAACAACCGAGCCCCAGCTGCCCGTTTGGCCGTCGCTGCTGTAAGACCGAATTTCTGAAAATTGTTCTCTTAAAAATTACCTCCACAGTATGACCTGTAAATCAACGGCTATGGATTGATTTTTTCTAGGCCCCAGTCGCATACGCCGCCCCAGCTTATGCTGCCCCAGTCGCCACCTACGCCCACGCCGCTCCAGTCGCCACCTACGCCCACGCCGCTCCAGTCGCCTACGCTCACGCCGCTCCAGTCGCCTACGCTCAACCCAGACTCGCCGTCGCTGTAAGTACACATTTGACCTCAATTAATATTACTGAAGTTGTGACGGGATAACTTGACCCCACTTTTCCACAGGCCCCAGTCGCCGCTTACCACGCCGCCCCAGCCGTCCACTCCGCCGTCGTCCACCAAACTTTCTCCACCCCATACGCCAACTACGCCTGGTAATTTCTCAAAACCCAGGATGATGACACCTTTCAAAATTTAAATTGTATTTTCTAATTTATTGTTGGAATATTTGAAATAAATTGATTCAAGAAAACTGCATAAATTATACATGTGTGGCCTGTCATCCTGATTTATTAAACAAGAGACTCTGATATGACGTGAAACTTGCACAGATGAATCTACATCAGCTTAAAATAATTCTAAGCTTTGTGAAATATTAAAGTGATGAATATGGATAATGAATAAACATAATAATTCATTAATTTCAAGGCAATTTATTGTGACAAATTATATGTATATCACTTTATAAAGCTTTTTCAAAACTACAATATTTATTGATTGTGCACTGGATCGATGGCTGATAAAGCAATACTATCAGAAGTATGTAACATATTCCTGTCTAGATGTTACAAATTTCAGTTTGATGACACAATTCTACGAACCATGTAAGGCAAAATTCCTCCATTTTTATAATACGCCACTTCCACATCCGTATCAATTCTTGCAATCGTGGTGAAAGCTTTCCCAGCCGAAGTCTGTTAAATTAAGTAAGTCACATATTTAAGTATGTACGTACATATCATAAAATGCTTGCTTAGAAAATAGAGAATTTCTTATAGGATAAACATGTACCGTGACTTCAATCTTCTGCTTTGCTAGGATTTTGTCTGAAATTGGAATGTTGAAAATCTCTTTTCCTGTCAAGCCTAAAGTTTCAGCGTTCTGTCCTTGCAAATATTGCAATGGGAGAATACCCATCCCAACCAAATTGGAACGATGGATTCTTTCATATGATTCCGCAATTACGGCTTTCACTCCCTAGAATTAAGGTATAACCCGTTAATATAAGCCCATGTACCAACCCTTTTCATTACAGGTAAATTATTAACATATATTTACCAATAAAAACGGGCCTTTCGCAGCCCAATCTCTCGAAGATCCTGAACCATATTCTTTCCCTGCAAGTACAATTACTTGCTTCCCTTCTCCCATGTAACGCTCTGCAGCATCAAAAATGTCCATCTAAAAATGTCGTGAAGATTAAGTGATTAAATTTTAAATTCAGTATGCACACGTTTCACAATTTAGATTGCCTCATGATTGACTAAACTAAAACTACATGCGTATGAATATGATTACCTCCTCTCCATCAGGAAAGTGCACAGTTCTTGGGCCAGACTTGGCCACCAGTTTGTTCACTAAACGGATGTTGGCAAAAGTCCCTCTCGCCATTATTGCATCATTACCTCGTCTCGACCCGTACGAGTTGAAATCTTTGGGGGTCAATCTATAAAATTAAGTATGAAACAACATTTTGAGAAATTATAAACATTTCTGTATGCATAAATGCATCTATTTTTATGCAACGCACCCTCTTTCTGACAAATATCTCGCAGCAGGGCTCACTCTGGAAATGCTTCCGGCTGGGGAAATGTGGTCTGTGGTCACAGAATCTCCAAGGTTTAATAAGACGTATGCATCCTTAATTGGTGCAACTGGTGTCAGTTCCTGTATGCGAATTATTACTCACATTAAGACATTATCTCAAGTTTAAGGAATATTCATTTAATTTAAAAGGTATGTATCTGTCCTTGCATTTGTCATGCCAGTGAAGAAAGGGGGGTTCTTGATATAGGTCGATTCTCCATCCCAGGGGTACAAAAATCCTTCTGGGGCTTGTAAATCGTTCCATCTCTTGTTGCCTTGCTGGATATTAGAAATGAGCAATTAGATATCAAATTATTGGATGAGATACATACCTAAAAATTAATTATATTACCTGAATATTTGAATACACATCTTGGAACATTGCTGGGATGACGAATTGTTGTTCCACCTTTTGAATCTCATCTCTCAACGGCCAGATATCACGAAGAAACACTGGTCCATTGGTTCCATTTCCTGCAAACCGAAAGTTGGAAAATATACATACAATTGTACCGAATTTCACAACATTTATTTAACCCACCAATTGGTTGAGTTTCAAAGTCAATATTGACCGTTCCACTTATGGCGTATGCAATCACCAAGAGGGGAGATGCTAAATAGTTTGCCCTTAAATGGGGGTGAATTCTCCCCTCAAAATTTCGGTTTCCAGATAAAACTCCAGCACAGACAAGATCGCCCTGATAAAAAAGTTATTCAAATCAAACGTAAAATGACTACCACATCAGTTTTGTCACACCTTCTCCACCGCTTCCGCCACAGGGTCTGGGAGTGGTCCAGAATTTCCGATGCAAGTCATACATCCATATCTGATGCGAAAAATGAGTTGTATTTACGAATTGCAAATTGGCATATCGCTCAATAAGTACATACCCCACGATATCAAATCCCAATTGTTGCAGGAATGGAATCACTCCAGATTCGCGCAGATAATATGTCACCACTCCACTTCCGGGGGACAAGCTCGTTTTCACATATGGGGCCACGGTCAGGCCAGCCTCGACAGCTTTCTTGGCCAGGAGACCTTAGCATTTCATAAACTTTAGTTTCATTCATATCACTATTCATAAATTTTCACAGTTTTTTATGCATGTACCAGCCCCCAGCATAACGCTTGGGTTTGAAGTGTTGGTGCAAGAAGTTATCGCAGCGATAAGCACGGAGCCATGAGTGATTGTGTACTCTCGGTTTTCGTACACAAATGGAATCACACTCGATAACTTTTCGGCTGTGATGCCGTAACCTTTAAATCCGATCTGTAACAAGGAAAAAGCATTGTGTGTGTCATTCATTACATAATTTTTGCAGTGTTTTGCATGCAATATTATTCATTGATAATATGCCATTCAAAATTTTGTCAGTGTTTTGGGAATTTTGCATTTTATGAGAATGAGACCTACATCTAAGCAGAATGTAAAATTGAGACCATTTGAATGCTCAAACTTTACTTATTAAAATCCCATTTAACAAAACTTCAGGTACATTTCTTTCTAACCATTTAAAAGATTTCTAAGAATAAGCGATACATTTAAAATCCGGCTGGCTTTCAAAATGTTTTTAAGATTTTTAACAGCCTGTCAAAGAATTTCTGTCTCCAGCGGTCATTCCTCTAATTAAGTGTCCTGCCGTGCCTGGCACATATGGATTTTGACCCTTTAAATCCAACTACATTATTCTGGTACCTAAAGCACTTTTTGTAAATGGTCAACAAATGGACAACGGTCAACAAAGAATCGTGTCTGGAATGTTGTGTGCATTTTATTGCTTTGGTTAAAATTCTAAATTAAGAAATGAGCCCTAAAAGCCAAGCCTTAAACCGGATCTTGTCATCCCTCCAATCCAACAATGAGTACTTTTCCAAATTTTCCACTCAATTTCATACTTTGCATTGCATTTTAAAATGTCGCAACATTATCATGAAATTAATCAACCATGCTTTTTAGCAACTAGATAAAAATGAGCTTATAAAAATCATCCCGTTCATCTCATTTCCAAATTTGTAGAAAAAAGACACATTCTTGAAAACCCAAACTACGATGCTGGACTAGACCTTTTTTTCCAAAATTAGAATAATTATTTCAACTGCGGCATTCAGCAACAAGTTGGATGGTTGGTGGTGGTGGATCCTGTCTGGGATTATCCTTCCCTCCTGCCGATGCGACTCAACGAACGTTTGTGCCCATGCAGGGAGGCTCAATAGTCCAGACTACCTTTTCTCTCCTCACTGTTAATATCAGTTACTCTGTGAAAATGCAGCCTCCACCCTGCACATAATTAAAGGCGGCCTGACGTGCTTAGCGGTCCGACCTGCCAGGATAACTCGGGCTGACCACGCTGCTCCAGCTCCATTCCAAACTTAGTCTTGGTGGTGAGCACTTTGCTCTTTCCAAGTCCAATTCCACTTCAATTTCCAATTTTTCAATTTCGATTTCCACTTTTCCAAGTTCAATTCCACTTCAATTTCCAGTTTTCCAAGTTTTTTTCTTGTGGGAAAGTTCCCACTTTTCCAGTTTCATTTGAAATTAAATAGTTTTTTTGGAAGAGGAATATTTCCACCTTTTCGTTTCACATTCGGGTTGAGCCCGCCTGGTAGAGGGTGTGGTTTACTTCACCTCACCGGGTAGTTTCATCCTGATTGCGAGACGAAATTTCGTCCACCAACCCACCCACCCACTGGAAACTCTTATCATCCACCACGGGATGGACCTCACTTTGGTTACTCTAGCTCTATTTCATTTTTTCGAAAAATAAAGCTAGGTTAGCAAAGTAAGGTCTGTTTCGAATCTCGACGAGGAGGAGGAAGAAGAAGAGGAACTTTCAATGATGACCTGCCGCCGCCACCACCACCACCCCCCAACCTCCCAAAATGTTCTTTTGTCGAGGAAATGTTGGTTGTGTGTAGCTGGTTTATAATCGCTATCACAGCCAACAGAATTCCTCGAGAAGAGGGCGATAAGCAGCAGGACGTGACGAGCAAGGAGGGAGGCTGACGACGGGGGACACTTCAAATGGGGCTGAGAGTGAGTTGGTGTCGATCTTGTGCATGTTGAATTACATGACTAGATCGAACACTCGACTCATTCTTGGTCTCAAAATCGACACATTCATCTTTCCTGACGTCCGAGGGAGGAGACGAGCAACTCACCTTGCTGGTAAGACATTGTTGGAAATCTGATTTCATTTCTGTTACAGCGACACGATCATGGGGGCGTTTTGGGCCGCTCATGCATGATACGACGGTGCTCAAGTCTAGTTCCACGACCTGTAATGAAATTAATGATGAGTACGAAAAGATGAGATGAAAATTGATGAGTTATTATTTTTTAAATAATAATTGCTTGAAACGATGATGCAAATGCTTGCCTGCGAGAAAACTGGGTCTTCTGCTGTATTATTGTAGTTGCGGAACATTCCCACAGCTTTGAGATAAGTTTCCACATTGGCAATTGTCTTCTCTCCTCGGTCTGTAATTAACGAGACATTTGACTCTTTGTTTGCTTTAACTTAGTCATTCATCAAATTTTCAAGTTGATAAGCGCATTTTGAAACTGATAAGAGTTTTGAATTTTCCATTACTTGTTTGGCGAAGATATTGCATAGTTGAGTTATCGACAGGGAAGAAGGCACAAGTCGCACCGTATTCTGGAGCCATATTACTAATTGTTGCTCTGTCTGCAATCGACAGCTTGGCGACTCCACTGCCAAAGAATTCGACAAACTTTCCAACCACTCCCAACTGACGGAGGTTCTGTAATTGTAAAAGCGGGATAAATTAGGACAAAAGAGTACAGTTTATTATTATTCTCGTATGTGCATTGAATTGTTCAGAGTTCCTTTAGTTTAGTGGTTTATGACCCCAATATAAGGTTCTCAAGTCTATTTTTGTACACAGCCGGAACAGGATATTGTACATATTTGGTTTGGTTGGTCATTGTTGATTGTTTGTTTGTATAGTGTCAGTTATATTTCTTACAAGTGCAGTAATGGGCATGGGAATGTATCCTATTTTAACATTTCTTTGTAAAATGCAAAGATATGGGAAACCGGGATTGTGTCAGATTTACATAGGATGAGAAGTTTTAAATAAATGGGACACAATATCATGTTAATTCAGATTAACTGTCAACTGTTAAATCGAGAGGAAATTTTAACGGTGACTAAGCTTCACATGTTCATATCTGGTTGCTTTACATGTAAATTATTATCAAATCTCACTACTCCTGTGATCTTTGCATAATAGCTTTAAACGATAAATACTACATTGTTATTTGCTTACTTTGGTGATGGTGAGAACCACATCGGTGGAAGTAACGTATTGATTGACCTCTCCAGTGAGCCGATATCCTACAACTTGTGGAAGGACCATGCTCATCGGAAGTCCCATCATTACAGCTTCCGCTTCAATGCCTGAATTGGTATCGAGAAGTAAGTAAATCGTGTAAAACGTAAGAAAATGTGTAAATTTTGTGCATAATATGTCGCATTTTCCCAACCTCCAACTCCCCATCCGAGGACGCCCAGTCCGTTAATCATCGTCGTGTGAGAATCCGTCCCCACGACGGAGTCTGGATAAAATGTATCTCCATCGCTAAAAACAACCCTTGCGAGGTACTCCAAGTTCACTTGGTGCACAATTCCACAACCGGGTGGGACAATAAGCATGTTTTTGAAGGCTTTTGCACCCCACTAAAAAATTGTGTATTCATTTAGCTGTATCATAATAATATTTGCATAATTTTAGTCGTAGTTTTATTATACCTTGAGAAACATGAATCTCTCCTTGTTCCTCTAAAAAAAAATATTTTTACATGCTTTGGGATATTATTTACTTAATTTTAGTCGTTCTATTATACCTCAAATTCCAAAGCCTGATTTTTCTCTAAAGCTTCAGATCTATAATAAGTGTGACGCCAATAATGCGATTTTTGTACGTTTAGATTATTAACTTAATATGCAAATCACTTACGATCCAGAATGGTCAACTTGGACCGAATGATCAATCACCAAATCTGTCGGACAAATCGGATTGACCAACTCATAATTTTTTCCCATGACTTTCACCGCATCTCGCATTGCAGCCAAATCTACCACGGCAGGCACTCCGGTAAAATCCTAATTAATTAATAATACCGCAATAATATTAATTGATACAAAATGCATCTTTTTTGTTGCATAAAAGAAAATTCCCAACTTGTAGAATGACGCGTGCCGGCCTAAACTGAACTTCCACCCCGGCAGGGTCATTCTCGTTCGACTCCCAGTCCAAGATTTTCTCCACGTCCGATTTCAGAACTTGAATCTCATCACAATTTCGTACAGCAGATTCCAGCAAAACCCGGATAGAATAAGGAAGCCGAGCTATGAATTAATTTAACAATGATCAAACATGCATATTTATTTTATTCATAAAAAATCGTAAAAATCGTACAGAATTGAATTCCCAAACTGCCAAGGTCATAATATTTATAAGACACTCCACCCACTTCCAAGGTTTTCTCAAGATGAGCAAAAGGATTTGATCCTCCCTTCGAACCCATGTCGAATTTCCAACTTTTTTAATACCGTGTAACAGAAAGTGTAATAATTATTCTGCTGCCGGATTTATTGCTTTTGCGGTTTTATTTAATCAATGCGTAGAATTAAACGCGTATTATACAATCAAGTCACAAGTGCTTACTCGTGCATGCAATAATTGTAACACGTTAAAGCTGAATGGTGGTAACCTATTTAGTTAGTGTAATATTAAGTTTTACACCGGTTTCTTCCTCTATTTTATCACGCAGACGGCAAAACTTGTACGAACGAATGATGATATGTAGAAAATTAAGTGGTCACGTTCTCTGTATGCTTTTAACGCTTATATAATAATCAAGGATTCTATTCATCAATTGACCATTCCGTCTGCACGGAGAAGAATATAACATTGACCGTATTATGAGATAAAATATGCCAGAGAGTGGACTTTAGTAAAACAGAATTGGCCCGATGATGTAAGTACATAGCCTGATGTGATCTGTCTGCTGGAGAAGTTTTTTGCCGGACTTCTTGTTTCGTATTAAGCCGTATGTACATAAGTATTTTAGCAGCAGGATTCCCTCTCTGTTGAAATCTCTGTTCATTGCATTTACTGGTTAAAAGAAGAAATTCATACAGGGTTCAAGGTAGAAATGATCGGTTTAGTTAGATTAAAGCAGTCTCAACAGGGTGCTAGACATTAGACATCCAGATATTCATACCCATTATGCAAGAATTGTCGGTACAATGGGTGATTTGCATCGTAATAATCGCCCGTAGTTTCCTTTACTGAATGGATACTGTGATTGAGATTTGATCGTAAAAGGATGCCAAATAAGGATGAACGGTGTTAAAAGTCAATTTTATAGGCGTTTCATTCATACATTGCCTGAAACATTGCCCTATGTACAAAAATCACCCAAAGAATGCCTCAAGAAATAAATATGTATGTATCATTGCATTGTTTATTGTCTTCACCGCAATTAAAGCTATACATAAATATTTTTCAAATAATTTACTAATAAGTATATACGTATTACAATTTGATAGAAATCGAAAACTGGTTTCAAATTAAAACTATTACGTATTTCCAGAAAATATCAAAATTACAACCCTACTACCGATCAGCAGTATAAACTGAGGAACTTAAAAACTATTGATAAATACAAAATGAACCACCATCATTTAATATGGCAGCATCATCTCTAATATATTACATTAAATTATGTGCATAGTAATTTTGACTAATTTTTATGTACAAGTTGTTTTCTGATGAAGCATTTACTGATTTATGTATTTGAAATACTGTTGCATATTATTTCATGAATTGGTTGAGTTGTGAAAATCGTAGAAAGTTTCCCGTAGAAAATTACTTACTCGGTTAAATTCATTTTTTGACTAATTCTAGTTGAGCCTAGTATTACGTACAAAATTTGCTCCAATAATTTTGTATAACATTATTTCATTCAGAGTCTGATGAAGATTGAATATCAGTGGATGAGCTCAGCTCGCTGAATATTTTAATCAAGTTATTGAGGCCGAATTGGTAATTGGTATCAGGTCCTGGATTTGTCCCCTCCATGGGGGTCACATGGGCAAAATCAATCATACAAACTCGCAGCCAACTACTCGTCGTGTTGTCGCCAAGATTATCGTTCAATTCCCAATTACAATTTTGTTTCAATAATTTTTGTGCTTCAAATCTATACGCGTCGTATCCAATTAAAAGAGAACCTATAAGAGTAAAACATATCATTAAATCATATCGCCACACAACTGCAGCTCCATGCTATTTTCGCAGCAATTAAATAATAAGTTGAAAGATGACTTACTCGAGTAAAAACAAAATTCCCTTTGTACTTTGAAATATTCTTGAATCTCTTTCAGTCTTGGTAACAATTTTGTTGCAATATAGTTTGGAATTGTAGGGTCAGAAGCTCCATTAAGAAATTCGTAGATTGTGTCAATAAACGTAGAGACGACGAGGGTTTTGCCAAATTCTTTCTCCATTTTCGACGTCTTCTTTGCTCTCAAATCGTAATACTGCATTCCACCTGGAAAACAATTATTTAAAATTTTATTTTCCACAAGTGCAGATCTTTTTTCAATTTGCTGGATAAAATAAACTTACTCAAGCTAAGTCCGATGGGTTGTTTCGTCCCGATATATTTTGACCTTTCATGAGCAACTTTTTTCGGAGAGGCTAAAGAATCCCAAGTTTGAGCCCCTACTTTAATGTCAACCACGCAAGGTTTGAGGAAACCTTCGACCAGATCTTCTAAAGCAATGTAATGTTTCCAAGTGGGGTTTCCGGTTTCCTCATCCATGGAATGAATTCGCATGACGCCATAAAATTTTGAGAGATACTTTTGCAATGTCAAGTTGGAATTCCGCTTTCTCTGATCTCCATCTTGATCGGGTGTGGTTGTAGCGTAATTATCATTGTCCTCTATCCTAGGCACGGTACCAAACACTTTAAAGTAGAAGTTCACCTCACGTGTTCCAAGAGGTTCTTTCTGCAGCGGTTTTAAAACATAGCCAAGCTTGTGCTTTAAGACGCCTGGAATTTTCATAAAAGCAAACTATTTAGTAAAGTTAATTATCAATTTATGTAAATTAATTAATTTACCTGTCCTAGAATGCCCAGCGATTTGATGACCAAGTGCTTCCGTGTCTCTTTCCAGCAGAGTTGAAACTTCATAGTCACCCGACGGCTCAAAAACTTTCTCCGAATGGGAACAATTATTACTTTCGATATTTCCATTTGACACTAAAGAAAAATTTTCGTTGTCGTTGATCTCTTTAATTTTCAGCATTTTAATTCTAATTTTGGCAAATTTAAGTATGTTTCCGAGTAGAAATTTGTAATGAAAATAATTGGAGTTTGTTGGTGGATTTCAGTATAATAACTGATGGCTTATTTCATAGTACAGAATCTGTACTATGAATCTGTACTACAGATTACAGATGTGACTCAACTTATACTGTGGCTTATACTGATGTACGCAAGCAAACCGTGTAATAAACCTGTTTGATTTTTTTCCGTTAACCAAGTATGACATATCGACCGACTCAATATTATGCATTTCTATGCACTAAACGTAATGAAACGCAACCAAGAGAATATTAAACCCATTAAGCAAACTCACACAAACCAGGCTTAGCTTTACTATTATTGCTATTTTAATGAGGGATTTTGAGCACCCGATGCTACTCTTACTGACGTAAAAGTCGGCGACTAAATAAACGAAAGTGGAAAAGAAAATGAGCTTTTATATATATGAGAATCTCCTATGTGCTCTCGCCTTTCTCCGTCTGTTATTTTTTGTATCACGCGTTCATTCGGCTATATCGGGTACGTTTAGGACGTATATGCATACGAGAAATCTGGAGCAATGGTACTTTCACCCCGATATTTTGGCACAACAACGCAATTTCCCCGGTTGGAAATCTGGAACTTTCTCCAACGACGCGTAGTCCCAATGTACATATGCATGTACATACGTTTGTAAGAACGTACGTACATTGCGACGCGATGGACAACATTTTTTGTCATAAAAGCCTGAGCTATTACGCCACCCATCAGCAAATTTGGTTATTTGAACATGAATCAGGATATCCTGTCGTGCTTGGAAAAATCAATAGCAATTAGAGTTTCCGCCGCTGTCAATATTGCTAAAATCATGGAAAAAAATATTATTTAATATGATAGAGTGCTTGTTTATACGAATTGTGTACGTACTTTTACAAGTTTTATTCTTTCGTATTTCTTCATTTCCAGGTATTGAGTACTAACGAGAATGACAATGATAGGAAATAAATACATTGATAAATACCTAAACTAATTATGTAAAGGGCAATATAAATAAGTTAATGTAACCTGTAATGCTCAAGTCTAATTCAATTTCAATATATATGAAACAGAGCAAACTATGTGGAACAAAAATGACTAATTAAATAATTTTACGTTTAAGGTTTCATGGTCAATAATCGTCGTCAGAACAATATGGTAACACCCGACAAGCCAGTCTCTTTACGTTGACATGCATAATATTCACTCCGCGTTCATTTCCTTTCCTTCGTTTGTTGGTTAAATCACAGAAAAACTAGCAGAACCAATAACCAAGAGTCAAACGATAATTTTTTTAGGTATATAGGTAGGTTTTTACCACATGACATACTTTGATCTCTATTATTTATAAAAATTGTTGTACCAGACTCAAACTATAAAAAGTATAGATTGTTAAATTAATGATTGTGCTTCTAGATAACTTTTCCCTCCGTTTAGTTTTTCAGTCCATATTTCATTATATTCTATTCTAAAAGTACAACAGCTTAATTATCACGTCGTCCCCAACACTGTGTACTTCGACTTAATTTTTAAATCGCTATCTATTTGCGTGTGTGTGGTGTCATACATATTTATCTTGAAGTAACAATGTGATACATATATTACAATTCACAATTATATATAATGCATATTATTATTATGCATGTTGTAAAAATTAAACAGATTTTTTGAAAAAGTTATTCATAAAAAGGCAGTGTTGGTTTTGTTTTGTATGTATGTATATATTGTCGTTGCCCTAAATTCATAAAAACCAGCGAGTTAACTGGCAAAACTTTGGTTTGATAAAAGACATTATAATTCATTAACTCAGCGAAAAAGAACACAATAAGATTTACGTATCAGGCAGTGGGATAAAAAATGACGTTTTTAAAAGTGGAACGGGTTAAATTAGGCCACGTCATGGCTGTACTAAACTGAAACTTATCTAAATGACTACAATTAGTTATAAATATTACTATAAAATGTAAATAAATACATGAAAAAACAATATAATTTAGTATAATTAGGTAATTAATGGCTAATCATCGGATGTTAAATCAATAATAATTTTACCATCTTCTTTACTCTTAACTCTATTTAACTTTAGGCCATTAGGTACAAAAAATGGATGAGGACGAACAACCACTTGTTCAGATTTGATGGGACTTTCAATCTTTTCATTCTTGATGGCTAATTTTGAATCGTTATTGTTAGCTTTACGATTTGTATCACTTTCATCATTATGAGAATTATTATTCATAACGGGTTTCCTGTCTTCTTCTGACTGATCTGAGGTGGCAACTATTGCGGGTGTGATGTGGCAAATTTTGTTGGGAATATCGGTGGGAAGATTATCAATACATTTGAAAAGTAGATCTGTATCGTCCAAATCGTCCCATTCGATTAGTAACTCGTTTTCATTGTCATCATCGTCACTGTCATTGCCATACCCATCTTTCCATTCGCAGTGATAATGGACAATTCCAGAAGCGTTGACCCATTTTCCCGTGATTTCATATGAAGCTAAATTTTTCAGATCTCTTTTACTTTTCTCCTTCCGGTTGGGCTTGCCATTAATGCTTGATTTTATATATGCAGGAGGAGTTGAGGTTTCAGAAGCATATGCTTCCGCAACTTTTTGCTTCAATTTTTGTAATTCTGCACTAGTTTCTGGAGCTTTAGGGAGACTATGCAACGTGTATCTTGACCCGTGAGTGATCAAGTCCTCAACGGAAGAATTGAGCAAGGAAAATTCAGATGGTGCGATTAATTCTTCAGTTGGAATAGCTCCATTGGCTGCAGGTATTTGGGAAAATCGCTGAGTTGCAACATTTGAATTTGAAGCTGCCTTCAGAGCTTGCTTTGCTAGTCGACCTTTCAGCTTTCCAAATGCTTTGGTCTGAATGGTTTCATTGTTGTCCTTATTTTTTTGTAAACCAGATTTATCCTTTGAGAGGTCGAAGGCCTTTGGTTTTCGAATTCTAAGCGATGGTTTTTCTGGAGATTGCGAGTTCCCTGGAGGAGTTATTCCAGCCGATTTGACTGCTTTACCGAAAAGTGATGAACTGCCTGAAAGCAGAGGACTTGCTTTGTTTTTATTGGCAGAAGAGTTTGGCGTTATAGGAGTTCGATTAGTTGCCGCGTTTAAACATTGTAGCCATTCTGTGACTTGTTTACTCGAAATTGGAGAAGGCGTTTTTGTCGAGGGAAGACAAATTCCATTCGACCCACGGTCTGGAGATAATTTTGGACGCTTATTGGATTGTGGAGATCCTGTCACATCATTGGTTTTGCGCTGGGGATATAAATTAAACATTTAAATTATCTACATAGATGTGAAGGACGATTTTTTGATTCAGGAATTAATACCTTATTAGAATCCAACTCATTTTCATAAACTTTCTTTTGCTGGCATTGCTTCTTTGCTTTCTGCACTAATCTTTCTGTCTGGGACATGAGACGGCTGGATGATTTGTTACTTTTTGCTGGAGATATGCTTTTGCTGAATGGAATGTCGTATTTGTCCAATTTGGGTGGAGATGGAGTGGCGCAAGATCCATTCATTTCGATAGACGACCTCCGACCTAAAATATTTTTACACATGTATTATTTATAACAAAACCCGTCAGCTCATGTAATAATTGTGCAAACCGTGCTGAAGAGAACCAAGTACTGCACCCCTCCCAGGCGAAGATGCTAATGACGACGTCGTCCTTATTGGTCTCGTGGGAGTTATTGGCAATTTATTTGGTGCGCTACTCTTTTGTGGCGATTTAGCTGCTGCGGGCACTCGAAGAGGATATCCTTGATGATTATTATTTTCCCTGATTGCCCACAAAGTATCATTTCGATTAACTTCAGCACCATTTAAGAAGCGCAGAGTTGCATTGTGGAGAGCTGTGCCGAGGAACTCTTTTCGACTATCGGATTGAATGTTCTTGTACTATAGAACATACAATTGAATGCAAAATTTAATAACGTTGGACATACATAACATAATTAAGAAGCTTTTAATTTTAAGTTACCGTTCTCGGTAAATGAAGGCGATCAGTGTGCTCCATAATGAAGGGTATAACATCTTTTTCCAAGTCGAAAAATCGCTCCCCAGAACTTTCAGGTTGACTTGCTAAACAGCTTAGAATTAAATGTGCCACGTCAGACCACGACGTAATACTTCTTCGGCATGAAAAGACTTTAGTTCTTCCAAAGGCTCCCGAGTCTCCGTTTTGGGTGCCACAGGCAGAACAAATTACATCCCAAAATCTAATTAAAAAATAGAGAAATGCATAAGTCATCCAGTGAAAAACGTGATGTATTTTTGGTCACAATTTTAATGTATGCTTACCGATCACCCTCCAATGGAGGTGGCGTCATTGCAAGGCAAGAGAGGTGACAGGCTCGTTCGCACAGATTGCAATGTAACCGATCGTTATAATTTGTCGCCTTTTCGCAGTGAAAGCAAACATTATTGGTTCCGCTGGATTCATCAGACTGTCGACGGTTCTTGCTTGAAGGGGATGTGTTGGCAGTTTTCCCACGATTAGGAGACTAATAGCAAACAAATTATTTGTATTATTACCGTTACTCGTATTAAGATTACGACCTTATTACGTACGACTTGAAATCTTACCGAAGGAGTTTGAGCGATGGGCATATTATTGCTTTTACAAAACCTAGATTTATTGACACAGCGTCGACAGTTAAACTGGGTTTTTGTGTGAGGAGCATAATTTAAAGCCTTTTTCCCAGCAACTTTCTGCAAGAAATAAAAAAATAACCATCAGTATAAGTACAACGTAATAAGAGACTGTTCTATACATTTGACATGTGTACTCGTATGTACCTTAACCACTCCACACGAACCACAAGTGACCTCTTCACTTGCAAGCGTGGCTACACCCCCTCCCACAGGTACGACAGGAACAGGTGATGCTAAACTGTTGGCTATTACTACTTTATTATTTGGTTTGGATAGCGATGTACTCGAATGTGAAGAACCAGAATTTTCAACTCGGTTATTAGTATCGACATGAATTGCATTATTTGGAGTACTCGTAGTGGTGTTGCTATCGTCATCATCGTCATCTTCAACCGAGCACGATAACAATTTGACTTTATTAAATTCCGCCAACTGTTGAGTTCCATCGCCAAATAAAATTTGCAAAGTTTCTCCATGAATCTGTAACCAAATAAGTTCCTTCCAATAAAGTCAATCTGCATTAATAGTGTTATTTTTATGATTTTCTAACCATTCCAACCGTTCCAAACATGAAGGTGCCATCATCTGTTGTAAAAAGGACATCGTCTCCTTTTTGAAAAGGTCTAGGTCCGATGGCCGAAACTTCCTGGGGTTCTTCTTGTTCTTCAGTTTTCTATAATTTTTAATATTAATTTAGTTTCAATCTTAATCATATCAAATTACATAAATGACAATATAAATAAACTCACCACAACTACTGCAGGAGGTGGTTTAATTTCTTTAGTCCCTTCTAGTTTTTTGGCCAGATATTTCGCTACAGTACTTGGTGATATGGTTGCAACACTTTTACGGTTTTGGTTTACATGATTTGTAACATGCTGAACACGGGCGGCCCCTCCAGAGCCAGAATTATTATTATTATTATGACGGAACGATACGTCCTTTTGTGCAGGAGACGAATTCCGAGCAGGTTGTGTTGGCTTGTGAGCTTGGCTTGGTATTAATCCGACAGGTGCATTACTACTAGAAATTGGTGATGATGATAAGTGTTTATGATTTGGCGAATTGAATAATTGACCATGATGGTGGTGATGGTTATTGTTTGCAACATTGTGATGATGATGATTAACTTGATGATGATTTTGACTAATATTAATAGGAGGTTGATGAGAAGGTGGGGCTGGTATAAATTTCCTAGCGTCGACTCCAGATTTATGGGGAGATTGATGCGCCTGGATATGATTAACTAGCGGTGTTGGACCTCGTGTCATGGGAGGTCTTTTTAATTGTTGTTGCAATTGTGAAAGTTGCTGAGGTTGAAATTGTATCTGAGCCGTTGATGAGTTAATATTAGCATTTAAATGATTTGGTGTTCGAGTCAGCGTTGTCGTATTTGGAAGGATCGCGTTAATTATTCCCCCTAAATTTCCTCCTTTTCTGGCAACGGATATTTGCGGATGACCCTGGTGATGTGGCGAGGGCACCTGTTGTTGTTGTTGCTGGTGGTGGTGGGGTGTCATCATCCTTACGTTTTGCTGCATTTGATATATTTTAAGGCCGTTTTGCGGTAGTCGATAAGTCTGTTGTGGTGGAGTGGGAGCTGGAGTGATGGTAGTGTTTTTAAGATGGCTTGTTAAATTGTGAATGTGAGACATTCTTGAAACACTTGCTGAAAAAAATTCTAGTCTTCTTTACGAGATCACTTTAATAAATTGGTTTGGTGGTGGTTTTAAATTTAGTTTTTTTGAATCTGTCTTTATCTCTCTTTTTGGCTTCCTATATTTGGAGAATTATGTACTATTTGACTTTTAAGCTTCACCAATATCAAGACTGGGCAGCAGCAGCAACAACAGCAAAAGTTTCGCTGAACAAACCTGTCAAAAAGTTGAACGTCTCATAAACGAATGAACCTAAAAACCACAAATCTAATTAGATTATCTAATGTACCTTTCCAGCGATCCGATCCAAATCCCAAGTTAACTTTCACCACAGAATTCATCGCCGCCGTTCTGTCATTTCTGACCTGCACCCAAAATAAATATTAATTTAGCCTTGGTATTGAAATCCTCGCTAAAAATCTGCATTCGGTAAAAGAGTAAAAGTATATATGCAAAACTGCATCAATGTCTATAAAAAATGTAGCGGGATAATTTCGCTCGTCTTCTTAATAACTCTCGGGTAGTTAAATCCTATCCTCTAATAATACCTGTTTGACAGTTGTCTGCTTACTATGCGAATACACAACCCGTGTTCAGCATATTTGCATTGCAAATGTGTTGTGGAGTGAGCAGTTTTGCAACAGAGATAAGTTTATTACAACACTGATATCTATCTCTACTAAAAAAAATTCAAAACCACAAAAACTGCCTTCTATATAAAAATTTATTTACTATTAGTCTATACTGAAAAGTTTAAATTTGACCTGTCACTAGAACATTTTCGTAACATGACAAAATAACATATTCAAAGAGATGAGATAATTAAATTTGAGGTTTTTGATTGAGAAAGTTTTACACTATTCTCAATAATAATATGCTTTCTCTCTCGCACTTAAATAAAATCCATACCATTCAGCTTGTAATGACTCCTGCCTTGCTGACAATGCATTCACACCCATATTATGAATTTACTTTAAAATGACACTTATATCCATCCACTTATTATTATTGCCACACATCACACACTTGCTTCACATAATACTACACTCCCATATACCATCAAATATCAATCACACACAGTCATTGGGAAGTAGTATTAATAATATGAGAAGTAGTTTATATTTCACTTATATAATGTACCCCTTAAATAATGACACATATCCTACATACTCCCTACATTGGTGCACAACTCTGCTTTAGTACAATTGTCAAAATTTGGTAAAATTTTACGTTTAAAATTGACTCGTTGTCAACCATGGAGAGAGAGTCTTCCTCCCAGAATATTATAATATCCTGCCTGCCTTCTACCTACACACACAAATCCGACCAAATTCAATGCAATGTATTATAATAAAATATCCACCATAAGTTTGGTTTGGTGTTGTAGTCTCTTCCTCCATTTGAATCGGGAGAGGAGTAAAAGGGTTAAAGTTTTTCGTTACACGGACAGCATTGCATTGCAAACGAGCAGTGGATGGATTACGTTATGTATGTAGCTCCACTTTTCTGCTGGTGGTTACTTTTAGTAAAACATGGATGGATTTGGATGGCATGGGGATCTTTTTTAACGGTGAGAACTACTGCCACAACTTTTTAACAGAACATGGCGAGCGCCGGGAGAGAAGAGCTCGCTCATCATAAAAATGAGCGTCGCCGTTGTCACCATTATGAAAAAAGCGGCTGTGTAATAATAAGTAACAGCCAAACCAATTTACTTTTACTCCACCACAATCAATTCATGACATGACAGTAAAATCCACATGCGTGTGTGTCCGATTGATAAGATTTGATTGGTAGTTCAAATCCCAATAAGTAATTCCGCATAAAAAGTGGGACAACATGATGTCATAATTTCTAAAAATTATGTATCAAATCAATGGAATTAGACCGATTAGATAAGTCACATTCTCTATTTCTGCCCCAACACGGTTCATCCCTGTTGGTTATTTAATATTCATTTCATTTCATCAATTGAGTATATGGATTTCAGTTTGGATTCGTACATAGCAAAAGTTTGAGATGAGAGAGTAAATGAAAGACCGTTATTTAACTCGCTACACTTTTATTACGCAACAGCAACTACATATATAATGAGATTCAGCTCTGTTTATCATCATCTCACATGTATGTAGTGAGAAGGCTTATCCTCGCTAAATATTTAAGTTAAGGTAAAAAAACGTGACGTATGTAATGCATTACGCGGTGTAAAGCAAATGAAATTACTAACGATTCTATTGTACAGCAAAAGTTAGTAACGAGCTATAAAATTCAAACGGCATTGAACACTGGCATAAAATTCGAGGAATCTCTCCTCTCTTACATAAAAAAATTAAGTCGTATTATTATTATTGTTGAATTTTAAATAAATTTTTACGAGTTCATATTTCCCATTGAAAAATGCTGCATATGAGAATTAGGAATATGCCGTGAATCGAAAAAGAAAAGATGGCGTCGGCTTTTATGACTTTGTCCGTTACAATGATTTTTACACAAGTGTCGTTCATGTTTGTGTAGAGGATGAGATGAGATGAGGGTAGAAATGCTGTAATGTTGCGCAAGAATATGTATCCCATCCCGTGAAAAAGATTTCACATCATGTTGGTCCTTCCTTCCTGCGTGTGCATTGTTGTTCCCCCAGTAAATACGGGTGGATATGATTATGGTATATACGTATTTATGATGAGTCCGAATTTACAAGGAATATGGAGGATTCATACCTCATTTAATTTGTATTGTTGTGTATTTGTTTAAACAAGGAAAACAAAACAAGCATATTTCCGGAATGATAAAATCATTAATTGTTTTGTCTTTCTCTTCAATAATCATGATGGGAGTGGTGTCTGTGGTGGTGGTGGTGATGATGTCCATGGTCATGACCTGACGACTCGTAAGTGTTGTAATAGCTGTACGGCTGCTGGTAGTAATTGTATCCGTATGTTGTGAAGCTGGGGATTCCAAACTCTAGAACGACTTGTCGCTTATCTTTCTTACTTGGTGTCATTGCAGCAGGTTCGTTATTCGAATCGGAAAGAAGTTCTTTGTATGAATTTGAGTCTGAAAGGTTGTAAATAACGTTAGATTTTTCATTCCACCCTCGCATGATTTATTGATTTTTACACGAAATGTACCCTTTTTCAACATGAAGTCCATTCCTTCCAGAGAAGATTTCTCCTCCTTGGCTTCATCCCAAAAAATTGGAGATGCGCTCACAAAGGGAAGAGCCAACATGGAAGAAAATGCGAGAATGGTGAACAATTTCGGCATTTTTGTCGTATTTTTTGATATTAAAAGAAAAAAATTACGAGCTTACAATGAGACTGACCAATTTTGAATGATGGCTGAATCAGAGCATCTTTCAATTTATAGATGACCATTTCGTTCCAGACATAATAAATATTAAGACATCTGCATAAAGAACAAATCATTTTGATGTGTTTATTCCTGGAAAGTACACGGTAAAATCCTCGAAAAATGCAAATGTTTTACGGCATTCAGAAGTAGTAGTAGAAGCTCATTTTTATTGCAAAATTAAATTCTTTTAATGCTATTCTTGGACATGAAATAAATTCTTCTGGGTTATGTTTAACACTAAAAAATAATTGCTGTGTGAAGTTCATTGTCAATGATGATGCTGATTGCTCATCCATACAGTAATTGCGTTTTAATATGCAATCAACTTTACCTATATACACAATATGATGTCACTCGTCGGCACATTTAAAGCGGAATGACATGTCGATAAAGTAAAAAAAAAATATTTCAGGTTCTCGGCTAGTAAACAAATGTAAATGTTCTAGTCGGCTGCTTCTGATTCTGATTAATTTGTTATTGTATTTTTGGAGTAGGTTTGAACATTTTGACATTGAATCTTTTGTTGTAAAGTGAATGATGTATCAAATTCGATTCGACTCATGACCTCACATCTCATCATCTTGCCTCCAGCAACATTCTACACAAAACACATTTTTATACAGGTGTTTGAATATAATCAGTAACTTGCAATGATGAACTTTGTCTGTTGCAGTTTAGTTTTGCCAAGCCGTTTGTCCATACGTAACCTTCACTAGGTTATTGCTTGCTACTTAATTTTTATGATTTCCACAAAATTGCAAACTTAATTATTTCAAGTTTTTTGTCACAAACTACAAATACAATTCAAGTTAAAAATGGGCGATAAAATAGATTTTAGAGTCCCATCTCCTGAAATTCCTCTGAATAAAATGGATAACAATGATAGGAAAGTCGCTGAAAATAATACTTTAAAAGTGGAAAATGTTTACGAGCAATTAGGTAAATACTAAAAAATACGTTCTTTTTTAAATAAGATTTTTCTTATTCAATAAAAATGTCTTTTGATTAGGTGGATTTTCAAGATTTCAATTATTTGCAACGGTTGTAATTCTGTGTTTGGAGATTCCAGGCGCAATGGTGGCGTTGAGCCCGATTTTGACGACAACCACGCACGTCGACTTTTATTGCGAAACGAACGATTCGTCCATATCACTCGTAGCCAAGGATGATTTGTGCACAAATTCATGCATTAATGGGGAATTAAAGGCTAAACCACCATTTAAATCTATTGTTCAAGAGGTAACAAGAAGCCACTAACCAGCATATTTTTAATGTGTATGCTCATGAATTATAATTTATTTACATGTTCACAGTGGAACTTGATTTGCGAGAAATCATGGATTTCCGACTTTCTTACAAGTCTTTTCATGATAGGTTCTGCCCTTGGGCCTTTAATAACAGCGCAGATTGCCGACAGGTGGATTATTTTATAATTAACCAATAAAATATTCAATACTAATTTATGAATTTTTGGAGGTTTGGGAGAAAACCTGCCTTTTTTCTCGTTTGTATACTCTTGAGTGCATCGGGAATATTTGCATCCCAATCAACAAGCATTCCGATGTATGCAGCCTCAAAATTATTCTCAGGGCTTGCTGCCGGAGGTACAAAATTAAAAAATGACTTGCTGATTTGAAGTTATTTATTGACTAAACAATTTATTCTACTAATTCTCAAATTATGTAGGTTGTATGGTCGCCCACATGAATTATTTAATGGAATTTTTGACCCCCTCGTGGAGAATTATTTGTGGATGTGTCTCATTGTGGCCGGTTGGCGAAATGTTGTTGGCTTTGGTTGGATACTTAAGCCCAGACTGGAGGACGCTATCTTGGGCGTCAATCGTCCCAGCGTTACTTCTGATCCTAACATTTCCGTAAAATTATTTACAATTTTTATTAATTTCTTATGCACTAATAGTGAATTAATTACATAAATTAATTTCCAGATGGTTGTATGAAAGCCCGAGATGGCTCCTTTGCAAAAATGAAACAAAGAAAGCTGGGGTGATTTTCAACAAGATTTCCGCATGGAACAATCGTCCCGAAATATCGGAAGAATCGCTGCTACTTCTGCAAGAGTCCGTTCTGAGATCAGCTTCTGACAAAGAAGTCTTTCAAAATAGATGGACTGCATTTAAAGACAGAAAAATTTTGATGTGCATATCAATCTTTTTTTTCGCCTGGTTTGCAAATGCACTGACTTATTACGGAATTTCGTTTAACATGAAAAATATTGATGGAAATCCATATCTCAACGTGTTCCTACTGGGTTTGCTGGACTCTCCGGCGGAATTATCGGGAATGTATTTCAGCAACAGGTCATTAGTTGTAAAAATTTAGTGCTTAATCACTTTTAAAGTAATGTTACATGAATTTCTTTCAGATTTGGTAGAAAATCGTCATTCATCGGATTTCTCATCGTGAGCGTATGCTGTCTCGTACCTCTTGCCGGAATCCATTTAATTTACGATACCCAATCAATCAAAATGCATTTTGGGACTGTGATTCTCATTTTATGTTTAGCAGCTAGATTTTTTAATGAGACAAGTTTTGCAATTATGACGTGTTTTACGGGAGAATCATTTCCTACAATAGTTCGATCGATATGTTTCAGTATTTGTACAATTGCTTCAAGTGTGGGAGGAGTCCTATCGCCACAAATGGCATATTTTGGCACATGTAAGTATTTGTGGGCTTATTTTCATTTTCTAAAATGCAAATATTTGATTTTTTGCCACTTTTCTTTACAGTTTGGGCTTCCGGACCTTACATTGTATTTAGCGTGACGTGTATCATTAGTTGCATGCTCTCTTTGAAATTGGAAGAAACTAGGAAATTGCCACTTCATGATGTTAACTGAATTTGTATGGATTAAATTGACACGATTTAAGCATCATAAAATTTTATTATTCTGGCTGAGTTACATTGTAATACTTGGATCAGAGTCAAACCTATACGAAAAAAATAACAATTTGTATGCAGGTATTAATTAAATTAATATTTTTCCTGCCAAAATCAAAAATTTTATGTATAGTTAAGACTTTGAAAAAGTAGGAAACTGATAATTACAATAATTGTAATCTCTTTTTACAGGATAAATTAGATTTCAGATTGAGATTTTTAAAACTTTGATGTGAGAATACATACATAAAATATACGTGCAAAAGATTTTGACTTAATTACTTCTTTATAAAACGCACTGCGGTTGAACACACTTAACAGCTTTTGGATGCAACCGTGCATTTTTTTCATGTGCCTTTTTTTACTCTTCCTCAGACACGGTTTAATCGTTCTTGTATTGTTCGCTCTCAAAAATCAGTATTTATGGTTTGTTGTAAATATAAAGCAATAAAGTTTCCCTTTCGTCCTGCACAAGATAATGTTTAATGAAATTCAAGGTTAATTTACTCCTTTGCGTAGACATACTCTACTCAGGTCGACAGTATTACTTACTTACATATATAAAATATCGTATATAAAATATATTATTTTAATTCACGCCTCATGTAATAAATGCTTTCTTTAATTTCGTTTTGAAAGCTTTATAATAATTAAATATGGCATTTTTTAAGACAAAAATGCAAACAATTTGTTACAAAAGCAATTTCACAATGATTTTGTAACAAGTCTGTGTATCATCTTATTGTAATATCAACTAAATAAATCCATATTATCCATCCATCCATTGCACAAGTACATGACTAAATTTACAAAATTCTAGAAAGTCAATTTTCTCGCTGCTTTTTATCGCGTCGTAACTTTTTTCGTCTCTTTTTAACATGTGCTTCTTTTGGGGTAAACTTGAAGACTTCTTTGGAATTGGACTTGACGACTTCTTTCGAACTACTATTACTTGCACGTGAACTTATAATATTACTTGCTGCGCCGTGATACGTCAAATCTGGAAGATGTTGATGGGACGGATCTGGTTTAAATTGGTCCAGTTGGTCTGGTAGCGTGGAGAACTTTGTTGGTTGGTTGTATTTTGGCATGTTTTTGAAAATATTGTCGTTATTGGTGTTATGCTCTGGATGGGAGGAAGATGAGCCAAATTGGGAATTTTTATTTGATTCGCCCTTATTTGGGAAGGGCATGAATGGAATTGGAAGTTTAAGTTTGGGTCTAAATGTTGTCGGGTAATTGTCCGGATGGTTGGAAAATGGGTGTCTTTTAGGTCCACCATTTTGTGATTTGGTGTCATCGTCTGACATTGGTTTACCGTAAATGACGTCTGGTTCCTTGTTTGTGGGTCTGAGTTCGATGGGGACGGGGACAATGTTTGGTCGTGGACGGTTGTGCATGGGCGTGTGGAGAAGATCAAACAAAGCTCCTGGCATGTCCATCATGCTTTGTTTTGGGGGCCTCTCCTGATTTTGTGGGGGAAGATGCAACCGGATATTGGAAGGTCGAGGGTTGTCGTTTTGAGCTTGACCTTGTAGTTGCTGTTGTTGAGGGCTTTGTTCTGGCGCTTGTGGTTTGTTGGGGGCGGTTTGTTTTGGGGGGAAAAGTTGGGGCCCGTCAAAGTGCGAGTCCTCTTCGTACTGTTGTCGGATATCATTTTGTTCCGGATTTTTGTGCCCTTCATTCTCAGATTGGGGTTTGTAATGGTCATTGTGGTGTTGATGTGGCTCGGGTGAGTCATTTTGCTGATTCTCATTATGTGGAATTTGATTTGGTCCATTATTATTATTATTAAAATGTCCTGGTTCTTTATTATGGTGATGATTATTTTGCTGGTGTGGGTTGTGAGGTTTGCCTTGGTTGTTCTGATTCTGATGGTGGTTTTGTGGAGGGGGAGGAGGAGGAGCAGAAAAATATCCAGGTCGGAATCGTTTCATCATACTGGTCATACTGGAAATAAGCCTAAATGGCCACCGATCACGGAATGACGGTGGTGGTTTCGAAGATTGTTGTTGTGGAGCAGCAGCAGCATTATTGTTTGGTTTAGGTCTTTGAGGACCTACATGATGCAGTTCTCTGTAAGGATGATGCGGTCTATGGCCATGTTGGTTGTTGAATGGGGGTCCACCAGGAGGGCCAGCATTAAAATCATTCGGAGGACCGTCATGGAATGTTGTGTGTGTATGGTGACTGGGTCTGTGGGGATTATGCTGTGGACCATACCTAAAGTCATTTTGTGGTCCATCCTCATGCTGATCGTCGTGATGAGGTGGCCCAAAAGCTGGTGGTGAATTGTCACCTCCATGAAATTGGTAATTCTCATTATCTGGTCGGACATGGTAGGGAATACCAACTGGTTTAGGTGGGGGACCACGCTGAAATCCGGGCGGGGGTCCGGCATGTCGGAATCCACCTTCGCCAATGCCTCCGCCAGTCTCATATTCAACACCCTGATCGTTATCATTGTTGTGATATGGCGCATGGTCACCGCCGTATTCTGAATTTCCTGATGGTCCAAACCCATGAGGAGGACCATGACCAAAGTTATCATCATGTTGATGATACTCGACCCCACCGTCGCCTCCTCCGTCATGATGATTATAATCTGGAGCTTGATATTCCTCCTCGCCTCCGCCACCACCTCCAAAGTTTCCTCCTGAAAATCCCTCAGGATGCTCGTGATGATGATCGTCACCTTCAAAATGACCAGCGTCATGTTCATGATAATGATGCGGGGGTCCAAATTTGGGTGGTCGCGACTTATGTTTTGGTCTCCTCCTCTTCTTCCAGGGAAATCGGAGTCGAAGCTTTTTGAAAAATGGCTTTCTTGGCTTTCTCTTCGGTTTCCGTCTTGGTTTCCACCAATTTCTAAACCTTAATAAAGGTTTGCGCTTTCTCCTGGGTTTTCTTCGAGGTCTTCTTGGCTTCCGTCCCCAGCCGCGACCGTAGACTCGTTTCTTGTAGAAAATTGGAATCACTGGTCGGTTCTTTAAGACTTTACAGGCACCTTTGCACACCTTCTTGGAAACGCGATTATTCGCAGGTCTCAGCTGCCCCCCGGTGAATTCAGGAACTTTCTGATATTGATCACCTTCGTGGTATTCGTGGTCAACTGGGTTTTGATCTGTTCCATGCTGATTAGCCTGCTTATCAGAATGGTACTGATTATCAGGTTGATATTGATTATCAGATTGGGGGTACTGCTCCACTGGAAAATTTTCGCCATGAGGCGATTGTTCCGTTGCGAACTTGTTCTTGTTATAGTTAGGATTAAGATGATTTCGGAATTCATCCTCGGAAACTTCTGTATTTGGTGGTGGAGCATCATTATTACTGTTACTTTCCTGATAGAAATTGTTATTATTATTATTTCCATTTCCCGACGGCCCCGTCACTTCACTGTACTCAACGCCATTGTCATTATGACGAGGATGGTTATCATTATGATATTCATGATTCACAAAGTTTTCAGTTACAGGGTTTGTGTCAATATTTTGAGCGTCTGATGGAAACCCGGTGGGCATGTTAAAGTCTCGAAACCCTTCTGGGAAACCGAATCCATCGTTATTATTACACTTAACACTTTGAAGAAGCAACAACACGACGAAACTTCCCACTTGTACTTTGGACACTTGAACCACACCCCTCGTCCCCATTTTAAGAGACTTTATTAAACTTGATTTATTCGTTCCTTTTAAACTACATTGTATTTATGTTGCTGCACTTCAAAATATGGATCAGCCTAAATTTCAGAGATGAAAAGTTGTATTATCACTGACAGCTAAAAGTGTAATGGATGAAAATTGAATGTATTCCAACAATCAGAAATGTAAAACAATATTGAAAATGTAAACTAATACAGACAAACAAAGAGTAGACCATTAGGTTAGCAGTGAGATAAAGACGCGATGTGGAGGAGGAGGAGGTGAATATACCGAGACCACCACATTTTCATTATCAAAATAGATTGAACTTGTTAACTTGGTCAAGCCGATCTGAGAATAGAAAGCGAAATTGGTTCAATTAGAGTAAGATACTTTTTAACAATAATAATTATTTTCGTTTTATTCATCATCATCATTATCATTTACCTTACCACGAATGTGTGTGCATTTATGAGTAGGGATATCTTTTTCCATCCCATGAGTCAAATTGGTGGAAAAAATCAATTCAATTAGTGCATTTTGTTTTATATAAAATGCAGTATCGCTTTTAATTGTATACACAAGCTAATTATTTGAGGTGAAGATTCTTTGGATGAAAATGAACATTGCATTGTTGCATTTTTCGTAACAATTTCATTTCGCTTCATTTACACGTGAATTGCATAGCAGAATTTGTCATTACGACGCAAAATGTGACATTTTATAACAGAGGAGTAAGACTATGACACTTGAAACTTTTTAAAATAACTCGTATTGAAGCAACGTTCACTTTTTCGTATAAAAGTTCATCAAAGAAACTAATTTGCACACAATGCAATAAAAAAATACAGGTACTTGCAGTCATTACGTTTATTATGTGTGCATCCCTGAACTTCATAATAAAAGGAAGACTCACTTCTGTTGTCTGTGTTAAAATTGAAGAGTTGCAATTATTCCACGTTCGTTCAGTTCACTGATGCGTAACTTATGGTAAGTGATTCTATTATGTGTACAATGTACATGCATATTTATTTCGTTACATTGTTGCAGATGGGATATTCGAAAATAAGAGTTTGAATTTTACTTTCCTTCAGGTCAAAAAGTTAAGAAATCGATAATAATTGGACTTTTTGGTCGTGGAGTTTAAATGTTATTTATGTATTATACCATTAAATTATCGTTACTGACCCATAGTTAATCTAGTCCTTCGTACTACTGATTTTTAATAAAATTTCTCTTGGGTGCGATGTTGATTTCATAATAACACCTGCTACTTATGCAACCAATTAAAATTTTCATGATTTCCTATAAAAAGACAAATATTTATTTCAGAAACCAGTTTCCAATTTTTGAGTTTTTTTTAAGAAAAGCAAGAAATCAACGACGTTCCGACATTGGACAATCAAATTGAGATTTTCAGGACGATCAAAGGGATGAAATGAAAAAGCAACTTTTCCCATGTTTAATTTCATGCTCATTGATAAAGTTATTTGAAATCTCACAATAAATTTTGATGGAATGATTTATTTATTTATATGTAATTTGTCAGATTCTTTACTCAGTCATAATATTCTCAAACTTATAATTGGATTAGTTTTCAAAAAGAACTCTACGTCGGACTAAGGCTAATTATCTATTAATTATACTATAAAATTACAAAAATAGGAAATACTTGATGGTTCACGACAAGGTTATCATGGTGTGCACATAGTTAGGTTACATCACACGACAGCACTAAAATTCTGGCTTTAATCCTCATTAAAAATAGGTCACCACATTTAACCCATCCATTAATTAATTACATAGAATATAATACTTGACAATAATTTTACCCTGAAAGTCAATTCTGCACTGTAGGTTTATTTAAGTTGTATATTATAATAATAGTGAATTGGCACTTATTCTCTGCTTCGTTTAATACAAGTCACAACATCCGTAAAATTGACGATAGTAACTAACTCTTAATAGTACTTTGTGTCAATACATACATATGCTCTTCACATTGCTTCACATAAAATGAGATATGACATAAACAATTAAATGAGACAATTGGAGCCATTCATCTTTCTCCACGACATAGTAATGAGTCCCGTCTCCACCAACCTTGTGCTTCTTGAGGTTTGGATGGTTGACCACCTCCACAATTGCAACGCATTGCAGATGCTCCTTCCGAAGAAGCTCCAAACCTACATCTACCTAAAGCCAAAAGTGTTAAAGTTTCCACCCAAAGAAATTGTTATGTGCACAATCCTTTTATTTCTTCTTGTTTTATTACTTACGTGGGGCGTCATCAAAGCGCTGTGCCCCCATGCTTCAGATCCGGTACTATAACCTTTCGAAACTTTGAGAGTTGAACTGAGATAAGTTCCGTGGCCGTACGCCTTTCTAATATTTAGCTCGTTTTTCAGCCCGCGATGAATGATGGAGTGGAAATTTTCCAACGGCGAGCCATGATACGCGAAGAAGCTTCCATGTGTGACCTTCTCGGCGTCAAAACTCGTTTTGGGAACGGACGGAGTCACCTTGAAGAGGAGGAAGGGCTCTGCCGAGGTGATAAATCTGGGGCTAATGTCGGTCAAATTCATCTGCAATTTTAGGGCTTCCAGTGTTGCAGGAATGTTCTCCGTTATTGCTTCAATCGTCAGGGGATTAGTGAATCTGTAAGTAAAAATAAAATAGTTTTTAAAATAAGTTTCCTGACATTTTACACTAAATTATTTAACAAACAGTGCGGCAGGTATTTTCTCATTTTCGACATCTTTTTTGTTAGCTTTTTCATAGGAGAGAAGAATTATTAATTAGTAGTAAACTTACACCCAGTGAAGAAGTTCCCAGGCCATCCGAGGAAGCTGCTTATCCTCCGTAATGTCCTGGAGGGGAGGGATAACCGCAATAGTTTCCTTCAGAAGGCCGAATTGTTTCTCCTTCGTGACCGGATTAAAAAAACTCGAGGGGAAAGGCATGAGGCATTGTGGTCGCTGGTCACTCATCATGACCGCCTTCACAAAGAGAGACATTCGTAGCTCGCACACTATCCGAGTAATCTTCTTCCCGTCCAAAATTATCTCGAGGACAAGCTGCCGATAATCCAGCAAGTGGTACAGCTCGTCCGCCATTTGAGAACGTTGCATCTTCAGTTGTTCCTCCGAGCAGGGTGCAGACGGGAGACAATTATTAACCTATTAAAGAGAATCTGATGACATAAATTATAATAATGAAATGTTTACAAGTACTGTACAAACTTGTGACATTTTTGGCCAATTATCATAATAATTATGATGCGGCATATCGACTGTTGTTGAGTATGCATTCGACGTCGGTCACTCCACAGCCACAACACAAGTCCGAACCTTAATGAAAAGATTTGGATTTGTCATTTGTTGTCACCATGTTGTCACTGACGACTCGTCAGTTCAGTGATCAATTTGTGGTTGTTCGTCGTCGAATGCATATTCAATGACGATTCGTCATACTTTTGTAAATATCAAAACTAAACTTTGTTGTTTAAAATAGTCGCGAAAAACTTACTAAACTCAGGTTTTTAAATAATAATATTTACTAATCGCACGTATGCTACAAAATGATGACGAACGTTGATGGAATTCAGTTCGTGTTTTACCGTTTATCCGCCATTATTAAAAGTTAAAATTGGCATGATGAAATTGGATGGACTGTCAAGTCAACTGTGATTGATTCCATCTTGGTCATTACTTTGTTCATTGTTTGCATGCAGAAGCAAACGATCATTTTTCATGAGCTACAGTGTTTTTATATGGTTTTTATTGACAATTGTTACTGGATGGTGGAAGGAAAGCAACATTTATATAATAAATAATTGTAGCACTGTCACATTATATTCACATCATATAACTCTCCCCAGGTTTATTTTCTTTCACCCTTTGTTAATAAAGTAATTCTAAATCTCAAAACAAGTTATGATGGAATGACCAACAACAACAAATAGTCTTATGAAATTTTGCAATTTATCGAATCTCTTTATTCAGTCATAACATTCTCAAATTTTCAAACAATAAATTAGAACAATAATTTAGAAATTTGGAACAATTTAGAACATTCTATGGGGTCATTTGTTGATGCCCAGGTGTTTGAGAAATTACCAGGCGTAGTTGGCGTATGGGGTGGAGAAGGTTTGGTGGGCGAAGGTGGCGACGGCTGGGGCAGCGGCAGCGTAGGCGACTGGGGCCTAAGAAAAATTAGAGAGTGAGCATAAAAAAGGTCATAATTTGTACTTATCGAAGTCAAGATATGTAAACTTACAGCGACGGCGACTGGAGCAGCGTGAGCGTAGGTGGCAACTGGGGCAGCATAAGCGGCAACTGGGGCCTATGAAAAATTTCAGGAGAAAAATAAGGATCAGTCTTGAAAATAGGAAGGCGTTTGTCATAATTTAGCTTACAGCGACGGCGATCTTGGCAGCTGGGGCTCGTTGGTTGAAGCTGTAAGATTGGGCAGCTGGGACGATGGCCTTGGCGACGACTGGAGCGTGGGCGTAGGCGACTGGAGCGGCGTGGGCGTAGGTGGCAACTGGGGCAGCATAAGCTGGGGCGGCGTATGCGACTGGGGCCTGGAAAAAATCAATCCATAACCGTTCATTTTCAGGTCATACGTTAATGGTAATTTTTAAGAGAACATTTCAGAAATTCGGTCTTACAGCAGCGACGGCCAAACGGGCAGCTGGGGCTCGGTTGTTGTATTGGAGGGATTGAGCAGCGGGGACGGCGACCTAAAAATTTAGTTCAGGAGATAATCATTAGTTTAATCAGAATTTAAAAAGAGTATTGAATATAACGGTGATATATAATTTCTGCACTTACGGCAGATTGGTAGACTGCTGGTTGAGCCAAGAATCCGGCGTTAGCGACGGCGACGAAAGCCAACAAAGCGACGATCTATGTATACAAATCCAAATAAATTTGTTAAGTCGGTGAAGCCACAAGTGATTTCCAATTTCAAAAATTCTGATTATTAAAAACTTACGGAGTTCATGATGAAGTTTGGTTGGTTGGTGTGTAAAACACAAAAGTTGATGAGATGAAAAGTTGCTTGAAATGAAGCTGGAAGGAAACTGATACCTTTTCCGAGAGACGGTTGACTATTTATACAAAATCTTATCCATCGCAGTCAATAATACAATTACCAACCTAACCAATAATAATGGTACGCAAGCAGTAGTAGTTGTGGTCAGCAGATCTGTACAGGTTCATTTCCATGTCCGCTAAAGATTTAATCCGCAGCATGAGCGTCCCTCGGCATCATTTGACCCTGTATCATCCAAAAAACTCGACAGGAACATCCCATCCCCACGCATTGTTGTTCTTTTAGCACTTAATTCAATTAGTAAAGCAGAACAGGAATAACAGCGAATGTATTATTCGATTCGCCTGAAGAAATTAGTCCAGTTCTTCACGAGGTACTTTTATTATCATTAACAGCGTTATCTGATAGTCCATCTTGACCATTGTAAAAATGACTGAACGTGATACGTGAGTGTAAATATTTACCAAATAAAATGCATACATAGGTCAACTCCACCCTTCATAAAATGTCGTAGAGAATGTTATAGCAAATCAATAAAGGAAAGGTTAAATTGAGCTATAAATCAGCATATCGACTTTGCAAAACTACTTTTCGTTGGCACATTGAGGGTCATGCAGCCACGACTTTACCAAAAATATTGGACAGATAACGAACTCACCATGTGGTCCATTGGCACATTGGCGTTGTTGATTATAGCACAATTTTTCTAATCAAGAATGCAAAATGCAACTATAGTCTAGACGGCAATTGCATAAATTTATTTGTGTGCATGATTATTTTGAAAGAGTCAAATGAAAAATGTTGTCATCAAGATCTACGATAAAATTTGCGAAAAAAAAATCTGGGATAAATTTTTCTTGGCACTTATGTATTTATTAGGGGTCCAACTTATCGTCACCAAATTTTGTAAAATTCAATACTTTGTCATTGTTTCTTTCATTGTATCTTTCAGAGAACATGTTTCTGATACATTCATTCATAGTTGAGCACTAATTACATAGCAATCAAAACTAACCATCAAATGATTGAATAGATTAGTCTCATCTCGGATATCCATTTCAGGGCCGTTTAAGGCTAACAACAAATAACCAGCTAAAATTACAAGCTACGTAAGATCTAGTTATTATGCTAATTAGATGAGTACCCACTACCCATCTATCCAAAGTGCAACTGAATACATCAATTTATAACAATCGTTATGTGGTCATGTATTGTTTTACATTTCATCGACAACCATGATCTTGAAATATGAGTACGCTTCTTACTTAATGATATGGGTCGACAGGGATGTTGAAGGCTAAAATTTTGAGATGATTTATTTCCGGCTATCCTTGCCGTGTAATAAAGGTTATTATGCTAAAGAATATTTAGACTTATTGAAATGGAAAAATTAATTGAGGACCGAGTTACCCCACCTAAATAAAAACTGTAATATAATTTCTGCTTGTCCAAAATTTCCGAAACACGATGAAATTTAATATAGCTACATGCATATGCATCTTCTGGAGATTTAATACATTTGTTTTAAAATATCTTGAATTTGCATAATTTTGCAGTAATTTTTGCATTTTGGGAAATTTGTGACAACAAAATTTGCGATTATTCTGCATTGAGTCGCCCCGACTGGATAAATTTCCCGGATTTTGGTTTCCATCACCGGCGTGGGCCACTCTCATTTGACGATTGGTGAGTTGTTCACTTGTCTATTTTTACTTTGCATTTCAGGCCTGGGAAAAGTTTCTTGTTTTATTTTCGTCTGTCGGCTCGGCTGGATAATTAATTTAATTAGGATAAACACCAGCAGTAACTGTGTGACCTCAGTTAATTAATTATAATGAGGTCGTTACTGATCTCGTCTGCCCTTCTTCTCGTCACGATTTGGTCTGTTAGTTCTGGCGTGGACGACAAGGCCGAAGTCGTCGTACCGTCTGGGTTCCTCTGCCCAAATTGTTACGAGCGAGCAAAGTCTGTGCTGGAGAAGGCGTGGACCTTGACAGATCCATTGGTCACGAGTTATGGCGTTTTAGTCTACAACATTTTGAAGTTCGACATTCCAAAAGCGCAGGTAGGTCGTAGGTTTTGGTGGGCGGAATATTTGGTCGATGGGTGGAAGAAAGATGAAAAGGTTTGTAAATTGTACTTGTGGGTTTTAGGAGGTGTGTAAATTCCTACAAACGAGCCTTGACGGGCAGGATGGGACAAAGACTGAAGCACCCTTTGCTATTTCTTCGGCCATCACCAAAGTTTCTGGGTGCAAAGCAGCCGCATTGAAACCGGCTTTAAAGCAGGTAAAATTTAATGGTGATGAAGATAATGAAATTGTTTATATTGAAATACAATGTTAATGAGAATGATAAAATGTTTGTCTTACATGTAATTGAAATTTGACCACTATTCCTAATTAACTTTTGTATTATTTTATTAATTTAGAACCTGGATAAAATCCTCAAGGAAGGAACAAATTCCCAGGACATTTATTATGCTGCGGAAACTTTGAAAAATACGGGAGGAGCAGTTGACACTGCCAAGATTGCTGAATTATTAAAAGCTGCAACAAAAGCGGATGATAGCCCACAATCTTTGGGCTACGCTTTGTGGGCGTCAACCGTGGGGTTCAAAAGTGGAGGAAAGTTGGAAATTTGGGAAAGGATTGAGGACGTAATTGCACAGGCGGATGAAATTGACAAGCAATATCTTCAGTTTGAGGGTGGACTTTCAGTGACTGGTGAGTAATTAATAAAAATGTTTTTATGAAATATTTTTTACATAGAAAATACTTAAAACAATGAAATACTTTTAGCTGCTGTTATAAATGGCGTGTTCCGTCTGGCTGACGTTTCTGGAAAACCGTTCCCCTTGAAGAACGATCAAGTCGTGAAATTCAGCAATTATTTGATCTCTCGGAAAACGGTTACCACTCCACGAGGACTTTGGCTGTTTCTTACTGCATTGGATATTGTCTCGGGAAACAAGGCAAGTTTATTTTGTTCAAAACAGTTACTTTGTAGTTTTTGTGTCCCATTTTAATTGCTGCCAAATCATATGTCCATGATTATGGTAGTTATACGCGTGGGAAAAATTAAGTAAGCATGGATTTTGAAGTTTAGACGAGTTATTATTTCTGACTCGTTCGAATTCAATTTCCTTGTTACAAAATACCCGTTTTTTTTACACCAAAACTTACTATTTCTGTCATTCTTATTCATTACAGTTCATGAACCCAGTTTACATTGGAATTAGTGGATCCAATGTTTTGAATGATGCCAACAAAGTTTTATCTGTGAAAGTTGCCGACTTATTTGGAAGACCGGTTGATGTAGCCGTCTCTTTGGAATCGTTGACTAGCTCGACTGGGACTAAAGTTGGAGATATTCAACTTGTACAAGCTGTACCATCCAGTGACAAGTAAGGACTTCACAATATAAACAATTTCCAGTCATTATTTTTATAACTAACATTATTTGTTGTCTTGCATCGCTTCATAGGAAGACTTTTACCGTGGACTTGAAATCAAAGACTTTAGCTAAAGGCTTTTACAAAGCTGTGTTGGTTCCAAAGTCTCCCAAAAATGACAAGAAACTGATCTTATTGCCAACAACTGTACAAGTCAAAGTAACTGGAAAATTGGGAGCAGTCACAGCTCGCGTTGGCGTTGCAGATACTGATCAGCAGTCTCAAACTAAATGGCACGATTTGAACATTAAGCAAAAATTGAGCTCCAAGTTGGAGTTGGACCCTTCAAACAAATTGGTCATCAAAGTAGCCACAAGTCAGTCTCTTCATCAAGTTTTTGTCATCTTGAAGAGCAAAGCAACCAAGAAGGAGGTGGCGTTCATTGCTCAACCGGAAAGTGACGGGAAAACTGATTATAAGTTAGAATTGGTAAGAGTAAATTATATGTATTGTATTTATTTGGAGCAAAAATGATGTGAAACTTTCATTCTCCTGAATATGTCATATGTCGTGTTGACCAGTTTTAATTTCTGATTTAGTATTAACTAACCAACATAACATGCTTATTTCTTTATGATTTTGTTTAATGCACATTTACATTTTTCCGTTGTAGGATTTGACCTCCAATGCAAAGGATCTCGGATATAACTCTGGGGCATATGAAATTACCCTGATTCTTGGAGATTTCTTCATCGATGATTCTGTGGAATGGGTTCTGGGTGATGTACAATTGCAAGTTGCTTCAGGAAAGCCCAAGGCACCAAATCCTTTGTACGGCATTGCATATGGACCTAAACCAGAAATTAAGGTAAATTTTAGTTTCTCATAGAATTTTAATTTACAAACTGGCAGTTCCTAATTTGTTATCCGTTTCGTGTTGCAGCATCAATTCCGAACACCAGAACCACGACCAGCACGAGTTCTATCGGATGCGTTCACCATTCTGACATTGTCTCCATTGCTCATCCTTTTCATTCTTGTAAGATACATAAAGATTCTTCTAGAAAGTATTCAAACTAATAAATCCATTAATTATTGCAGTGGATCAAGATTGGAGCGAACATTAGCGGATTTCCAGCGTCTCTCAGTGCTGTCCTTTTCCATCTCGGTCTCGGAGGTAATAGCAAATGATGACGCATTATAATTGAGAAATTTAGCTATTAGTTAATGTAAAATGATGTTATATATTCAATACTTTCGTTCTTCTAAGTAACGTTATGGTGAAAACTATTGATCTGATTTTGTTACTATGTTCTAAGAAATGCTGCGTAACTGATCTTCATGTATTAATTCATATCTTCTCTTTCAGGCATTTTCGGCGTGTATGTCCTCTTCTGGATCAAGCTTACCATGTTCGAAGCTCTCAAACTTATCAGCATTCCAGGATTCATCACTTTCATCTTTGGGCACCGTTTATTGTCTTATTTGTCTGATAAACGTAAAGCTTGAGAAAATCCTCGAGTAGAGTAGTTCGTAGTCTCAGTCAATATTTTCCGTGCCTTGTTAATTCCACTGTTATCATTTCCAAATATGTGACTTAAATTTTCATATTACGAGTCAAATGTAGTAGCTTTCTTGTTCTTGTCGAGTGAACATTTGAAGAATGATTTTGTTAAATTATTATGACGATGGGCAGTATGTTTTTTCAGTTACTATTGTGCACAATAGCAAATGTTTTTCAAAAATAAATGTTAACCACAGTAAAAAATAATTTTGTTTCGTTTTATTGACTTTGCATCAAAGAGAAGAAACTATGGACAGATGTTGACTGATTTTGTAGGATAGTTTCATAGGACAAGATTCATTCCTGCAACACTGCACAGAATTGACAAGACAAACTCGACAGAAAGAACAGTAAGGGCTTCTCTCTGGGAGAAGTCGGAGGAGGAGACAGCGGCGAGATTTAACGAAAGGAAATAAATAAATTAACTAGTTAATTGCTTCGGTGGGGAAATTACTTAATGGTGGTAAACTCCGGCAGCGTGTCCGTAACCGACAGCGGCTGGGTGACCGAAAGCTGGGGCGGCGTGGGCAACGGCGAGTGGGGCGTGGGCAACTCGGACAGCTGGGGCAGCATAGGCCTAATAATATGACGATAAAAGATATTGTTTTTAAAACTTGTCTCGTGTTTATGTCTTGTGTTTTGAATATGCACATATTTTGTGGACTTACGAGTGGGGCAGCGTGGGCAACGACGGCCTTGGCGACTGGGGCAGCAACGACGGCCTTGGTCACAGCTGGGGCAGATCGGTCGACGACGGCGTTGAATCCGTGGACGGGGTCAGCGGTGTAGGTGACGGTTCGGATGGCACCATCGGGCTCGACGAGGGAGTATTGGCCTTGGACGCTGTCGCCATCACGGGTCTCGGAGGCGGTCTTGGAGTCTCCGGTCAAAGCGTCGGAGACGGAGTATCCTGTAGTTCAACATGAAGCGTTGTTTAGATTTGAGTTTGATTCCCTTTGAGTAACTAATTTCCGTATTTATGTAAACGGATTTTGCACTTACCGTAGTTGTATTGTGGGTGGGGGTCATATGGCTCTGGTTGGACGGCAACGGCGGCTGTAAAAAAATTAATTTCGATAAGTAACAAGTAATTAATGAAAGTAGTTCAGCAAAATTATTCGGAAATCTCACCCTTGGCGATGACGGGGGCAGCTGCGTAAGCGGGGGCAGCATATCCGACGGCGGCTGGGGCCAAAACTCCGGCGTTGGCGGCGGCGACGAAAGCGAGGAGAGCAACAGCCTTTATTATATAAATTAATTGTTAATATATTATCGCCCACGTATATCGCCAACCGATCATCAGATCGGATCAACCGAAAATCAGATTCGAATCAGATTATGATTTGAGTTCTTAATTGATTGGATACCTTGATCATTTTGATGCTTGTATGGGCACGAAGATTGACTCCGAAATGGCTTTGTAAATGGAAGAAAAAGTTCCTTGTGAGAAGCTGACACCTGAATGAATTTGATCACAAATTGTGCCGTATTTATATGCGACTAACTATGCGAACCAGTATGGCATCCAACCTAAGCTATATCGCCTCCCTTACAGTGATCCATCCGTTTGCATGCACGCTTCGTAGCGAGTGAACCTTGCTCCCTTCTCATGAAATTGGTTGATATTGATGGTATTAAGGGATCATGATGAGAGAACCAACTCCTTTTATCGAAACAGAATAATTTGCATATAAAGTAAAAATAATGGACATTGTTAAAAAGTGCACACAACTTCCACGCATAAAATCCTTAATGTGTGTGAGTGAGAATAATATGTAAAGATAATGCAGAATAAATAGTGTACCTTGCCCAGACACATATTATTATGCAGGGACGACGCGCATTGTCCTTTTTTGCAACGTTAAGTGCTACAAGGATTAACCTTATCATCGAATAATTATATGCTACCCAACAAATCAAGCAATTAGTAAATATGTTGGTTGGCTGCAGGTCGACGTCGACCTGAACTTGAGAGTTGACCATTTGCTCATTATAAGTTTTTTTAATTGAAAAAAAAGAAACAGAGGATTTACGCTGAGAAATTTTGTTCTGATTATTTATTTTATTATGCACATTTTGAGGTTACAAGAAAGGAAGAAACAAATTGTGTTATTTTTATCTTGATGAACAAAATGCACTTTTTTACAATTTGGTTGAACTTGAAGTAATCCTGAGTAGATCGTTATCATCCAAATGAATTTTCCCGTTGTCGAAATATTCTGCAATAAACCTTGCACATATCCTGACCTGATACTTTCAGTTTCATTGAATGCATAATAATGAATAACATGATGTAAAATTGAAACAATAAAAAAAGTGTCAAGTCCATTTCGACCTAGGATTATCTCCTCCTCTACACATTTAGGATGCAGTTTGGAGGAATATTATTCCATAATTATTTATGTATCAAGGAGCGGTATCTCAACGGTCTGTCGCCCACATTAAGCATCCCATTCATTTAGTTAGATGATGACGAATTTGAGGGGATAAGTATGTAAGTTCACAGACAACTCCATAATTATTATGCACTAGACTGACCAGAATTTTAAAATTTGTAGGTCAATGCTTTGCTAATTTGGGTGGATGCATTGTTTGTATTTATGGGATGGACGCCGCATTGTTGACCATCGTCATCGTACTATTATTCAATATACATAATAATAATATGAAATGAAACTGATAGCAAAACAGCATGATGATCATTTTCATTTTCTTCTATTTACATCCAAGAGAAGACTATGTATGATTGCAAATATCTCTAAATGGATGCATTGATAACTTTAAAAGACAATGCATTTTGATCAGAAACGATTACAAATTTCAGAATATTTTATATTGGATGTATCGATCGATACTATTTACGCAAGGCAAGGCGACAAATATTAAACAATGACTTCCAATCATCTCTACATTATGGTCTGCTTTTTAGAGGTGTACGTACATACATGAAATGATTGGATTGTTCATCGTCTCTCGTTGACTCTTTGTTATTATGCAACAAAATTGTAGTAGTTCTGTAAGTAACTCTGAATATTTCTTGTTTTATTGAAACGAATTCATTACAAAATTTAATATTGATTGTGGAAATTCTGCTCGCTGAAAGTAATAATAAATGTATCACATGCACCTTGTGGGGCTGTTCTGGTTGTAGGGCGATATATGTATAATTGCCCTTAGGAAAGGAGTGAATTATCAGGTAGTAGTGTTATTATTATACGTATTGTTGCATCTTAATTGGATTTCTTATTAGTGCAATTCTTGAGGTAATGGACAATTTCGTGTAATATGCAATTATCTACAATTAAGGTAGGAAAACATTGAAAAATCGAACACTATCTTGGAAAATTACTGCCTTTTTACAGGTATAATCTGCCATTTGTGGTGTGATGAATACCTAATCAAGGTGGGCCAAATTTACGTATATTCATAATAATTATGGATATAGTAGTACGTCGCCCAGCTTGACAGTAGTAAGATTCACGCATTGATCTCTTTAAGCTATTCAACATACTTGAATAGTAAAGAAATCAGCGAGACCAATTTGTTAACAAAGTTTTAGTGTGAAAAAATTTAATAAAATTTTAGCATCCTAATCAAAAATCAACTTATTGAATGCCGAGAACATAAAAATGAATGATTACACACGCCTTCATCATTTAACAATGCTGCCAATTGTTTCGCATGCCATTTATCCATTAGGAAATCCTATGGACATGATGATACACCGTGTGGGAAGATGTTTTCTTTTATGTACGACAAATTGTTAGCGTTGTTATTTGTTCACATAATTTGACTAATGGCCAGAATTTGTAATCGGATGGACATTTAAAATTTGAATAATAAAACCATCAATCAATCAGCTGCTTCTTTGTTATTACCTCACCCAACTCTGCACACATTATTAAATGGAAACGTTATTAAGGATTATCGTCATCAGTTCAGTTGTAAGATCTTGACCCAATATTTATCATCATCCTAATTCAATAAAATCTTCACTCTCCTACAAATTAATTAGGTAAGAATACTACGATGTGCACTACTTTTAGGCAAAAAATAGGACACTCATAAAATTTAATGTAGCATTGTGGTGGTCCACAATTTGTGGATATTTTGTTATAAGCCCGACCGGAAGAGAGGAAACATAAATTCTTACAGTGGATTAATTAAACCTTGACCTTCGTTGATTGCGCATTGTTTCTTCTAAAAGTGCGTCCTCGACTTCATCCATCTCATTAAGATGTGGATTATTGGATTCGTTTTCAAGTTTGTAACAAGAAGAATTGAATAACGTAAGAAACCGGTGACGACGAGACTTTTGCTAATTTATTGTGCGCATCTATTATCCACTTGTATACTTTTTTTCACAAGAGGCGACTTTACATATATGCCTACACAGAGTAACGAAGAAGAAGAAAGGACGTATCCCGTAGGGACGGAAGGTCACTTGTTGGTGATGTGATGATCATTCATGATGATGCGATCAGACAAATAATTTTAGAAGATATATGTATACTTGCCAAATCTTGGCCAAAACTCATTTCTGCTTTTGGTCTTAATTCTAAACTTAATTGTTTATGAGCGACGAGTTGACGACGACGACCTTTAATTTTGTATTTGAGGCCGTCCATTATTACATGTTATCGTAGTATTGTCGTTCCAAAAGCTATTATTGTGTGACGAGACGTTATTATGGCAAATTTGTCATCATCATGTTCCAATCCAAGTTTCAATGTTATTGAATTGATTAGAAGAGGTTTGTCTGTCTGAGTCAAGAAGATATGAAAAAGTTCATCCAGCTTGACCAGCTTGGGACATTTAAATAAATAAATAAATGGTACTACATCTTCAGTCTCAAGGTCGGATCCAAAATGTGTTTACAATGAGGTCGGGTTTCGCATGAAATTATGATTTATAAGCCATGCGTGCGTGCACATTTGGGGAACTGATAACCATTTGCTTCTGTGGGAATCATCCCTAAATTTTATAAAATGGATTTATGTATAGATTACTTAATAGATTCTCATTTGCTTTTTTGCTAACTTTTACTTTTTGTAAGTATTTTCAAATTACAGACTCAAGTACAAGTTATGGTCACGAAGTATCCACAGGTCAAATTGTAAATAACAATTGTTATATAAACTGTGAATAATCAACGGTAACAAAGTTACTTTTAAGGCATCTATTGACAGATGCACTAATGATCGCATGCTAGTTATTTGTGCCTGATTCAATTACTTTATCATGCTTTTCATCAGTCATTTCATTGTGGATTAATGAGAAATTATGTAATTTTTTACAAAAACAACAACGAAATTAACAGATTAAATAAGACTTTGAATGTAAGAATTCCATTCCGGGGAAATTTGATTTATTTTGTTTATGCATTAATAAATAATGGGAGGTTGAAATAATTACTAGTTTATAAAAAAATGCAGTGATGAGCGACAGAATTAACAGGTAGTTGTTTAAAATCTTGAAAAAAATGACGTAAATTTTTTAATAATACACGACCAAATGGATAAATATGTAAATACCCTTTAATAATTTTTAACATTAGTTTTAGAAACAATAATGAATACTCAAATTCAAAGTTAAATATATTCATGTGTGAACAGCAATTATGTATTTTAGAGAAGGTTAAAAGGTAAATAACAGGTTCATCTTCAGCATAAACTGAGAGTGTACTTGGTCCCATTCTGATATTGATGATGAGAAATTGCATAAAATATGAGAATAAATAGCACATTTTTATGCTTTATTGGCATTTTTGTGAGACTCTTCCATGTTTAACAAGGTAACGACGCGCAATTATAATGTCTGTAATCACAATCCTGTAATTTACAGTACCGCAAAATGAAAAAATGCATAGTAAAACAAAATCTAGCTGCAATTACATATGTCCATATTACGGGAAGGTGGTAGACCAATTAACCAAATAAAAAAATCTACACAAAAGTGATCAAAGTCAATGGCTTCTATTATTATGGGTGGCATTTTATTCAGTTTCTTTCCTCCTTCTTGCCATTAAAGAATACGATCAATGAAGTCGTTTCAGTGAAGGATTTCCAAAAAACAAACGCAATTATGTATGCTAATGATCGTACGGGAATATTATTTTATATCTATTAAATCAATTAAAAACTGAAAATATGCAAACATTTTGTGCATGATATTTAAATGTAAAGCAGTCCAATCCAGATTTGAGGACAGTCTCAATAACACGCGACAAATTAAACGCCTCAAGAGATTCCAATCAAAAGAAAGGTTGACAAGTATGGGTGATACAATTGCATAAATTAATTTAACGACGCGATAAGATGTAGAAACCACAGTTCAATAATATCCAATCCACCCATCAGACAGGGTATCACGAATATGCGTGCATATTGTCAATATATTGGTTTTGCATGTCAAGGGTGACAACTCGTTTCTTGTCGTAAGTTAAATTAAAAGTAATAAGCTGCCCAAATTCTGAGGTACACAATGTTCATGCTCATCCACGAGTAAACCAGTGCAATGCAGAATATTTAAATGACAATTTATAAATTGATTGATAATTGGCGTGTTTTTCAATTGCTCCATTTTTGTCTTGAATGTCATAATATGTAATAAGCTAGGAAATATCTATCACCAATAAATTGCTGATAAATGGATCTGTACCATTATTCTTTTGAGGCGTGTGTGGCGTGGTCATGCAGTTTGTGCATGTTTTTAAAGTGCATCTCTTACAAATATGTAATGCAAGTACGTACAACAAAGCTGAACTCGAAAGGGGTGACGGGTCTGCTATCTAATTGCACAACTTGATCTTGATCGCAATTTCGTGTGCCGCATTGCAATGCAATAAAGTGCATTTTGATTGATTTTAATTATGCAGTAGCACTTTCGCTTAATAATAAAAACAGCAATATCACGCCTTTGCCTTTGGGCAGTGCTATTAATAACTAATAATCGTGACAATTTGAAGATCATTTTACTGAGATGAATTTTTGTAATACTTCATAAAAAATAAATAACAATATTTTTTTTGATATTTTGAGAACGCTACAATTTTATTATCTCATTAATTTAAGACGAAATTGAAATGGCCATGACTTTAAGTGCACAAATGTTATTTTCAAAATGGGAAATAAATACAATAAATTGCCTAATCAATCAATGGCATTCATTCATTTCGATGTTTATTTAAGTCACTCATTTTACCGTGATTTACAGAATGTTAAGGTTTCTGATGTTTACAAACAAATTTAAACAAATAGTACACTGAATCCCAGTGACTTTTCAGAAGGTCAAACTGCCTACAGCACACATTGTTTCGTCTTTATTGTAGTCAGTTTTAGTCGTTTAGTTCCCTTCGAATTGGCAGAATGGGTCATTGATGAAATTGGCATGATACGCTGTCAACTAATTGATTTGCAGTCACTCCATCTTCCACGCTGTCATAGACAAAGCTCTGCCTTTTAATACATATTATGTTTTAAATACAGCCAAAGTAATGACATTGACAGCAGTAACAATTCATTTGGAGGGTGAAGAAGGAGGGCTACAAAAAGTGACTACAAATGAGTTATGCAATACGAACAGGGCTCTCTGCATATCAAATTTTATCCATTCTTTGAAAATGAGAGGATTAATTTGGACATCATTTTGCAAATAATAGCTCTGCGCCATTTCGTCCCCACTGGATAGCTTGATTTTTTAAATTTTCGGCCCACCAGGGGGCTGGAGTAATTAGCAATGTTGATGGGAGTTTGACATACGGTGGCAACAATACAGGAACAGATCGCAGGGAGTGGATCATGTTACGTGTTGGGGGACTGTTTAATATGCATATTTGGTTACTTTGAGTGTGATAAGATCGATTACTCGATCGATTACGCCTATAACCCTTCCACATTATTACATAACATTTTGTTTAAATTGACATCGGGGCCATAATTTAATCCTTCCCAGACATTTAGCATGACCATATTGGCAGGCAGGACGATTGCAATTTTGAAAGCAAATATAATTCATGCTGCTCTGTAACCCTACCCTCAAAGAGTACACTCCTCCAAAAAATGACACAGTATTAAGTGCTTATTGATTGACTTGTAAATCGTATATATGCCAGTAACTAATATGAGGCTTTCTAAACATCCTTTCAAATACTCTTCAACGTCCCTTGAAAACGTCGACTCAATCACGGCAATAGACTTTGTAGCCATCATTCCAAATATGCATTAACAAAGGCTTATCTTTGTGATCAGATTGAATGCAATTTACAACTGACAAGACTGATTTAAAACAAAGCCTGGCTGGAGTGACCAAATTAGCAGCAAAGTTGAAAGAGCTATAAAAGCAAAGGGATTAAATTTTTATTGGTACAGTCGACAAGTGTAAGCCTTCCTTTGAAAAGAGTCTCTCTTCTAAAAAATAAATTATATATTTAAAAAACATGTTGGGACAGGTTGGTTTCTGAAATTATTTTTTAAAACGTGGAAGAAACGTTCAGTAATTATTTTTTTGTTTGTGATTTAACTACAGATCGTTATCGTATGCGCCGTGGCGTCGCTTGCATCTGCAGGAGTTGTTAGTCCCCCGTTCGGTTATGCCGCTGCTCCTCTGGCCTACGCCGCTCCAGCGTAAGTTTGTATTCTTATCAAGAAAATGAAATTCAGTAATTTTGAACTAAAGTTAAACCCATGTAAATTTTTTTGAATTAGGGTTGCCAAAGTTCACGCACCATTGGCATATGCTGCTCCAGTAGCTAAAGGTAACAATTGACAGAAACGACTTAAAAACAAGGGTCCAACTTACTGATATTGGTCTCAATTTGTTCTTGTAGCCGTCGTTGCTGCACAAGACTTTGACTACAACCCACAATACAGTTACGGTTATTCCGTCCAAGATGGTTTGACCGGAGACGCCAAGGGACACCAAGAAACCAGAAATGGAGACGTTGTCCAGGGACAATACTCTCTCGTCGAGCCCGACGGTGCCGTCCGAACTGTCACCTACACCGCTGATGACGGTAAGTGACGCTTTTTTCTACATGATTCGCATATGTACTCATAATAATTTGCGTAGTCCACGGATTCAACGCTGTCGTCGACCGATCTGCCCCCGCCGTCACCAAAGCCGTCGTCGCTGCCCCAGTCGCCAAGGTTCACGCCGCCCCACTCGCTTACGCCGCTCCAGTAGCCAAGGTCCACGCTGCACCTTTGGGATATGCCCACGGAGGACCTCAACTCGTCCGAGCTTATTAAAAGATAAGCGGTTCAGCTCTTTTGCCAATTACAAAATAATCCAGAGTTAGTTTTCTTTCGTGTAACTCTTGTAAATTGTTTTCCTTCTTGTCTGTCTCTTTTTATGCAAATGTCTGTAATTTATGAATCTGTACTTTTGAATATTTTGTAATAATAAAATTATTTTATTTCAAACAATATTTCGGTGTGATTACAGGCCTCGTTTTTTTCATAAAATTACTAACTTATGACATCTTATGTCTCATTATGTACAGAACTACATGTATTAAGTAAGATTAGTACTTTATTCATTGAAGTATAAATAAATATATATTAAGTGCATACTGTCATCAATATTTGCATACAACATTGCATACATATTTTAGCAGGTTTATCGACAATTAATAACTTTCTTGATTTCAAGCATCTCACGATCAGGCGTGTGCATGCAAATGGATCACTGTAAGGGAGGCGATATAGCTTAGGATGCCATACTGGTTCGCATAGTTAGTCGCATATAAATACGGCACAATTTGTGATCAAATTCATTCAGGTGTCAGCTTCTCACAAGGAACTTTTTCTTCCATTTACAAAGACATTTCGGAGTCAATCTTCGTGCCCACACAAGCATCAAAATGATCAAGGTATCCAATCAATTGATAACTCAAATCATACAACGTAGATCTGATTCGAATCTGATTTTCGGTTGATCCGATCGGACTTTCGGTTGGCGACATACGTGGAGGATAATATGTTAACAATTAATTTATATAATAAAGGCTGTTGCTCTCCTCGCTTTCGTCGCCGCCGCCAACGCCGGAGTTTTGGCCCCAGCCGCCGTCGGATATGCTGCCCCCGCTTACGCAGCTGCCCCCGTCATCGCCAAGGGTGAGATTTCCGAATAATTTTGCTGAACTACTTTCATTAATTACTTGTTACTTATCGAAATTAATTTTTTTACAGCCGCCGTTGCCGTCCAACCAGAGCCATATGACCCCCACCCACAATACAACTACGGTAAGTGCAAAATCCGTTTACATAAATACGGAAATTAGTTACTCAAAGGGAATCAAACTCAAATCTAAACAACGCTTCATGTTGAACTACAGGATACTCCGTCTCCGACGCTTTGACCGGAGACTCCAAGACCGCCTCCGAGACCCGTGATGGCGACAGCGTCCAAGGCCAATACTCCCTCGTCGAGCCCGATGGTGCCATCCGAACCGTCACCTACACCGCTGACCCCGTCCACGGATTCAACGCCGTCGTCGACCGATCTGCCCCAGCTGTGACCAAGGCCGTCGTTGCTGCCCCAGTCGCCAAGGCCGTCGTTGCCCACGCTGCCCCACTCGTAAGTCCACAAAATATGTGCATATTCAAAACACAAGACATAAACACGAGACAAGTTTTAAAAACAATATCTTTTATCGTCATATTATTAGGCCTATGCTGCCCCAGCTGTCCGAGTTGCCCACGCCCCACTCGCCGTCGCCCACGCCGCCCCACTCGCCGTTGCCCACGCCGCCCCAGCTTTCGGTCACCCAGCCGCTGTCGGTTACGGACACGCCGCCGGAGTTTACCACCATTAAGTAATTTCTCCACCGAAGCAATTAACTAGCTAATTAATTTATTTCCGTCCGTTAAATATCGCCGCTGTCACCTCCTCATCCGACTTCTTCCATTATTATTTGTTATTGGATAAGAGAAGCCCTTACTGTTTTATCTGTCGAGTTTGTCTTGTCAATTCTGTGCAATGTCGCAGGAATCAATCGTCCTATGAAAATATCAAATTGAAACTATCCTACAAAATCTGTCCATAGTTCAATCTCCTTGATTCAAAGTCAATAAAATGAAACAAAAATATTTATCCTCTTGTTGTCGTATTTATTCATTTATTGTTGAAAAATTGCTGATATATGCATTAAATGCATATATCTAGCAAATTTTGCTAGATATCCTGAACAATATCTATTGCATGTACATACATACTACAGATAATACTTGAAATAAACATGTACATTTTGCGCATCGTTGCGTCATAATAATTTAACAAATTCTGCCAATCATCACTTCAAAAAAACCTGCATTAGTCGTTACAGTTCTAACGAAGGCTTGGATAATTATTTAAACAATAATACAATAAATCACAACTCTTTTAACCATTAATTTTTTGATGGGTAAACCTAGACTCGCAAATTCATGTGTTGTTCAACATTGTACTTCAACTAGGTATATCACGCTGCATGATACATATACGCGCATAAGAAATGAAGTTACAAAATCTTGGCTTTTGAATATTTTACATTCAGGAATCCGACAATACAATCTTTATTAGATACAATAACTCAAATATATAAAATATACCAAAATCGGGGTTAAACTCATTCAAAAAGTACAATTTGAATTTGAAGTTTGATGCCACTTGTTCCCTTGAATGCATTGCATAGTTTCAGGAACCATCAGTGGATAACAGAGGGTTGTAGTTCGACAAACTGGAATTGGTTCGTTGGGATAAATCATAAGAAGGCCTTCATCTTCTCCACAATAGCCTTGAGTCCCAGCCTCATAACATTTCGAGTCCTTTGGGTTCTGAAAGTTAAAGTTGATTCCCTTATCTGTTTCAGTTATTGGGAAGTCCGGACATGGATGAGTTTTGCAAATGGGGAGACTTTTTTCGTCAAAGGTGTACCACTCTCCGGTTTTACAGGGCCCCTGTTTTTTCAAAAATGGAAAATATGATATAATTTGTAGTTAATTTATATATTTTTTTGACAATTACCGTTGACCACGCCCAGTAACATTTGTCCGTTTTATCATCGTACAACAAAGGTCTTGAGCATTGAAACCAATCACAATCGCATCTGCCTAATCGCTCATCGTTGGGAACGGCAAAAAATCGCATGTTCTCATCACATCCATTTTTATCTCCTACTTTCAAGTAGCGTTTCTTCTGTTCATGAAATCGATAACGTTTGAAATCTATTTTGTCTACTGGAGTGTCTTCGGGTAGCTCGAGTAATCTGCGATTTATCAAAAATTTTTAAGAAATTTTACAAATTATTTATGAAATTTTAAAAATTATTTTAGCACATGCTATGCATGAAATGGTTATTATATGATCTTACGAAGTATTTTCAGCAGGTTTTTCATCCCCAACTGGACCACTATAGCAAATTCCTACCGCAAGACTCGCCAATAAAACTAATTGTTTCCACATTTTCGCAGATTTAACAAATACAATGCAGACAAAAATATCATGCGAAATGCCAAACTGCAAATAACAAATTATTCACTTCTTTCCTTTTATTTGTCCAATGAGCTTATGCAAATTTTAATGACGCGGATAATTGTTGTTTAATTATACTTGCATATAACAGAGCTGAAACTTGTTCATGTTTAATGTATTCAAGACAATAAAGGATATGTATTTATGTATTGTGGTTGAATGCTTACTTAACAACCCATTGAGCCCATATTTTCTTTAACTTTTGGCCGTTTCCATTCCAGTTAAAGTTTTAAGCATCCTTTCCAGATGTCACGTTTAAGTGTAAAAGCAAGTTTTTCAAGAGTTTTTGTTATGCAAAAATCGTATGCTGTCATCATTTCATGAACAACAAGGTAATATGTCTAAATAGGTAAAATCTCACTGTATATGCATATTTATCCAAATGATGCACATTTATTTATTCTCGTTAAAAAATAGCCCGTGCAGAAAATTAGAATTCATGCCAATTTTTTACACCTTCACAATTCCTGCTACACAATGTAATGTGAATAAATATGCGAATTCCTAAGTAAAAAATAATCTATACCCCAAACACAAAAATTTTGCATATTTTGATTTTATTGATATTTCCCGTTTAATTCTAATCCGTAATTTTAATACATACATCTAAATCTCACAACCATTCAATTTAACAAAATCATTCACCTCCTTGTGTATAGTTGTGATACTCGTCATATTATTATTTAATTAAGTAGTTTGTTACGAATCACATCGTTGCTGTTATCCGTATAGTAAATACATAATAATAATTATCATTATTTAATGGTACGTGTAAAGTTCTACGTAATCTTTTCGTCGTCTTACAAGGTGATGGGATTATCACTAACCCATCATCTACTCACGTACTGCATAACTTTTTTGCCACTACGTTCGGCGTTGTATGTGAATCCTGATACTTGAAACTGGAAATTTAATAATACAACAATGAGTCTGATAAATTACGAGTACATCATCATTCACACCATAAAAATTGAACCGGTGTCGTGCGCAGTAAAGACAAGAGGGAAATTGTTTTAGCTAAAAAAAATGTAAAAAAATGATCGAATTTAAATACTTAGCGTGATTATCAAATTAAAATTGGCGTAAAAACTCTAATTAAAAAAGAAACATTTAGCTGGAGGAATTTCAATTTGAGCATAAAACTGACCACCGACAACAACTCCTATTAAAAATCACTTCCTTTCATTCAATTCAACAGACTTATTACAAACTTTTTTAACCACTTTAAACCTAATACGAAATACATTAATCTCAGTCATGTAATATGTAGTCAAAACCTTTGGCAACATAATACGTGGAGATGTGAGCAATTTTGGCAACTTGACCGTCAATCCGAGAGATATAATAGTTGAGTTGTTGGCTTCGATGGGGCAGTTCATGCAATATGCTAAATATTTAGGTGCTATTTATTACTTATTTTAGTTTACGAGTCAAATAAATAAGTCAAGCGGTAATAATGTTGTTCGTGGTGATGATTTTGGTGTCCATCATCAAATATGAATGAATTGTATCCCTCTTTTAAAAGTGAACACTTATATATTTTTTTATATAAATTGATTATCTATGTATCAAGTAACGTAAATTAGAAATTGCGTCAAGAATTATTTGCCATTCTATTACTATGTGTGAGTACATTTCTGTCGTGTAAAGTTGCCTTTGTAAATGATAATAGTTATTAATTTTGTTAATAATTTGTCGTTTAAACGTTGTGAGCTTGAGAATTAATTTGATTGATGAGTATAAAAAGTCTTAGGTGGTAACCTTACCAGAGATAACTTCTTATTAGCATCATTGTTTTACCCTTGTATTTGCTATGTAATAATTGAATCGAGTTTCAAACTCTGAGTGTAGTATCAGCATTTTGTCATGATTATTAACAATAATAATTTTAATAATATATGAATGAGTATCAGAGAGATGACTTAATTTTTAATAATACATAATCATAGACTGAGAGGAGGTTGTATAGATACAGATATAATGGTATATGTTTATATGTAGTATGTACTGCAAACATTGAGAATTTTGAGTTTATGGATATTTAACGAGATGATTTTCTTTAAAAGGACTAGTCGAGAATATTGTTGTGAGAGATTATATAATGAGAATGATGATGAGATTATAGTGAGACGAGACTGAGGGAGCTGAAGTTATGTGTTGGCTCATAACGATAATAATAATAAGAATTGTCCTGGAATGTGGAGCAACTAATAATAGTTACGTACTCAAGTTGTCGATGATGGAATCTTGTAGCACAATTAATGAGGAGAAGAACAGGAAGAGTTTAAGTATTTAGGTTCATATTGGTTTTTTTGGTGAAGGAGACTTTTCTGTATTAATTTATGTATTGGTTTTTGTTCGTTGAGATTTTATATGGTTTTCGTTGGTTTGCATGTAGTAGAACTTTTAGCTAGAAAGTTAGTATTAAATTGTTCAGTAAAATGTATTTGCTTTAGTTTTTTTCTTATTATTTGTGTGAATTTTTCTTGAATAGTGGAAATCAGTTGCGTTGCGGTTTTGGTAGAATCTCTGGTTTCGTAGAAGAAGGAGGCGTTTTGGAAGAAGATGCCGCCGCTGCAGCTGCAGAGGTACTTGGTTGAGGTTCTGCGGAATCAGGTTTTCTTGGAAGCGTTGCCGTGTCAAATACTCCATCACGTGGTTTCCAAATTGGGGAACCTGACGAATATAATAATGAACAAGGCGAGTTTTTTGATGAGTGAAGAGACTCTTGGTTTTAAATTTAATGGAACATTATTATGAAATAACTTGTGTCTTAAATCAGTATCTCACTTGGCTCCGGAACTACTGCAACAGGGGGTGGGGCGATATTTCTACTACCGGGTGTTCCAGAAGCATGAATTAGTTTTGCGGCGGATCCCGTACTCCCCGCAGATATTGTTGACGTCGTGCTTAGCGTTAAGTGGTTGGGGGTGTTCCCCAAAACACCCTTAGCTCGAGGCATGGTCGCACTTCCGATAACTTCGCGATGGTGGGGATGACCACCACCACTTCCTGCTCCACCTTCTTCCGAGTCTGTCCCCCCTTTGCCATCGCTCATAGTTTTACTGCGACCTCGGAAACCGGAATTGGAGTCAATGCTGTCTTGATGCTTCAAAGTTGCCGAACCCATTTCTATGTTTCCTGCGGAATGTCGTTGTGGTGGTTTTGGAGGCTTCTTTCGTCCTGTTGCACAAATTAAGGAATGACAATTATATGGTTATGTCATACTAAAAGAATTATGTATGAGCTATATTATTTGCTTACCCAACGTGTGAGCTTGTCCATGACCATGAGGCCGATAACCGTGACCTCCACCTCCTCGTGATTGTTGGTGTTGTTGCTGTGACTGCTCAGAGTACTCGTGACCTTCTGGCGTGGCATAGTGAGATCCACCAGAGGACAGGTGACCATTCCTTCCACTCCCATCGCCACCACCATCACCCTCGTCATCTCCCCCGTCGGATGGCAGTCGTGGAGGTAAGCTCATATTTCGAACACTTTCCCTAATGATTTGTCTTATGTTGCGGAGAAAAACGTTACGAAACTCGGCCGTGGAGTTGGACAAAAGGTAAGTTTTTTCGGAACGACGGGGCGTAGAGCTTCGTAAGTGTGTCAATTCCCATGAGTAATTGGGACCATTAGAGTCCAAATCTTTGAGGTCTCGGGGATCTTGTCTCACTTGGACTTCCGACACTAAAATTTATGAAATACATGGATTATTGATATGCATGTCCAGAATAAAAGTGTTAAATTTTGATTATAATTGTGCTTACCCGGAATCAATACTTGGTAACGAATAATCTCTACTTCTGATTTGTCGGATATCTTGGAAGTTGAGCTCTATATGAAAAAAGACAATGTGTAAATGCCGTTTTTTTATCATCTAAGGAGGGGAGCTTGCGAGGTTGATAATAACAGATCTTGATGCCCTTTGGATATGTGATAGGGTCTCATGAGTGTACTAAAACCCTGAAGTGGTTTGACTCCATGGCCACATTTGCGCCCGCCACACCCACTCAAAAATGCCCAAAAAACGCTTTCACTCCAGTTTTCACTCACTCAAATCCACGTCAAAAATCCAATTTTACTCGGATTTTGAAATTTCTTTCATCATTACACTCCCAGATAGTTGCTTTCTTCAATCCAATATCAAACCCAATTTTTTCGAAATTTTTAGTATTTTTAAAATTTGAAATTCTGAATGAGGATTGTTGTAGTAATCAACAACTCAAATTACGCCTGCGAAATAATCATCAGCAAAATTGAGTTTGATATGGAATTGAAGAAAGCAACTATCTGGGAGCGTAATGGTGAAAGAAATTTCAAAATCCGAGTAAAATTGGATTTCTGGCGTGGATTTGAGTGAGTGAAAACTGGAGTGAAAGCGTTTTTTAGGCATTTTTGAGTGGGTGTGGCGGGCGCAAATGTGGCCATGGAGTCAAACTACTTCAGGGTTTTAGTACACTCATGGGTCCCTACCACATATCCAAAGGGCATCGAGATCTGTTATTATCAACCTCGCAAGCTCCCCTCCTAAGAAGAAAGGAAGGACACTCTTCATATATTTTTCTAGGAAAAAAAATCATATTTTTGTCGGAAAAGCTTGGAGAAGCAATGATTGAGGTTTGTTTGCAGGTTCAAAGGCGTATTATTATTACTATTCTTCAAACATCTGGCTGTGTCATGTTCAAATTCTTTCTTTTGGTGCTTGATAGTGCTACGCTCCGCTTGGCAGAAGGATGAATAGAATCAAAATCAAAAGTTCACCGAACCAAACTTTGTCCATTGAATCCATCGCATCCAATAATGCTCGTTAGAAGAAAGTTTTCAACATTACTCTTCAAGAGAAAGGCCAAGAAATGAGAGAAAGAAAGAGCATGAGTACACCATTTGATTCCGCTCCAAATAAGTGCACTTAATTTGGAAAGTTTAGCTGCCAGAGAGGAAATAAGGTAGTGAATTTTCATTTATCCGTCAAGATGAGCAGGGAAACAACATTTCATCCACCAACAACATCCAGTAGAAAAGATGGTGATGGTGATGATAAGTCTTAAAGCAACCATTTTTATTTGTAGATCGTACTATGACTGTGAAAGTAAGAGTGAAAAAATGGTGGTGACTTGTTATTCTTCAAATTATGGAAGTTATGCAAGGTTAACTTTTGTAATGAGACGACTGAATTTATGTGATTTGTGTGAATTTGTGTGTTATGTTACGTAATCCTTTGCAGACAGTATAGATGCAAATCTAAAACTGGTTTCTCATCAATTTTTTTGTTGAAAAAAATCATTAACTCATCATGAATATCTATTCTTACTTTTACTCATTGGTCAAATGGAGGTTATTCTAATTAGTTAGCTACTTATTAACTCGCCAGTGTCTGTGAAAATAAACATTCTTGTCTCAACAATTCTCACTTCATTCTCCATAAAAATGAATCGTTTTGTGATAGTTATTTTCATTTTCGGAGCTGTCTATTCCTTGCCCGTGTCCACCAATACTGATAATAACCCCACACTTTATATAATATTTTGTTCCGGTAAGAACAATTCCTGGGGACAGCTCTCTACTCTAGAATAGTTTCCCTTCGGGCTGGATTACCTGGACAGATCAAACCCTCGCTCAAAATAAAGAAAATTTCCTCCAAATCGACCTCAACCCGAAAAACCGTTCTACAAGCCCGTTGAGAAATGGTTCAAACACATTCAATGGATGATAAAACCCACGGAAAAGGATGGCTACTTTATCACGAGAAAACTGCCATTGTATCCTCCAAGGTTGAAAAAACGGTGGTTACCATCACCTCATCGTGGCGAAGGATGAAGACCTCGTCAAGAAACTCTCCCCGGTGGATCTCTGCGCAACGAAGCAATGCTCAAGCCCATCATGACTGATGACATGTCCGAATTCAAATACCAACCCCAGCTGCTCAACTACCTCGGCAGTGACCAAGTATGTATGCGGAACACTCGAAATATATCCAAGTCAGTGAAAACAAAGGTCACAAGAAAAACTACAGAAAGGGTCTGGATTCGTGGGACGATACGTTACTAAACTAAATCCCTGAAGCAGAAGGTGTTCCCATGAATGGCTACGGATCTCACGTAGAACTCACGGACAATGCGAATACAATCATGAACAAGTATGAGAAACACGTCAAGATTACGATAGCCAAAGTGACGACAGTTACCAATTCAGATGCTACAAAAATTCTGCAAAATGTCACCATCTCTTTCACCGACTTCGGACAAGACTGAAGCAGTCATGAAAATTAATGAGCGGCCACCAGTCACTCTTAATCCCAAGTTCCGGCTACCCTCTCTCCGAACCGGAAAGTCCGTTGGGATTCCAAAACTTCTTATTGAATCAGTCCAGGCAGAAAAGTTTGATAAAATCAAACTGATTACAAAGAAAATCGACATGACCAAAGAGTTCCAACTTCCGTCTAAGAGCACGATGGATGGACATTAACGTTGTCACCAGCATGTTGGAAAACGTGGAACTCCCCTTCAGGGCAATGCTTGTTATTGATGGAGAGGGTGACAGTCTAGAATTACGAAAGGCCGCGTGCCCCCAGAGCTTATCATGGATGAACTCAAAAGGAAAAGTATCCACCTCGAGATCTATAAGACTGTTGGGAATGAGGTGATCAAGTGGATAAGCGAAACGCTTGTGGGCAAATTTTAACCCTGAATGTGACCTGATGGCTTGAATTAGAGGAAAATCGCATCAAATTTTTACCAAAATGTGACAAATTAAATAAATCATTTCATAATTTGGTGGATATGAAAAAAAAATATATTTTTTTCACTACCTATATCTTTTCTTTCATCACCAAAAATGGTCCTGTGGTAAAAAAAATCCCCAACCAGCAACAGCACACAATCATTACGATTCATTCATTGTCACTCCCTCGAGAAATTGCCGGCAAGTAGAAAGGATCTCCCCAGAGTAAAAGTGACCAAATGGATGGACAGCACAGGGAATGTGAGTGGTTTATGTAAAGCAAACCTTTATATATCCTTTCACAGCATCGCTTTCCCCATCGCTTTCTCCAACAAATAAATAAACTGAGCGTGTAGAAAATAAAAAAGTGAAAGAGCGAGAATAAAGTGAAAGCAAGGAGTATGTACGTACAATCAGCTTCTTCTTGTGTCTCAGCCTCTCCTTGCAAAGGAACACGACCGCAGTCTTGAACACAAAGCACATTGCGTGAAGTTCCAACCCTTTTTTAATCTTGCCCAGGAACACCGCAATGTTGAGCCACTCCACGCCACCGTAATGCAGTAAATCTCCAGGGCTCAGGTCGATCGGTGTTTTCGAAATCTTTTGATGTTGTCTTTGTAGGTGCTCGAATATTGCTCCGTACTCTTCATGAATTCTCTGCATTTCGTTCTAAAATTAGGCAGATAAATACGTTTAATTAATTGGAGAAAAAAATAGTTTAGCCTTGCAAATTATTTATTGTTTAATGTTAATTACAATATGTTCCGCGACTCGTTCCATGCATTGCAGCGATTCTGTAAAATAAGGATACAGGAAATTAATTACAAAATACTTTTTGGTGGTGTGTGCAATGTGCGTTTCATTTGCTGCACTTTTCTAAGGAAATTTATGACCTGGTTTTTATTAGTGGTTTGGTTTTCTCGAATTTCACAAGAATGAACCAATTTATTCCCGTATTTCTAATCTTACCTGAAACCAAACGATACTCTTCCGCATTGGTGTCACAAAGGTTGCGAATTTGTTGAAGAAGCAGCGGGTATTTGAGGATACGTTGAATCGGTTTTATCAAATATGACTCCAACGTGTTTGAATGCTGTTGCTTCGGATTTCTCGCAGCCAGGAAAACTTGCAGGGCTTGGTTCCCTTCAACTGGATGAAGTAGTTTCTGAGCTTTGGAATGCGACGCACAAAATGAAGAATACAGTTTGAAATGATCCACAAAACTTAAAAAGGCTGAAGCAATGTTGAGAAGAATTGTCTGCAATAAAAAAAAAATGCAATCCGTTATATCGATTTTATTTCAATTCTTCCATCCAAATAAATTAAACAAGACATTCCATTCCACTCTATTCTTCAGCATTAAACTTAACCCCATAAATCAGCAAGGGTGCAATATCACGAGAGCGAAGGAGAGAATATACATAAAACAAGCAGTAAACTCTCAAGAATCGAAGGACTACATGGATTCCGATTCTCCACCCAGAGAGAAAAAAGCAAGGAATAATATAATTGAATTTATTTGGACCAACGACTGAGACGAAGAAATGGAATCGTTTAATTTTTTCTCGTGAATCGAATTATCTTTTTTTCTATATAACATCAGTCTCAAATTCGATTTGAAACGGGGTGAATTCCTCAAAAAGGAGAGATGCAGAGTCATCGGAACAAGGAAATAGCTAAATTTTGGACTCCTATTAATATCATGATTCGAATTATTTTTACTGCTTACTTTGAATTCAGAAGGATTCTGAATTTGGTTTATTGATTCGATAGCAGAACTGCTTTCCAGGGCGGCTTCCAGACTGCGAAGAAACCTTCGTTGCACTCCCACCATTTCTCTAATGTTCCCAAATATTGCCATCATTTCCTGAAAAAAATAATTGATATGTATAAATAAATAATTTATACTCGGTCGCGTTGACGTATATAGATTGTCATATAATTTGTATGAGCTATAAGTACTTATCGACAATAATAACATGACAAATTATTATTCTCATTATGTACTACTTTGCATTTTAAAGCCAAATATTCTTAAATATGTAGCTCTACTTTTCGTCATCCTCATAAATTTGTTGGGTGAAAGCTTAAACTTACCGTTGTCGATAGAAAGTTTTCGTTTCTTAAAGGCTCCAAATACAACTCCAAGAGGCCCGTCAAGTGCTATAATAATAGTAATAATACGGGGAGGAGGGTAAGTAAGTACAATAAAATATCAGTCTCAATAACTTTATGATCTACGTAATTGCACACGACGATGGAGAGAAAGGATTGAATGGAGATTGCTTTTTATACGATATCATCATCATCATCGTCTTATCATATGCGTAACATTTTCCTTCTTTTTTCTCGATCGACTTATGAACACAATTCCCCACGGAGTCTTCAGCTCAGAGTGTATTTCATCTCAGTATATGAACCGGAAACCGTGTTACTAAATACCAAACATATTTATGCATTGTCTGGTTTATCATGTTTTTTCAAGTACCTACGTGGATGTCAAAGGTGGTATTAGATCTTTGATGATATTGTCTGCCTTGTAACATTTTACAAGGAAAAATGTCAGGATCAATTTATGATCAATGTGCTTGGGGTGGCTCTTCAGCCAAGCCACAAAATAAAACTTTGGCAATAATGCAGTCTTGTAGTTCAGCAAGTTTTTTTTCATGTGTGCCATGTTACAAATGATGAAATGAACCTTCCCAGAAATTCTTTATGAGGTAATAAAAATGTTTTACAGCTATAAATTGTCATGTAGCAGACCATGTAGCTGCAACTTTTGCTTTTCTGGTGAAAACAGTTTAAGGAAATTTGGGCGATGGGGTGTCTAATTTTATGGCTAATTAGTATTTGATCTAGTTCTTGGCGGAGAAAGTAATGCTCAAAGTTTTATATGTATCAGGCATACGTCATGTACAGGAAAATCACTATACTACGTTTTATAGACTTTCACCACACGCGTAATTTTTGGCACCAGTCATTTCTTCACTTTCTCCTCTACAAAATTTCTCCCTTATCCGTGATAACTTATCACCACCAGCAGGAGAACGTAGAAAGTGGGAAGAATGGAAATTTTCAAATAATCTGACTACCAGCATAAATTTATGATCCCACTTTCACCTGGTTCTCCCACCCAACCAATCTACTCTCAATATTCATACTACATTATGGCATTCTACTTTCATCCTCATTCAGGAATCAAATCATTTCTCTGCTGCAAATCGATTTCACCAAGTGTGGTAAAAAAATAGATAAGAATTCTCTCCCAATTCGCATCATATGTCAAACTTACTCCTGGAAAAGACCTCTCTCTGTCACGATTTAAGGCAGAAAATCGCGAAATGTGCAAAGGTCGTGGATATGAACGTGTGGTTCACCACATCAGCGCGATAACCATCTTTTTGTCTCAGTCTATGTATGTATCCAGTTGAGAAATATGATACGCCAGCCAGGCAGACAACGGAAGGATGAGCTACTACGGAAAGGATAAAACCAAGCTCTGTCAACCGTAGTAATAGGACCATTGCTTGCTTGCTAGCTGCTGTTGTCGCTCTCTCTCTCCTCCGTAATTCACTTCTATTCCCTGAACACTCAAAATCTCTGGATGGATTCTATTCTGTCATCGCAACTAACACAACCTAACCATCCCAACCCCTGGGATGTAATAGTAGTATTGGAGACATGACTAGAAATTGGACTGAATAAAAGTTCATCTTGTCTCTGCCTTAGTTGGATGGATGGCTGGCGTAGTGCGTACGTACGTAGTGGATGGAGAAAGTAAGCTATTTTCCGTCTGGTTTGAATTTTGGAAAGTTCCACCAATACTGGATCAAACCAAACTGATGGCCAATTCAGGAATTTCCGTGTCGCTAGACACTTTCCTTCAATATGCCAAGTACCACCAACCACCAGCACTTCATCCCATATAATTCTACGGGCTCTTTCTCTCCATCTCACTCACCATCTTATTCCACCAGGATTCACATGGGCAATAGGGTTCCATTCACATTACAACCTCATCCCAATCACCCATCTTTGTGGGGAAAGTGTTAAGGTATAGATCGTTCTTTTGTAATGGGTTGGATAAAATGTCACTTCTTCTCGGCTGAGTTTTGTTGGAGGAGAAGAAGAAGCGGAGGAGATGTTATTACTTAGCCTGCTACACACACCTCCTTTTTCTCTCTCCAGGAGGAGGATGAACGTGATATATTCGTTTAATTTTAATGTGAAACCGTAAAACTACCTTCTCCACTACTTATACTTTCTCCATCTCTCTTCCAACTCTGCTTGAGAGAACAAGATGAAAATGATCAATTTGAATTATTCAACTAGTAATATCCATTTGGTTTAGAAAAGAAATTGCAAAGTGCTCCAACACCAAAAGCAACGTAGGCACGACCACCACTGCCACATACTTATCTCCCATTTGCCTGACATACTGTCTTTTCCTACGAAAATGGAGGGGAATGTGGTGAAAAATTCCGACGAGCCCCTTCAATGGATATTATATGGATATGTATGTACAGTATGTGTGACCTCCTCTCTCTCTGCAGACAAATGCAAGCGATTTAGATGTTTTCGGTGTCTCCATCCTTCCTTTTCTCTCTTCTCCACGTATCACTTTCTTTCACTTTCTCTTCACGCTCATCGCTCACCTTGACGTAGGCTCGCTCCGTCTCCACCAACTCGAGAACGGCCTTCTTCATCTTTTCCACGTCCCGGGTGCCCATCGGAAGTTGGGAATGGGTTGGCGAATTTCCACCGCTGATCATGGCTGCAGGCGAGTCCGTGCCGATCGTTGTTTGGTGAGTGAGTTGAGGATGACTTCGACCTCCTCCACCGCCACCGCCACGTTCTTTCGTTCGGCAGAAAGTTGTAATGTCTCCGGCCGTCTGGAGGATAAAACAATATTCAATTATGTACTTGCAATATTATTGTTATTATTACGACACTCATTCCATGCAAACGTTTGTTTACAATGGGAAATTGATATTTTATAGATTGTCGTAAAAAATAATAAGCACTTTGTATTTCGCAGTGCAAAATCTTTTTACCTTAATGAGCGTATCAATATCGGTAGAGGCTCCCATTCGCGAATTACGTCCTTCTCCTCCCGAAGTGTGTCCGCCAATCTCATCCGTATCCGATGGACTCAGGTCTTTATCTGGAAAAACAAGATGGGAATATTCAGACGGAGAAGCGCGAGAGAGCATCTTTGCAGTTAAATGCCATTAGAGTTTGGAGATGCGTCGCGTTGTCTTCTTGGCGTGTCCAAATAGTCATTTCAGATTAAATGGCATCTTTACATAGCTCCATTTTCAGTTTGTAATAGAATTCTGTTCATGCCACAGTTACGACTTTCTAGATCACAACCTCTCTTCTGATAGTCTACTTTCTTCGGTAGGATGGACATGCCGAGAACTAACTTTCTCCGATTTCCTTTTAGACCAAGCCGACCGACAGGATATGGCAGAGCAGGCTTTCTAAACATATCTGTAAGAAAGGGCATTCCTGCCGCAGTTATTTTCCTTTTTGACAGATATGACTATGACCCAGTTTTTTCCACATGCCTCCAATGCATACAACGACCCGACTCAATAATACATACGAAGTATGTGGACAGATTCCTCACGTCACAATAACACAAACAACCCTCGCACACGGATGTCATTTCGAATTCGGCACAAGTAATCCTGCTCAGAAAACTTCTTTATTTTCCTCAATTCCATTCTCTGAAGTCCTCTCTTTCTTCATTTTATTTTACTTTCTCTTTTCCCTTAAAACTCAATTGTTTTTCATGACATTATGCACAATTCGCCAAACACGAGGGGCCATACGCCTCCTTCATAAAATTAGAATTTATGATGCATGGAACCGCAAAAAAATACAAAAACAAAAGAATGTGTAAAACACTAGCCTTTCAATGCAATTTCATGGCTTTGAGGCAATCTGTTTAATAAAATGTTTGCTCTCAAAGAAAGTGTATTTGCTCGTTTGGTAAGAAAAAAGAACCGTCATCATCATCATCATCATCGTGATCGCTTCTAGTCTAAAGTCCAACTTTTGCTTCTGTATGCTAACCTCCACTTTAGAAACATGAAACCAAATTGTGCTCACAAACATGTCCGCAAAATAACTCGTCGAGTTACAAAACCATTTTGCATTTGATTTGAAAGTCTTATGAGTAATGTTTTATTAAAAAATGTTTTCTCCTTACTTTCGTGGGGCGCGGGGACGATCAAATTACTGAGGGCAGCTGCAAAAAAAATTGTGTAACGTTTCTGAGAGTTCTCTACGATTTTTGGTATGGATTTGGTTTATCGAACCATTTACAATTTACTGATGTTTCAAATTAGTAAAATTGATTAGAATATGCAATAATTATGTACCTTCCGTAAGTAAATCTGGGTCAAGGGGAGGAGGTGGACAAACAAGTTGGGCAATGGCTGCATCCGCCGCGGCCAGGGCGGCAGCCAAGGCTGGTGGTTCGGTCCGTGAAGACCGTAGCATCAGGCAGAGAGAGGACTCTTCTTGTAGCACCGATTCAATATACCTGTAAAAATAGGGTAAAATTGCATGAAAACCTGATAAGTATGGACACGCAAGAGCAGAAGAATTGTTAAAAATATGTACGTACATCATGTCCAGGTCGGAAACGATGGCTGTAAAATAAAATTTTGAATTATTGTAAATCTCCCGTCAATAAATTGCAAAAAAAACTCGATAAAATTTTGCTTATCTTACCTCCGTTAATCACAAGAATCTCATCACTCTTTATTATCCCTGTATGCAAAATTAGCAATTAAAATCATTTTTAGGCGCATCGTACATACATGCTTTATGATTTTCAGATTAAAGTTGGGTGTGTATTTAATAGTGCGTGTAGTATTTGTGCCCGATATGAACATAGGTGCACATGTTTGTACTGTGTTTTTATGTCGCACATCACCTTCATAAGATTGTTCCTCGGGGACAGGACTTTTCACATTTCTAATATCACAATCTACAAAAAGAGACATTAAATAAATAGCACAAAGACGAATAATACGATCAAAAAGCGTCTTAATAAAACAGAGCCGGGTTCATCCCTGTGTGCAGGATTGAATAATAGAAACCAGTAATTACACCATTCCCATGCAACCAATAAGGTAAAACAGACCATGCAAAGCAAAAACATTGGAGCGGAAGTTTGTCGAGAGTCAATTTTTTCCAGACAGAGAAATCATAAGCTCAACGACCCTTATCCCACATTCAAGGTGCATGCATACTGATACGGAGAAAGCATTACAAAACAAACATCTGAAGTGGAGAGAATCGTGGATTGGCAATTTGTGCAAAAGTGTTTTCTCTTTTTCCATCCACTTTTCCATTCAGTCAGCCAGACTCAAAGTCTAAACTTGCACTCGTTTTCGTTTGAACTGCTAAAAGCTAGAGAATTCAACTACTCATGAATATGTTCACCTCGTATAAAATTGTGCTATGCCAATTGAATGCATATATAACACATATTCGCCACCACACACAGTGTCATATTATGTATGAGACAAATGCATTTCAAATTTCCACCAAACTTGGAGCAAGTGCTGATCCTCTCAGTCCTGCCAACACCGCAAAAACATTTATCAACATTTGTGCTTTCTATTTTGACTTCCCACTCAGGATATCAAACCAAAAACTATCGAGGAGCACTTTGGCTGGCGAATGGTGTGGTTATGTGCTGCGCTCTTGGTTGATCTGATTTGATCCCAACTATTCAACATCCAACAGACCGACAACAATCCACTCAGTCAGTCACTTCCACCATTAAATAGATACTACTCGTCGTAGATAGCGAAAAGGGCAAACCATACAAATTCGCAGTTTCAACGTATTATTATTGCTTCCTCTTTGCTGATCAGACATATAAATACAGAGTTCAAACAAAAAGCCGGGGAAAGGTTGAGGTTTTCCTGGTTTCGGTCCAACTTTCCATCCAAATGAGTTTTACTTTCATACGTAAAAGCCTTACACAACAACTTGTAATGGATGTTTACCACGGATTCGGAACGAATTTTAATAATACAGCAGCCAAAGTAAATATATTCATGCAATCAAATAAACGAAATTGATGTAAAGCTTCGCACCAGGGAAAATGAATGCATGCGGAGAAAGAGTTTAAATAGCGGGTTGTAAAAGAGGACTTATCAAAGGCAGTGCATTTCCAATCCGGGCTTATTAGAATTTCAAGACGCGCTCTACTGTACGAGATCTAAGCAAATATTGAGTCTTCTTCTCCGGTACGATTTTGCTCCGTTTTATGAGAGAAAGTTAGTACTGAGCTGAATTGACTGTCAAACATAAAAAGATTGACTGTAAAATTGAAAAGATTCCAGAAACGTGATGTGTTTCTCACTTTTCTGTAACTTGATACAACCCAGTACTTAAATGATTCCTGCACAAAATTGTTGTCTGCAGGTGTGTATGTAGGTATCTACCTTCAACTGATGGATGTACGTAGTAAATACTCGAGATGGGAAAATATAAATCGAACCCTGGATGAAAGATGACCTAGTACAAGCTTGAGTGTGGTTTGTACATGTGTATTCAAGCAAAGTGAACATAAAATGCGCGTAAAATACAGTTTGTGTCTGTGTGTTCATATTCTTTACACATTTTGGAATTTGGTTTGGCCCGGAAGATGTTGAAGATGTGGTGTGGTGGGGGAAGCGGCGGAGGATTTATCCTCGGACAAAAAGGACACTTCACTCCGAACCACTCACCGTTATTCATGGCAACACTCCGGTCTTCAACTCTACTCACGAAGCAGGATAATTCATCTTGTCGGTCGGTATTTTCCCAAAGTTCGGCCTCCACGCTAAAGCCCCACATTAAGTCCAAAGAGGCTCGGGCAAGTTCCACTTGATACAAAAGTTTGGCTCGCACCTCAACCACTTCGTGAGTCGCGACCTGGTCGGCGCAATTTAGAAATAGATTTTAGAAACACTTTCATAATTGGATTTTTCAAGTCAAGCCTATCTTTTGTCAACTCAAATATTCTGAACGTGGAGACAGAATTTAAACACAAAAACTTACATAAGTTTCGATGAGATCAGAGCGAAATGGAACGAAATAATTGGTGTCGGGAAGTTCTCGGCGTTTCTTGACTCGGACAAAGTGTTCCGTGCTGAATCATGAAATAGAGTGGATGGAATGAGCATAATAAAGAGGAAGAAATGACGATATATCACTAAAATATAATAATATGTTACTCACGCCACGAGATTTTTCCTTCCGCAAGCACAAGTGAGAAACTCGTCCACAGTCATGCCATCCTTCAAGGATACGGTTACCATCTGAAATTGAGAAAATTCATAAAATATGAACTTTCCCTTTCACCAGTTTCTCCCAATAAATCATGCTCTTATACAATTGACGATCAAGAAGAGTCGAAATTTGTCTTAATAATTTTATTGTTGGGAGAAAACTCGCAAAAGGAAACCTTTCGAGGCACGAACATGTTATTAAATTGGAAATTAGAGTTGTCAAAAGAAATTCAATAAATGATAAATTCCCATTTGACAGAAATACAATTTTGATTAAAATTCAAGTGCTGTAGAAATGTACTTTTTGATCAAATTGAATTTACATTTACATACATATTCTCAGAAATATGTAACCTCTCATTTTCTCAATTTACAACTTCTCTAAATTAAATTTCCGATGGGAACACGTAATAAAATATTATTACTTGATTTTCAGGCAGTGAAATCTTTGCAGTCCTCCCTTCTGACTCCCGATCGGACGACGAGGCGTGCAACGAGCGTCTCGAGGAAGCAGAATTTGACCTCGATAAGAGTGGGGCTCGCCGTTTCGTGGCTCCTCGCCCGGCCAACAAGTTGCTCAGCAAAGATGGACTCCGAGCGCAGACAAATGCGTGAAACGACGACACGGTGAACACACCCAAACGATTTAACGTATTTTTCGTTGTTCTTGACACGTGCGAGAGAAGACTCTGTTTCGGAGGAGGAAAGGAAAAAAAATAAAGTTGGCTTCACCGCTTGTACAAGTTTTTGCATGAGTGCCAAGACTGGACACAACTTTCGTCTCATTATTCATGTTAACAAAATTATGTCATCTCGACGAATTATATGGACAATTGAATTAGCAAATATTAAGATTAAGCGTACCTTTGGATTTGGCAGCTCGCCACCTAAAGCAGAAATTAATAAATTAATTTTAGATGCTATACATAAGCGCTTATCATCTCATTAAACAGCAAAACTCACCTTGCAGCGAAGCCATGTAACATCTCAGTCTAAACTGTTCGCAGTGAAGACGTTCTATATTCTCCTCCCAGTTCGCAATCTGCTGTGCTAATTGCTGCCTCGTCTCGATATCGGCAACCACGGATCTCTGTAGTTCGGCCATGTGTCGTAATTTCCCATCCTGAAAATTAAATTGACAAAACGAATCGTAAGACATTTATTGGGATAAGAAATTACAAGAATTTATTCGATTTAAGCCAATATTATTGTGTGTTTAGTTTCAGCATCCGGAACTACTTTATCCAGTAGCAAACTGTATTTTATTTAGTTTCAATTCTGTCCCCAGTTATGACCCTGGCTTCTACTTTATCACTAATGTAAACTAGATAAAGCCTAGTCCTCCCAGTATTTCTAAGTGTAGTAGTTGGAATTTAATAATATACAGACAGACAGACCTCACCCACCACAAAATGCAATTTCCTGTGTTGTCCTACTACCAGTAGTTGGGCATTAAATCGTCTCGTCCAGCCATCAAACAAGCCATAAAACCAACTTGACAAACCAACAAGGAGTAAGTAAGTAGTGGATCTTTATCCTCCATCCAAAGTTCCACTTTCATCTCGTTTCGACGCTTACGCGAGAAGAAACACTCGACTCGACAAAATCAAAAAGACGCCGAGACAAAAAAAACGACAGTCAATCAGTTCTTCAGTGCTGTCCTGATGGAAAGTAGAATTGGCTTTTTGAGAAGACCAGCAGCAGTGGTTTGGTTGGTGGGCAATAATAATACGATCGACGGACGGACGGGTCCAAGCCACTCCACTTCTCAGATCAAGTTGCGGATAGAAAGAGAAAGCACTACACGAAAATGATACCTAGTGAAGAAGTTTGTGGACCTTGTTTTCTCTTTCCACAGCTCTTTCTTCGTGACGAAAGTTATATTGCGGCGGTGGCCGTAAAGCCTTTGACAGAGCTTACACAACAAGAGATTCACAGCTGCAGGAAGGCAAAACTACAATTGCGGTATAGAAAGTGGGAGAAAGTTGCAGCTGAATCTGGGCACGTATTAATGCGACTATAACAGTCTTCTTAGCGAGAAGATTATTATTTTCACAAAGGAAATCAACCTATGGTCGCCGTAACTTTTTCGTATCAGTGTCAAACCAGGAACCAGGGGGAGATTATGTACGAGGGGGAGAATAGAAGAAAAATCTGGAGAAGAGGCTCAAATTGATATAAAATCGTACATACCACTAATTCTTATATTTAATTAAGAGGGTAAAACATATAATCTAATAATTTCAGCAGTAACATCACGTATTATTTATCAGATCGACTCCTTAATAAATGACATAACACTACATAGATTTGTGCGGAAAGTTAAGTTTCTATATCTGCCCCGTCATGAAATTAATCATTGCATAACGTAAGTATTAGTAATAACTTTTTTTCTCGTTGTAATAATGTGAGTAAATGTCATTTAATCTTTTGTTAGTGAGCTAGCTCCACTTTTTTATGCTTTTTTAGTAGCTCTACAAACTTTCTCCCGGTCCTTTTTCTTGCTTCAGCTCATTTCTCCACTCCCGTGAACCCGTGTCGTATCATCATTTTGTTTCATAAGAGGATGAGTTTATTCATTTTTTCCTCCGTTGCTCTCCTGCCCTTTGTTTTTTCTATTCTGCGCAGAATGGAGATAAGTAGGAAGAAAAAAGAGCCGGGCACCAGCTCATTTTCCCACTGAACTCGCACGTATAAATAAATTTTGTTATCATCTCTAGAACTTTTTTTACAGGCAACAAACAACAATTTATCCTTCCGTCCGACTTGTCTGGGGGCAGAGCGGTTACAATAAGATTGTCCCTATTTCGACGGTTATTATGTCCTCTCACAAACAGATTTAGGCTTTTTTAGCCCTCAAATCTTAGATCTGCTTACTTACAAGAAGAGTTTCGTGAAATGGAATAATCCTCTGCTTCTGCTTGTGGTTTGGTTGGTTCGAGAAGGAGACGAGACGACGGGAAAGAGATACATTTGTACGTCCAACAAAAAATGAAAAATTGCATCTTGTCAAGCTCTAAGCTTTAACCGGGTAACGGGAATAAAACAGGGCAACAAAGTACAATTATTTATTTAGCTTCATATCAGAGGGGGCTTAGCCCTTTGAACTCGGTGTAAGAAGTAAATCTGGTTTCCATTTCCTTCCAAGATGAACCACCCAAATTTATTCGTGATCGAATAATTGAATAATTTTAATTAAGATTCAGCTTCACTTTACTAAATATTTATGCAGCGGATTTTCTTCCCGGAACAATTGGTAATTCCATAATTTTGCTGTCTGAACAAGTTTTCAAAGGTATTTTGAACATTACTTTTGTCATCTCTCTCCGTGCGTGGAATAATTTCTCAATTTACTTCTCAAACCAATTAATAGTTTTCACCACTGTTGGATCCTTACTAACTTACTTTATTTTAGTTTTACTTGTTAGCCAGCACTACTTCCCAGAATCTTCTCGGTTATAATGGGAAGTTGGAATATGCATGGATATGACTTCCTCCACTCGAGTAAACTCTGCTTGAAAATTTTCTTTGATAATTCCAACCACGAGAACCACTAATTATTTCACTCGTCTCCTCTGTCTCCCTGCGTTATAAACCACGAGGTATGGATGACTGCATATACAACTCTCTACTGCTGTTCCCTGCCACTGAATAATTCCTCCAACATTACTCACTCGACGAGAAATTATTATTTGCCAAAATAAAGCTAGACTTATTTCCATCAAAACTTTCTCAAGGTAAGGAAACGAGGATGCAAAGGAGTTCTTCCACCACCACTTTATTCCCTTCACTTTCTACCACTTTGTATACCGTGTGGTGGATCGTTAACGGTGAAAATTGTGGTTTGTCTTGGTGCATTTCTTTGTGGGAACGTGAATCTGGGGAGAGAAATGTTTAAACGAGAAAATTCGTCCAGCCGAGAAAACGTTTGGCCGTCATCATCATCATTTAATTGTGAGACCACGCCCTGCTCTAGAAGCATCTTTTTAGGCATATTATGTACACGCCGGCATGTTAATTGCCTGGAGAAAGTAGCACACAAATTAGGCATATTCTTACATAAAGTAAATTATACAATATGTATATACGTAGGAGGGTAGGCCTCCTCCTCAGATCTAATAAATATGCACTATTTGCACTACACTCTCATGTCAATTTATTACTCAAATACTCGAGGAATGAGGATAAAAGTGGACAAAGTCATAGATCATTCCAGAGAAGAAGCCTTGTCTGGGGGATCGTGGTGCTGGCGGTGGTGCTCTTTCCGAGCGAAAGTATCGGCATTGCTCAACCAACACACACACACTACTTTCTCAAAAAGTTTTCCTTTATTCCAAGAAGAAAACGAGAGATTGTAGAGAAGGAGAGGAGTGAAAGTAGTGGAACAAGGACAGCTCCAGCAGCAAAAGCAGCAGTGTAAAGGAAGGAACAGTATCATTGATCGATCGATCTTTCAAGAAAAAAAAAGTTGAAAAATTCACCAAATTTATTACCCAACTCATCGATCAAGTAAATGAGGACATCTTATGCGGCGAGGAAAAGAACTTAATAATGTTATAGAACTTGGTACTATTATAGACTCATTATCATTGTGTTAGGGTCAATTTACGAGGAAAAACATATTATTTCCTGGTAAATTCTTGAACTCGTCTTGTTTCAGTTCCTGATAAGATTCGTTTTTCATTATAAATTGAACACGGAAAAAGAAAGAGCCCACCATGACAAAGTAGTTGTCACTTTATGCTAGGGTGAAAGTGGTATATTTTCAATTTTGTGTTTGATCGAGTAATAAATTGGTAAGAGAGCTGAGCAATTTATAAGAGATTCAGTAGAGACAAGGTGTCTCTCAGTTATTTCTCGGAAGGATGGATCAATAACTGGAGGATCTGAGGAGAGAGGACACCTGTCACTTGCCAACATGGACACCCACTGATCGCTTAATGATTACAAGGAGACACATCCGAAGACACCGACCGATATTTGACTTGTTATGCTCATTATTATAACAGAGCTCAGGCACTGCTGGTTGTTCCATTCAAATACGTAGTGGATCAACATTTGCTGCCTCTTTTTCCGTTGAAGGAAGATGAATGAGAAGGAGAAAGCAAGGTTACAATGACAGCGAGGAGGCAGATATGCAAATTCAATCGATCCCTCATCTTTATAAATTGCTCGAATGAAAAATGTCGTGTCGTGGGGATAAAGAGACAAATTATTGATGCAACAAATTGTCCTAATGCATACAATGACCTTGTATGAAGGTTATAAATAGATGGGTCATAGGTCAATCCGTGTTACGTTATAACTTCGATGTACGTAATTGTTCAAGAATCGAGAAGAGCTCGAACTTTGCGAGAGAGAAGAACAAAGGGCAGGAAGTTTGTAATTCACCACTTTTACTACGAATGCCAAAAAAGTTGATCGGCGGCTTCCTAAAAAATTCATCCCGCACTTAATGATTTAGCAGCATGCCTGAAAAATCCGGCCTTGTAGTAACGCTACTACTTTCACTCTGCTAACCAGCCAATTTCCTTTACATGTCAAAATGTCAACTTCATCCTCAGATCTTCAAAGTTTTGGGAAAATCTTTGAAAAGCGAAAAGTAGGAATTCCACACCCAACCAGATTGAGCCATGCATACGTACACACAGAGATCCCTCACTCACTCACTCAGATCAGTCAGCTTTCATTTTCACTGAACCAACGAACCAGCAAGCCTCCCAGTCTGGCTGCTTTTGCGGTTTTGATTTCCTCACATATCCATCTAAATTGGTCCAAATGTGGAAACGCCGAATCGAAAGGGCGGAAGTTGGCTCATTTTAGAACGTGGGAGTTAGCAAAGTCTGCATACATAGTTGTGAAATTCAATGCCATATGGATGCCCAGCGCCATCATACATGCCATGAAAAAGTAGTAAGTGCTTCCAGCCATGGAAAACGTGTGTGTGTGCATAGATGAAGGGGAAAAGAAGACGGGATTTGCATTACCGATTCGATGGCTTTATCCAGACGAACGATCTCTTCCTGGAGAAGGTGGAGCGTCCCAGTTTTGCCACGATGACGAGCAAATGCTGCTGCACAGGCCCAATCTGAAAAGTCAGTTTAAAATGTACATTTACTCGTGTACTATTGAGTCAAAATGTATTTCAGGATGTAAGCAGGAGTCTATTGAATGTGTATTTTAAAGTCCTCCCAGCACAAAAATATATTTCAGTAAGTCCACGAGATTTTCGTATTTTGTTTACCTACGTGTATGTGATGTTTTCGAACTATGTATTAGTCTTAACTTTTAAAGTGTTTTGAAAATAAAGTCGTATTTTTTTAGTACACAATTCTCTAGTAAATTGTGTTACGTTGTTTGTACTTTTAAAATGCAATTTGTGTACAAAGTTTGTTCTTTTACGACGTGACTTGAATACCTCAAATGCATTAATTCGCTGACATCTACAAAATGGGTGTCGTAATTTTATGTGTGTACGTGTATTAGGAAGTTCAAACTAATTTTTTAAAAAAATCCAAGACTTCAGTGCATGTTTAAAAACTTTAGAATAAATGTGGTATACTTACGAATGCTGTGCACCCACGATTCCAACTCCACTTGGCAAGGTGCCTAAACACGGAGAAAGTAAAATATTTAATAGTCATTCATATTTTTCTTAAAGCAAAAAGGCTTTTGTATTTCTGTATATTTATAGCAGACGGATTTAAACAATAAACATCTCCCATTTCATAGCACATTCTGCATAAAAGTAATTCTATTTAAATGCAAAGAAAAGTTATTGTATTTTACTCCTTTCATGAAAATGAAAACAACAAGATCTCCCACCACCCGGATGAATTGCATATCAATTCTCTACTGTCATTCCTCAGGGCAAACATTTCCTCGCGGATTTGCTGTCTGTACCTTTCACTCAAAAAAGCAAAGTAAAACTTAACTTTCACTTTCAGAAAAGCCTGTCAGACATATTTTCTATAAGGAAACATAACACGGAAATATTTATGTTTTCCCATCTCACCCCCAACACGGGTGTCGGTTGGGTGAGCAATGTTCGTTTCCCTCTGAGGATCAAGATTATGTACGTATTTTCTTGCGGATGAATAAATAAATCCGCGGAATGGGGGTTTTCTACGTGCATGTGACAGAATACCGAGTGATAGAAAATTATACCCTCGGAACATAAATAAATAGGCCAAAACACCACATTTTAACGACAAGATCATCATTATGTATCATTATTCCGCATTTTACCACAATTTTTGCTCACCTGGAATAAATAGGCGTCTCCAAAGGCCGTGCTCAAGCAGAAAATGTAATCTCGCTTCGGGTGTTCTGGAATTGGTTGCATGATAGCTCCATCGACTATTATCTGTTACATATATCATTATATATTACTCGTTATGTACAAATGTTATGCATACATGCATTCATTTATTATGCATCATATTTACCAAGTGCTTAGGCGCTGCCTCGACCGACCTGCTTTGTAAAGTGGAGAAGGACAAATTGCAAAGTTAAAAATTGTACAATCAAAAAACAAACAAGAGCTGGAAATAAAGTTTCCTGTTACGTAAAGTAAAAAAATTTACCTGGCTTCTCTCGCATCGCAGGGATAAAATAGGAGCGTCGTTCCTTTGAGGCAAACCCAGTAACCTTTCCATCCACGACGACGGGCCAGTTCCACCTGATGTCTTTTTCTCAACAGCCATTTCTTCACGCTTAGGAATCTGTAAGTAAATAAGTGCATCGTGAGTCGTGAGTACAAAATAATTTCCAAGAATTTCATTCCCAGCGTAAAATTTCCCTTGGAAAGCAAACTTATCAGTGCATCATCGGACTAATATTGATTTAATAGATTCCACTTTGGTACGTACGTACAAAAATAACAATCCGCCACTTTCCAGTAATTGCGATTTAATACTGAAAGCAGAACTTCCTCTATTTAAGCTCACATTTCATCCCTCCCATTTTTCTCAGAGTGCATGGAAAGCATCGCCACAAGCGGAATGAAATATAGGATGGATTTTCTCTAAAGACTCGGACAGCAGTGCATGCATGTAGTAGAACTTTCACCCTAGTAGAACCCCTCGTATACTGAAAATGTTGTCATTTTAAGAAACGCGAGAGCTAGGAGATAGACACACGGACGAATTTCAATGCATGGCTCAACACAATGGAGAGAAAAGAAGAAAGACTTGGTGAAAGATACGAAACACTTAGCACGATGAGACGATGGAGATGAAGGAAAGTAGGCCTTTCGGGCTTTCAAGCCAAGCCAGCCAGCCTAACCCGTCTGACTGACTAGTAGAAAGACTGATAACCTCTTGAATAAAGTGGGTGTAAATACATGTGAGCCGTGATCGGTAATATCTTATCGGAGGGGATTGGAATTTGGAATTCTATTCTGTTCTCCGAAAAGAGAAAGTGCTCTGCCTGATGCTGTTTTCTCTCCTTCTTCGTTCAACCGACCGCAACTTCAAAGAAAGTTTATCATCACAGCAACGCGCGTGGCCAGCCAGGACGCATCACGGGGAATTCGATATTGACAATTTACCATGTTGTTCTACGTGTGATAAATCAAAAGCTAAATATGTATTCCCTCCTCATTTCCTTTCATCTAACTGCATAACCGCATGAGACAAGACGTTATCTGAATAGTTGGTCGTTACGAGAATGAGCAATGTCTGTCCGCATCATCAAAGATGAAGTAGCAGTAATTACGTTCGTTCAGAAGATTTTGGAGACAAGAGGGACAACGACTAAGGACGGAATTGCTTGATGTATGTTCGTAGTTTGCTTCTTGCATTAGTACAACATTCACAAACATAATCAATCATTAAGAAAGACACCAATCTGCGTCGTGATTGTGATAAGATTGGAACACAACATCCTACTCCCTTGTGGACACGGAGAATGACGTTCTAGAGTTAGTTTTCCTAGGGAAGAAACGTACATAGCGCTGAACTGACGACTGACATTTGTGTAATCTACTTTCTCCAGCAAACATTCTTAAACTAACAATTGTTCTTTTCACAACGGTCATCTAACTTACAAATCAGTCCAAGGCAGTCATTCAGCCAGTCGAAAGTGTATGTATGTCGGAGAGTTGATGGAAGAGGGAAAAGCACGACTAAAGAAAGTAAATCTTAACATTTTGCCGTAATGTACGTGCTTTTAGGATTCTGATTCTCTCTCCAACCGATTGAATTACTAAACCAACATAATTTTCGCCGTGTCGTGTTTTTCTAGAAATTGCATTATCTCGTGTTATTAAGATTGAATAACTGCTGAGCATACAAAAACCGTTTATTTGATTTTGCACCACCACAACCAAACCACCCGTGTCCAATTAATTGATTAAATATTGCGAAGCTGCTCCTCAGACTGGGAAAACTGGTGGGGTTTGTTGGCTCATGAAATTATGAGCAGGATTCTTATCATCGTCACTCCTACTACGAACGTACTACTCTTTATTTCTGTCATGATTGTGCGAGACGACCAACTCTAATAAAAGGCTTCAGCGTACAATGAATAGTTCTATTGTATTCCGGGGCGAAGAGACACTTTCTCTTTGTGCTTGTTGGGCGAGATTATTACAAAATCTTGTTCGAATTGAGGGAGATTGAAGTGCTTCGACTATTATTAAAGATGAAAGGGACGGATGGCGAGTCCGCGTCTATTTCATAGTGCAAAACCCAATTTTACTTATCAGCCAGGGGAAGAAAATGTGTCACTCTCGTCGTCCACCACCAATGCCGTCAACTGTGATGATTGCACTGTTTCAAACCAAAATATACAATGTTACAAAGCATGTTTCGATCACTAACATTGCCAACAAATTGGAATTGCTCGGCAGGTGTCTAAAATTGATTTCTTTGAAGAAACAGTGTAATAAATCACCCGAGCAGACGGCAGGAAGTGAAATTTCGAAATACTTATACACGCTTCAAGGCAGACTATGTCTGTCTGTATACCCTGCCATTTAATCTATACAGCATTTCAGACAGAAATCCTTACGAAATCACCACCGTACACATGTAGTTATACCTCCGACTTGGATGAACCACAAGAAGAAACCACACAGCGGATTGAATTTTGACGAGATTTTCCCCAACATTAGACAAAGTTAGAAATGTCGAGATTTCAACACCATCCAAGCGAATGATGGCCTCTTGAAGCGCATTGTTTCGTTTACCTTGAATCTTGAATTCAAATTTCCACCCGAGTCAACTCAGAAATTGGAAATAATGTTGACAACTCGAGATTATATGGAAAAAAAGATAAATAAGAAAGTTCTCGTAAATGTATTATCAAGCTCAGAGTGAAAATTGAATTTAAAATCTTGACAAGAAAATCGACACGTTTTTTTTTCTTACCCAGCCTTTCTCACGGCTCCCGTGCAATTAAACGATGCTGCCGGTTTTCTCGAGCCTTTCGGTGAAGTGGCTCCATCCCCAGGTTCGTCATCGCTCACCGCCGTGGTTAATGACATTCGCTCATCATCGCTTATCTGCAATTAAAACGGAAATGTTATTCATGGCTTAGTCTTATTCACCATCCGTGAAGTAGGCACATAATAATTTGCGTAGTCATGAATTTTGCATCAAAATGGGATTCAAAATTATACCCGTTGAACACACTTATGTATTTGGTCGGATTCAAATTACGAGTCACGACCACACGCATTGAATTCCCTAGCCGATCACAAATTTACATCCAATTTCCGCTTCGTGTTGTAGATGTGTGCGAGGTGGTTCAATGGGAGGAAATAAGAGAATGCAGCATGGTTCAGTCGTTCGTGGTGGTAAATACTACGTAAAATTGGTTAGCTAGCTAGCTCACTGTTCTTCTTGTATAAATGATGATGATGGGTGACCATTGATGTGAATACGGAGTGAAAGTACGTACGCAAGGAGGAAGCATTATTGATCAGTAAGAATGGCACTTGTTCCATGTACTCGAATGTTCCATGAGCTGAGAGTGCAACCAGTCACTTGGACTTTCCATCTCATGCGGTAAGGACGGACGCTGGTTTAATTTTCCAGGTGATTTGTGCAACTTTGTGAACCAAATCACATTTCAACCTTCCCCTACAAGTATCAATCCGGATATTTCTCGTTTTCTGACCAGAAAACCATATGCGTCTCGTGGTGATGGTGGTGATCAGTAGAGAGAAAGAGAAAGTGAAAGTAAGTGGACGCCATTTTGCTTCGATTTAGATTCGATTGAATCTGAAATGTCTGCATTTGCTCTTTCACTCAGTTAGCCTAATGCACCCTAATTCCATTAAGTAGGATTAATTTGGCGTCTGGCACAACACCACGGAATGGACGGGAGGGGAGGGAGGGGAGAGAATAAATCGAGTAAATCTCAATTTTCAAATGAAATCTGGCAAAAGGAGAAAGCAAATGAAATTTCAATCTGATTCATATTCCAAATTACTATTTCGCCATAAGCTAATATTTTATCCGACTGACATTTCTACATTTTATAATTATGAAAGCCTTCCTTTTTTGACGTATTTACGTACACATCTATTTACGGCTGTCAGATTCGGAAAAAGTTAATTACAAACGGCTAGCCCCACTTTTCCCGTAGTGCTTTTGACTTGACGGACAGCCGCAATAAAAACTGTTTGCCACTCGGCTCAACAACTTGAGTGAAGAGTAAATTACACATTACATTATGTGTCGAGTGGGATGATATGCACGAGTTTATGACTAAATCCTAAATAGCTCTAGCTACCCTTCCTTCACTCACAGCCTCTGTCTTAATACGGACAAAGTTTGGAGCAATATTCGATAAATGGGGAAAGTTTGTTGCACAAATTGTATCGCATGCAAGCTGCTTGGACACAAATGGTGCAATGTTTACGAGAGCGTGCAATATGGCACTACAAGAGGGCACATTATTATAGAAATTCCACTATTTTTGGACATGAATATTCCTTCACATGCATGCAGTACGACCAAAAGGCTATCTACTTAATACAGCATTTGATACTTTCACTTCTCTTCTGCGCATCCGATCGGAACTTTTAAACCGATGCGGCACAGCATTCACAGTGAAGTGATCCACTTCCTGCCCAAAAGCGAAAGCGAATTTGGTATCAGATTACTACGCTACGAGAGAACGATAAAGTAATTAACTACAAGTTTTACGACGGGTAGTTGGATAGAATAATAAGCAGGAAAACTTTTTCCCCCATCCAGATCTAGTGTCGAATTAGAGTCAAAAGCAATATAAATTTAACAGCTACTTTCACCTTGGCCCACCTACACCTACACTGCCACACCTCGTCTGCCTGCCTACTAAGTAAGTTAAGTTATCCCCCAAACTATTAACTCATTACAAGTTGGTTAAAGGATTCCAGAGTTTAAAAGTTTGTTAAAAAGTTTTCAGATTATTAGCATATGATGAAATTTCTTTCAATTTTTAACTTGATATCCCAAACGCGCAGCAGTCACGAATACGTACATACATAGTTTTAAAATTCAATGAGAAAAGGGAGACTTTAGAAGGAGAGGGAGTTTGTAAAAATTTAATTTCTCCAACTTTATAGCGCTCCTGCCTCAACACTATCACCACACGGACTTAAGTAGAATTTGGGAAGGAGTACACCTCCACATAAAATTTTTACCAGTCATTTGGGAAATTCTGTGAGACATGAGAATAGCCGAGTCCATAAAGGTGAAAGCAATTTACATAAAATGAGATGATCGCCATTTCCATTACACTTTCTAGCCAAGGTAAAGGAGAGAAGGATGACTTTATAGTGCACAAGGAATACAGAGTTCAAAATGCTCATGGTCATTTCATGACGACAAAGACGGGAAAAATAATATCGTTGAAATGAATACGACTTGTTTGTGAAGGATTATTTTAACTGTGCCACCCACACACGCGTTACTTTTGACTGAGCCAAGTATGTAAACATTTTTGCTTTGTGTAGGATTTTGTAGAGATTTTCATTGTTTGAATTGGATCAAGAAGTGAGTTATATACGAATAAGAGTATAAATATTTAGACACGTGATACATATTTTCAGTTTCCAGGAGGTCAATTCGTCTTACCCTTTGCATAACTTTAGCTAGAAAGAGCACATTACATTCGTGGGGTTGGACATGAGGCCATCTGTAAATTAGAAATGATTATTTCATAGGATCGGTCCTTGGGACCCGCAATAGAACTTGGGCATATGACCCGCTTTCCTTTAATTTCCTTTAAACAGAGTTCTTTAAAATTGTTGTACGAAAATGCCAAAATGGATTTTTTTTGCAATGAATTCTAATTTTAGAAACTAAATTAGATTAACAATTCAATTTTTGAGACAAATTAAAGTCAAAGGAAATCTAAAAAGTTTGAAAGTTCTGAAAATATTGTATAAAATTTCCATACGAGTGTTGATGATCATGTCTCTTCAACCCATTAATGTCGTGCATTCCGTGACTGCAATCTGTCTTAGTTTCCGTGTCATCGTCTCTACTTTGCACCACGCGTCGCGCCCAGTGAACCAGAGTGCACCAGTCTATCGGCTTAAATATTTGTTCCTGTTGCTTCCTCTGGTACGGATAAGTGTAATACTGTTCGGAAGATTTATTACTTAAATTAGACACTGGTCTTGAGATCGGCTCTTCGTGGCCCGTGAGACTGGGAGCAGCCTGGTAATAGTTGGCGTATTGGTGTAAAGGGTGGTAATAGTAGGACTGCGTGTCATCACCACCTTGGTGAAAGTGCGGTTGACTTCCGTGGTGGGTGTGGCCGTAAATTGCAGCAGCAGCTGCAGCGTATTGTTGCAATTGTTGCTGTTGGTGGAGAGTTAATTGGGAAAACTGGTGTTGATTTTGTAACTGTTGTTGTTGCTGCTGCTGCTGATTGGTCACACTGACCATGGCGGTTTGAGACCTTGGATCTGGCGAGGAAGAAGCCCCCACTCCGGCGGGATTGTACAACGGGTTGGCGTAGGCATTGGCGTAAATATCAGAGTTTATGGAGGGTGTCGATAAAGGCTGAAAGTTGGCGTATTTGGTCGAAACAGCGTACAAAGGGTATTGTTGTTGTTGGTGTTGTTGAGCTGCCGAGTAGCTGGGGCCGGGGGGCATACCACCACCACCCCCACCCCCACCTCCACTACTACTCCCTCCTATTGAGGACGATGGTCTTGGGGGAAAGCGGAGCTGACTCGGATTCTGATAATGAGCTTGTAATTGTTGTTGCTGTTGGAGCAGCCGGTGACGAAATTCTGCCTGTTGCAAGAGTTGTCTTTGAGCTTGAGCCTGTTGTGGGGAGTAGAATGCGGACGTCGTCGTGTGAGGACCACGACCCGCCGCGGTCACCATGATTGGGCCTGCACCAGCACTTCCACCACCACCACCACCACTCCCACTAGTACCACTACCACTACCTAACCCGCTACAACCTGGACCGCCTATGTTGACGCTGGCACTGGTACTGGACACGGGTATTATCCCACCACTTCCACCACCAGAAGTACCACCACTAAGAAGATTAGCCGACGTGGACTGACAACTCTGACAATGATTTTGATAATGAGTCTGCTGCTGTGTTTTCCCTCCTTTGGAACCTTGTTGCTGCCCTTGTTTTGCTTTCGGAGTCGTTGGATTACTTTTACTTAAACCATTTCCGCCACCACTACCACCACCGCCGCCACCGCTGGTGCTTGCGGCATCGACCAAACCGTGATGATGAGGACCACTTGCCCCGGCGTAGGGGAGAACGGGACGATAAACTTGTTGTTGCTTTTGCTGTTGAGAGCGTGGTTCAGTACCCGACGGAGCAAGAGTAGCGTGTTGAAGCTGCTGCCTTTCTCCAAGGTTTTGATAATACTGCTGCCCGGGTGGAAGGGTGTTGCTTTTCCCAGCCCCGTTGCTCTTGTGTCCTCCCGAGTGCTTGGGAGAGTACTGTTGCTGCTGCTTCTGGGGATGCTGCTGATAAGGATTCTGGGGAAGGGGAGGACGAGCCTGCTTGCTCGAACCACTGCCACCACCGCTGGTTGTTGTGGGTGGGGGATTACTATTATTCGGATTCGGCCTCCTCTGTTGAGCTAACTGTTGCTGTGCTTGAAGTCTTAATTGTTGTTGCCGTTGGGTATATTGGAGTAATTGCTGATGCCGTAAAAGCGCTTGGTACTGGAGAAGCTGTTGCCCTTGTTGCGATAATTGTTGGCCTCGTTGAATCGGATGCACTCTAGTTTGATCAGGTTGTTGTTGAAGCTGTTTTTGTTGAAGCGATTGTACTTGTGAGCGTAAATGAGCTTGGTGCTGAAGTGCAGCGGCGGAAGAACTACTAGCCGAAGAGAAAGCAGACTGACCACCCCCACCAACGATCCCACCCCCTCGACCGGACGAACCCCTCTGCTGCTGTGATTTCTGCAAAAGTTGAAGATTTTGATGAAGTTGTTGCAGATTTTGTATGTTTTGAAGGTTCTGAGCAAGCTGCGACTGAGGGTCGTGATGCTGGCTCGGGGTCTTGTTAAAATTTGGCGGAAGT